CACCCCCGACGGACAGAGGACGGGAGGGAGGAGCTGGCACCACACGGGTGGTGTAGTCAAGGCGACTGGCGGCAGCAAACTCAGCGACAGCGGCAGTGAGAGCCGAGACAGACGATGGAGGGAAACGAGAGTCGGTGACAAGAGTGGCGAGGACACGAGAGACAACAGGACGAACCGCGCGGTAGTAGTCAGTGACAGGAGTAGGGGGGAAAGGGAGAGAGGACGGAGGCGGAGACGGGAGAACGGACTCAGGAGGAGGACGACGAAGAGACGAACAAAGGAGCGCAGTGTGGAGGTCGGTAACGGGAGACGAGTGACGAGCACGCGGAGGACAGGGACGGACACGAGAGTGTGGGACAACAGGTGGAGGAGACTGCGGTGGAGGAGAAGACCAGACCGCCGGACTGTCGTCAGGAGGAGGAAACGTGGGACCAAACGCTGGAGGGGACGGAGTGTGAACAGGAGGAGAGGAGGGAAGACCAAGGGCCCGAAGGCCACTCACGGGTGGGAACAACTGCCGCTCCAGAGGGAGCTGCTGTGGTCGCAGCTGCGGCGGCGGTGTCTGCTGCTGCTGCTGCTGCTGCTGCTGCTGCTGCTGCTGCTGCTGCTGCTCCAGCAGGTCCAACTGCCGCAACTCCTGCCGCTCCCTCTCCAACAGCACCTGCTCCTCACGCTCACGCCGACGGGCCGCCTGGAGACGTGTGTCGTGGCGGTGGGGAGGCGGAGTGGACTCCGCAGAACCAGTGCCTCCAGCTCCAGTCTCCTCAGAACCAGCACCTCCAGTGCCAGCGCCTCCAGCACCAGCACCCCCAGAACCAGCACCCCCAGGACCAGCACCTCCTGTGCCAGCACCTCCAGCTCCATCACCCCCAGAACTAGTACCGCCAGTGCCAGGACCTCCAACTCCAGCACCCCCAGGGCTAGCGCCACCTGCGCCAGCACCTCCAACTCCAGCACCCCTCAAACGAGCACCCTAGGACCGAGTACCGCCAGTGGCTGCACCTCCAGCTCCAAAACCAACTGAGTCCACAGTAGCCTGTCGCGGAAGTACCGAAGGCTGCTGAGGGGACTGTGAGGAGGACTGCGGGGAGGGAGCCGCTACCTGACGCGCGACCGAGGGTAGAGGGGTAGCGTGAGACACACCTGACGGGGCAGGACCAGGGGGGGGTGGGGGTACCGGAGGAGCGGGAGCAGGGGGAAGAGAGGGTGCGAGGAAAAGGGGGGGAAGGGGAACCGGGAGACCTCGACAGGGGTACCGGGTGTAGTAGGACACTGACTCGTCGAACCGGACGTCACGGGAGTCAAGGAACTAGTGGAGGGGCGGGTGGTAAAAAGACCAGTCGGCCGAGGCTACCGGGAAACCAAGGAAGACACAGGGGACGGCGCGAGCCGAGAGCTTGTCCGCAGAGGTGTCGCGCACAAGCGCAAGGCAGCCCCAGACACGAAAAGCTGACCCAACACCAGGGGACCCGGTCCAAAGACTGGTCGGTGAAGCCTCTGGCCGCGAGACGCGCGGCTGGAGGTTCAGCTGGTGAGCGGCGTAACGAACCGCGTAGGGCCACAGAAAATGGGGCGCACGGGCATGAATCATGGACGTGCGGGCGATGTCCATGACCAAGCCAATGTGGCGCTCAGCAACCCCATTCTGCTGTGGGGACTCTGGCAGCGTCCAGGACTGTACGATGCCCTGCTCGCCGCAGAATCCGGCAAGAATGCCTGAGCGAAACTCACCCCCACGGTCAGAGTGGAGACAGGAGACACGACGGCCACGAGTGCCCTCAGTGGCTAGAAGCCACCGGATCAGCGTAGAAGTCACCTCGGACTTCTTCGCGAGAGGAAACACCGTGGTGTACCTGGAGAAGTCGTCGACGACCACCAGAAAGTAGCGCTCCCTCTCAGGTCCCTGCGTAGGTGCAGGGCCCCAGACATCCAAGTGGAGTGTCTGGAAGGGAGCAGTGGCCGGACGAAGGGAGGAGGAGTGCGGAGTGGCACGAAGACGGCCGGCGACGCAAGGAGTGCACGGCGGCGCAGGCGAGGGAGGGAGCGACGGGAAGACGCGAGGGAGACCTGAGACAAGACGGTGACCAGCCATAGTGCGGAGGCGGGGGATCGACGCGTGGCCAAGACGGTGGTGCCACAAGACGGTCCGGTGGGTGAAAGACCGACACGAGCAAGACGCAGCAACTAGACCGGACACAGCAACCTGACCGGACACAGCAACCTGACCGGACACAGCAACCGGTGGGGACGCAGTAACCTGACCGGACTCTGCTACCGGGGGGGACGAAGCAACCTGACCAGACGCAGCTACCTGCGGGGGCGGAGTGTGCAGGACGAAGAGACCTGAGTGGGGCTCTCTGGTGAACGTGGCAAGAACTGCCCCGGTGGAAGAGTCCGTACAGATCGCAGTCCTCCCGTGCGCAGGAAAAGTGACTGTGATCCCCCGGTCCTGAAGGTATCCAACACCCACCAAGTTCTGAGAGAACGAGGGGATGTAGAGACCAGTGAGGAAACCAGAGGGGACAGCTGGGCACGGGAGGGTGGTCGAGCTGCGAGCAACTGCTGGTCCTGAAGTAGGATCAGCCATGGCAACTTGGACTGGAGCCGAAAGAGGTGTGACAGTGGTGTGGTCGCGGAAGAAGCACTGAGACGCGCCGGAGTCCAGCGTGAAGGAGAGCGACGCAACAGCAGTCGTCACGGCCGGGCTAGTGACTACACAAGCACCTACACTAAAAGCACAAGTACCGACACTAGCAACAGGCAAAGGTCCTAAGCTAGGTACACGTAAGCCAAGAGATCCGTACGTGACAGAATAAACAGCATCCATAGACATATCAAACACAGGGTAACCACTACGAAACAGACCGGGCCAGATCGGGGGAGCCGACTCAGGCCCAAAACGCTCATGGTAAAGGTCGTCGAGGCGGCTGTAGCAGCGCTGTGCAGAGTGGTCAGGACGCCAGCAGGTAGTGCCAGCGCCAGGGCCGGTCAGGATCCGGTACTGGCAGGGGCCGACGTCGCGGCCACCGCGACGAGCCCCCCAGCTGGCTGGGCCGCTGCTGCAGCCAACGCGACCTGAACCACCAGGCCCCCACGGCTGCTGAGGGCGCCACAGCTGCTGAGGGCGCCCCTGCTGCTGCGGAAGCCACTGCTGAAACGGCCGCTGCTGCTGTCCCTACTGCTGGAGAACCCTAGTGGACTCCATGATAAAAGCTAGCGGGGTGTAGGAGCGGCTGGCTAGGAGCGACAGGTGAAACTAGGCGAGGAACGGCTGGAGTACGGAGCAAACTGAGCTACGAGCGAGGAGCAAGAACGGCTGGAGCGAGAACGGCTGGAGCACAACTGGCTGGAGCTAGAAACGGCGAGCTAGGGCTGGCTGGAGGTAGGAACGGCCGGAGCTAGAGACCGTAGGTGCGGCTGTCGGCTGCCGCTAGTAGAGCCACTGGCAGTGGAACGTACGTGCGACAGTAGGGGCTGCAGTACTGACGGCTGCGGGATGCAGGCAACTGTGCAGGTCGTCCGGCAAGCAGGAACGCGGCCGACAGTTGCAGGCCCCCACCCGAAACCCTTTTTTTTTTTTTTTTTTTTTAGGGTTTAATTATTTATTTATTTATTTATTTTCTGGCGCTAAAGCGCTCCGGGGCGCGCTGCCTGCAGGGTGTGCTGCCTGCGAGGCGCGCTACCCACGGGGCGCGCCGCCTGCGGGGCGCGCTACCCGCGGGGCGCGCTGCCCGCGCGGCGCGCTGCCTGCGGGGCTGGGGCGACGGGCCAGGGCGCGGGCTGGGGCGACGGGCTAAAGCGGGCGCCTGGGCGACGGGCTAGGGCGGGCGCCTGGGCGACGGGCTAGGGCGCGGGCCTGGGCGACGGGCTAGGGCGGGCGCCTGGGCGACGGGCTAGGGCGGGCGCCTGGGCGACGGGCTAGGGCGCGGGCCTGGGCGACGGGCTAGGGCGGGCGCCTGGGCGACGGGCTAGGGCGGGCGCCTGGGCGACGGGCTGGGGCGGGCGCCTGGGCGACGGGCTGGGGCGGGCGCCTGGGCGACGGGCTGGTGCGGGCGCCTGGGCGACGGGCTAGGGCGGGCGCCTGGGCGACGGGCTAGGGCGGGCGCCTGGGCGACGGGCTAGGGCGGGCGCCTGGGCGACGGGCTAGGGCGGGCGCCTGGGCGTCGGGCTAGGGCGGGCGCCTGGGCGTCGGGCTAGGGCGGGCGCCTAGGCGACGGGCTAGGGGCGCAGGCTAGGGGCGATGAGGGCTCTAACGCGCGGAGGAGGAGGGCGCTAAGGCGCGGAGATGGCGCGGAGGGCGCGGAGGGCGCGGAGGCTAAGGCGCGGAGGGCGCGGAGGGCGCGGAGGGTGCGGAGGGCGCGGAGGGCGCGGAGGGCGCGGAGGGCGCGGAGGGCGCAAGGGTGCGGAGGGCGCAAGGGTGCGGAGGGCGCTAGGGCGCTAGCTAGGCTAGGCGAGAGGATCGACACCTACTCATGATACCATCTCAAAGTTAGCGAACAACGGAATGTGTGAACTAGGGAAACAAGGGATACAAATAGCAACCCTAAAAGTGTTGTACTCCCTAGAGTGCTACTCACTGTAGCCTAAGAACCTATAATAACATTTGACATGCTCCTTGCCCTTGCTGCCGAACGCCTGTGAGTGGCGAGGCACGAAATCTGTCTCAAGTATCTGCAGCAGTCATGGGGAGAGCACGGGTAGGTTATGGGGAGTGGAGTGAATAGGTGGGTTATTGGAAGTGAACGGGTAAGTTTGGGGAGTGTGTGGGTGGGTTATGGGGAGTGGAAAGTGGAACGAAGAGTTAGAAGGATGAGTGATTGCTGAGCTTGCACTCCTGCTGCAGCAATTAATGAATGAAGGTTGAATGCATAGATAATTAAAGATGCACGCACCAAGAGGGTGGTAGGAGTTGTAGAAAAACTCCTTGAATGTCCAGAAAAACGTCTACAACAAAGAAGGAACGAAGAGTTGGGTACTTTTCTGTTGCAAACTCTGCGAAATTAATTGCCAAGAGCACATGTACTCACCTTGCCGGGGAAACGCGAGCGGATGGCAGTCTTTAAGTCGATGGAGTTGGTGATGAGCATCCAGCGCACTGTGAGAGGCGGGGGATACCACATGTCCTCCACTGCCTGGGGGCGAGAAAGGGGAGGGGGGGAAGGGAGGGAGGGGGGAATGGTGGTTGAGACGATGGTGAGACGATGGTGAGACGATGGTGAGATGATGGTGAGATGATGGTGAGACGATGGTGAGACGATAGTGAGATGATGGTGAGATGATGGTGAGACGATGGTGAGACGATGGTGAGACGATGGTGAGATGATGGTGAGATGATGGTGAGACGATGGTGAGACGATGGTGAGACGATGGTGAGACGATGGTGAGACGATGGTGAGATGATGGTGAGACGATGGTAAGATGATGGTGAGATGATGGTGAGACGATGGTGAGACGATGGTGAGACGATGGTGAGATGATGGTGAGATGATGGTGAGACGATGGTGAGACGATGGTGAGACGATGGTGAGATGATGGTGAGATGATGGTGAGACGATGGTGAGACGATGGTGAGACGATGGTGAGACGATGGTGAGATGATGGTGAGATGATGGTGAGACGATGGTGAGACGATGGTGAGATGATGGTGAGATGATGGTGAGACGATGGTGATTGCTAGTCTTGTTGCTGAGTCTGAGTCTGTCTGTCCTCCGTCCATCGGGGGTGAGTGTGCTCTTAGCACGGACGTCCTTGAGGACAGGCAGGAGGAGTTCCAGTGCTTTGCCTCATCTCGTGTCCATGCTGATTGCCCCTGAGGGAGACCCGGATGCACCAGACATCCCGACTCCTCGATCGTACGCTGAGGCGATCGAGGGTCCCTACTCCTCACAGTGGCAGTCAGCCATGGACGCAGAGATGGCTTCCTGGAAGCCCACATGCACCTACGTCGACGAGGTTCCCCCACCTGGGGCGAACATCGTCAGTGGCATGTGGATTTTCAGGGTGAAGCGGCCGCCGGGTTCTCCGCCTGTCTTCAAGGCGCGTTACGTGGCTCGAGGCTTCAGTCAGCGGCAGGGAGTTGACTACTTCCAGACCTTCTCCCCTACCCCGAAGATGACCACTCTTCGGGTACTGCTGCACATAGCCGCTCACCGTGACTACGAGCTTCACTCTCTCGACTTCAGCACTGCTTTCCTACAGGGCAGCCTGCACGAGGAGATCTGGCTGCGCCGCCCTCCTGGCTTCACTGGGTCGTTTCCTCCTGGTACCCAGTGGAGCCTCCGGCGGCCAGTCTACGGTCTCCGCCAGGCGCCCCGCGAGTGGCACGACACACTGAGGACTACGCTTGCGGCTCTTGGGTTTGCTCCTTCTACTGCTGACCCGTCGCTGTTTCTACGCACTGACACCTCGCTGCCGCCGTTCTACATCCTCGTGTACGTCGACGACTTGGTCTTTGCTACTGCTGACACTGCTGGACTCGCTCACGTGAAGTCGGAGCTGCAGAAGAGACACACTTGCACAGACCTGGGTGAGCTGCGCAGCTATCTTGGCTTGCAGATCACCCAGGACAGAGCACGGCGCACCATTACCCTGACTCAGTCACACATGGTGCAGCAGGTCCTTCAGCGCTTCAACTTCACGTACTCCTCGCCTCAGCCCACTCCTCTGTCTACGCGCCACTCGCTCTCAGCTCTGCCTTCGGATGAGTCCGTAGAGCCGAGTGGCCCGTACCCAGAGCTTGTCGGCTGCCTCATGTACCAGAGCACATGGCTGCAGCGAAGAGGGTGTTGCGCTACTTGTGGAGTACGTCGGGCATGGGGCTTGTGCTTGGAGGGCAGAGTCCAGTGGTCCTCACTGGTCACGCAGACGCTTCTTGGGCTGACGACTTGGCTACGCAGCGGTCGTCACAGGGTTACACCTTCAGCCTTGGTTCCGGCTCTGTTTCGTGGCGGTCTACCCGCTCGTCTTCGGTTCTCGGCTCCAGCTGTGAGGCCGAGATCTACGCAGGGGCCATGGCTGCACAGGAGTTACGCTGGCTCACCTACCTGCTGACCGACCTGGGAGAGCCGCCTCGTTCTCCTCCAGTTCTGTACGTAGACAACAAGGCCATGCTGGCCTTGTGTCGGGAGCACAGACTGGAGCACAGAACGAAGCACATTGCTCTTCGCTACTTCCTTGCTCGTGAGCTGCAGCAGCGTGGTCAGCTGCGCCTTGCTTACGTGGCCTCTCAGGCCAACACTGCTGATATCTTTACCAAGGCACTTCAGCCTTGTGATCATCAGCGCTTTTGTACGATGCTAGGTCTTGTGCCTACTTGGCCTCACTTGCTCACTTCGTGACCTTGCTTGTACTGTGATCTATATATACCTGCACTTGCTTGTTTACCTTTATATATATGATCCTGCATGTGAACTGGCCTTGTGGCCTTGAACCTGTGCTCGGAATGTGTGGTGACGTTGTGATCCACCCTGAGCTTGCTTTGCTTTGCTTGACTGGTCTTGTGACCCCTTGTTCTCCCCCACTTTGCCTATGGGGGTGTGTCAAATTATATAGGGGTTGTACATTTGTAGGCTGTAGTGGGTTAGCACTAGGGGGTACAGTATTTTCCTCGACATTCTTCTTGTACCCCACCTTGACCTAATCTCATCCATACCTTCCTAGTTCTCTCAACAAACGCCTAGCACAACGCTACAATCACCCACACAACCCCGTGCCTTCCTCCGTAGTCTACTCCCGTTGTGTAGTGACTCTCCGCAATTCTGTGGTCACATTGTATGCTTAAAGCCACGCCAAGTTCCCCGCTATAGCATGTGCATTTAATGTGTACAACGCTACCATTTTATAAAACCATGTTTCAATCTTATCAAAATCATGTTTCCAACAAAAATCAAAAGATCATCAAGATCATGTTCGCCACAAAAGTTCCCAAACATTCTACACGCACACACACCTAAAAAAGCCCACCTCCAAGAGAGCCACACCACACCACAACAGCCAAACTGCAAATACAGTTTGGCTACAAAAGAAACAAGTTAGCATGATGGTGCTTTGCTTTGTACATTTGCCCCAGTATAGATAGATATCACACACGGCTAAAATAACCTGACAACACAAAACCAACAAACACACATTAAAGGGTGAAAGGCCTTTTCCACGAGGAAAAGCACCGTAGAAGAAAACCAAAATCGCATTTTGAAATTATCACCTTTACTGCTTGGTAAACCAAGACGACATCATGAATGGCATAATAATAAAAATAATAATAATCTCTTCACGTGATTGTACTCTTGCAAGCTTGATATAGGGGCGAAAGATTTCTGCCACGCGGAAGTGGTGGCGGCGCGGAAATGGTGTCGAACCAGCACAGTTTATTCAAATAATCTTCACCACGGATATGCACCTGCTTGTTGAAAATACAAGGAAAAAGGGTGACATAGCATCAATTTCACAGGAATAAATGGGGGAAACAAACATACTGTAAACGATACTATATTGAAGGGGATACTGCATACCTCCATTATCGCTGCCGCTCGTTCTGCGAGAAAGCAAAGGAACGTGCAACGACATAGTAATAGGGCATCATGCTCTGCCTGCTTCTCACCCCTGGCCTGGCGTACATCATCATGCTCTGCGTGCTTCTCACCCCTGGCCTGGCGTACATCATCATGCTCTGCGTGCTTCTCACCCCTGGCCTGGCGTACATCATCATGCTCTGCGTGCTTCTCACCCCTGGCCTGGCGTACATCATCATGCTCTGCGTGCTTCTCACCCCTGGCCTGGCGTACATCATCATGCTCTGCGTGCTTCTCACCCCTGGCCTGGCGTACATCATCATGCTCTGCGTGCTTCTCACCCCTGGCCTGGCGTACATCATCATGCTCTGCGTGCTTCTCACCCCTGGCCTGGCGTACATCATCATGCTCTGCGTGCTTCTCACCCCTGGCCTGGCGTACATCATCATGCTCTGCGGGCTTCTCACCCCTGGCCTGGCGTACATCATCATGCTCTGCGTGCTTCTCACCCCTGGCCTGGCGTACATCATCATGCTCTGCGTGCTTCTCACCCCTGGCCTGGCGTACATCATCATGCTCTGCGTGCTTCTCACCCCTGGCCTGGCGTACATCATCATGCTCTGCCTGCTTCTCACCCCTGGCCTGGCGTACATCATCATGCTCTGCCTGCTTCTCACCCCTGGCCTGGCGTACATCATCATGCTCTGCGTGCTTCTCACCCCTGGCCTGGCGTGCATCATCATGCTCTGCCTGCTTCTCACCCCTGGCCTGGCGTACATCATCATGCTCTGCGTGCTTCTCACCCCTGGCCTGGCGTACATCATCATGCTCTGCGTGGTTCTCACCCCTGGCCTGGCGTACATCATCATGCTCTGCCTGCTTCTTACCCCTGGCCTGGCGTACATCATCATGCTCTGCGTGCTTCTCACCCCTGGCCTGGCGTACATCATCATGCTCTGCGTGCTTCTCACCCCTGGCCTGGCGTACATCATCATGCTCTGCCTGCTTCTCACCCCTGGCCTGGCGTACATCATCATGCTCTGCGTGCTTCTCACCCCTGGCCTGGCGTACATCATCATGCTCTGCGTGCTTCTCACCCCTGGCCTGGCGTACATCATCATGCTCTGCGTGCTTCTCACCCCTGGCCTGGCGTACATCATCATGCTCTGCCTGCTTCTCACCCCTGGCCTGGCGTACATCATCATGCTCTGCCTGCTTCTCACCCCTGGCCTGGCGTACATCATCATGCTCTGCGTGCTTCTCACCCCTGGCCTGGCGTACATCATCATGCTCTGCGTGATTCTCACCCCTGGCCTGGCGTACATCATCATGCTCTGCCTGCTTCTCACCCCTGGCCTGGCGTACATCATCATGCTCTGCCTGCTTCTCACCCCTGGCCTGGCGTACATCATCATGCTCTGCCTGCTTCTCACCCCTGGCCTGGCGTGCATCATCATGCTCTGCGTGCTTCTCACCCCTGGCCTGGCGTACATCATCATGCTCTGCGTGCTTCTCACCCCTGGCCTGGCGTGCATCATCATGCTCTGCGTGGTTCTCACCCCTGGCCTGGCGTACATCATCATGCTCTGCCTGCTTCTCACCCCTGGCCTGGCGTACATCATCATGCTCTGCATGGTTCTCACCCCTGGCCTGGCGTACATCATCATGCTCTGCCTGCTTCTCACCCCTGGCCTGGCGTACATCATCATGCTCTGCGTGCTTCTCACCCCTGGCCTGGCGTACATCATCATGCTCTGCGTGCTTCTCACCCCTGGCCTGGCGTACATCATCATGCTCTGCCTGCTTCTCACCCCTGGCCTGGCGTACATCATCATGCTCTGCCTGATTCTCACCCCTGGCCTGGCGTACATCATCATGCTCTGCGTGCTTCTCACCCCTGGCCTGGCGTACATCATCATGCTCTGCGTGCTTCTCACCCCTGGCCTGGCGTACATCATCATGCTCTGCCTGCTTCTCACCCCTGGCCTGGCGTACATCATCATGCTCTGCGTGCTTCTCACCCCTGGCCTGGCGTACATCATCATGCTCTGCGGGGTTCTCACCCCTGGCCTGGCGTACATCATCATGCTCTGCCTGCTTCTCACCCCTGGCCTGGCGTACATCATCATGCTCTGCGTGCTTCTCACCCCTGGCCTGGCGTACATCATCATGCTCTGCGTGCTTCTCACCCCTGGCCTGGCGTACATCATCATGCTCTGCGTGCTTCTCACCCCTGGCCTGGCGTACATCATCATGCTCTGCGTGCTTCTCACCCCTGGCCTGGCGTACATCATCATGCTCTGCGTGCTTCTCACCCCTGGCCTGGCGTACATCATCATGCTCTGCGTGCTTCTCACCCCTGGCCTGGCGTACATCATCATGCTCTGCGTGCTTCTCACCCCTGGCCTGGCGTACATCATCATGCTCTGCGTGCTTCTCACCCCTGGCCTGGCGTACATCATCATGCTCTGCCTGCTTCTCACCCCTGGCCTGGCGTACATCATCATGCTCTGCCTGCTTCTCACCCCTGGCCTGGCGTACATCATCATGCTCTGCGTGCTTCTCACCCCTGGCCTGGCGTGCATCATCATGCTCTGCCTGCTTCTGACCCCTGGCCTGGCGTACATCATCATGCTCTGCCTGCTTCTCACCCCTGGCCTGGCGTACATCATCATGCTCTGCGTGGTTCTCACCCCTGGCCTGGCGTACATCATCATGCTCTGCCTGCTTCTCACCCCTGGCCTGGCGTACATCATCATGCTCTGCGTGCTTCTCACCCCTGGCCTGGCGTACATCATCATGCTCTGCCTGCTTCTCACCCCTGGCCTGGCGTACATCATCATGCTCTGCCTGCTTCTCACCCCTGGCCTGGCGTACATCATCATGCTCTGCCTGCTTCTCACCCCTGGCCTGGCGTACATCATCATGCTCTGCGTGCTTCTCACCCCTGGCCTGGCGTACATCATCATGCTCTGCGTGCTTCTCACCCCTGGCCTGGCGTACATCATCATGCTCTGCCTGCTTCTCACCCCTGGCCTGGCGTACATCATCATGCTCTGCGTGCTTCTCACCCCTGGCCTGGCGTACATCATCATGCTCTGCGTGCTTCTCACCCCTGGCCTGGCGTACATCATCATGCTCTGCCTGCTTCTCACCCCTGGCCTGGCGTACATCATCATGCTCTGCCTGCTTCTCACCCCTGGCCTGGCGTACATCATCATGCTCTGCCTGCTTTCTCACCCCTGGCCTGGCGTACATCATCATGCTCTGCCTGCTTCTCACCCCTGGCCTGGCGTACATCATCATGCTCTGCGTGCTTCTCACCCCTGGCCTGGCGTACATCATCATGCTCTGCGTGCTTCTCACCCCTGGCCTGGCGTACATCATCATGCTCTGCGTGCTTCTCACCCCTGGCCTGGCGTACATCATCATGCTCTGCGTGCTTCTCACCCCTGGCCTGGCGTACATCATCATGCTCTGCCTGCTTCTCACCCCTGGCCTGGCGTACATCATCATGCTCTGCGTGCTTCTCACCCCTGGCCTGGCGTACATCATCATGCTCTGCGTGCTTCTCACCCCTGGCCTGGCGTACATCATCATGCTCTGCCTGCTTCTCACCCCTGGCCTGGCGTACATCATCATGCTCTGCGTGCTTCTCACCCCTGGCCTGGCGTACATCATCATGCTCTGCGTGCTTCTCACCCCTGGCCTGGCGTACATCATCATGCTCTGCGTGCTTCTCACCCCTGGCCTGGCGTACATCATCATGCTCTGCATGCTTCTCACCCCTGGCCTGGCGTACATCATCATGCTCTGCGTGCTTCTCACCCCTGGCCTGGCGTACATCATCATGCTCTGCCTGCTTCTCACCCCTGGCCTGGCGTACATCATCATGCTCTGCGTGCTTCTCACCCCTGGCCTGGCGTACATCATCATGCTCTGCCTGCTTCTCACCCCTGGCCTGGCGTACATCATCATGCTCTGCCTGCTTCTCACCCCTGGCCTGGCGTACATCATCATGCTCTGCGTGCTTCTCACCCCTGGCCTGGCGTACATCATCATGCTCTGCCTGCTTCTCACCCCTGGCCTGGCGTACATCATCATGCTCTGCGTGCTTCTCACCCCTGGCCTGGCGTACATCATCATGCTCTGCGTGCTTCTCACCCCTGGCCTGGCGTACATCATCATGCTCTGCCTGCTTCTCACCCCTGGCCTGGCGTACATCATCATGCTCTGCGTGCTTCTCACCCCTGGCCTGGCGTACATCATCATGCTCTGCGTGCTTCTCACCCCTGGCCTGGTACATCATGCTCTGCCTGCTTCTCACCCCTGGCCTGGCGTACATCATCATGCTCTGCCTGCTTCTCACCCCTGGCCTGGCGTACATCATCATGCTCTGCGTGCTTCTCACCCCTGGCCTGGCGTACATCATCATGCTCTGCGTGCTTCTCACCCCTGGCCTGGCGTACATCATCATGCTCTGCCTGCTTCTCACCCCTGGCCTGGCGTACATCATCATGCTCTGCGTGCTTCTCACCCCTGGCCTGGCGTACATCATCATGCTCTGCCGTGCTTCTCACCCCTGGCCTGGCGTACATCATCATGCTCTGCCTGCTTCTCACCCCTGGCCTGGCGTACATCATCATGCTCTGCGTGCTTCTCACCCCTGGCCTGGCGTACATCATCATGCTCTGCGTGCTTCTCACCCCTGGCCTGGCGTACATCATCATGCTCTGCGTGCTTCTCACCCCTGGCCTGGCGTACATCATCATGCTCTGCGTGCTTCTCACCCCTGGCCTGGCGTACATCATCATGCTCTGCGTGCTTCTCACCCCTGGCCTGGCGTACATCATCATGCTCTGCGTGCTTCTCACCCCTGGCCTGGCGTACATCATCATGCTCTGCGTGCTTCTCACCCCTGGCCTGGCGTACATCATCATGCTCTGCCTGCTTCTCACCCCTGGCCTGGCGTACATCATCATGCTCTGCCTGCTTCTCACCCCTGGCCTGGCGTACATCATCATGCTCTGCCTGCTTCTCACCCCTGGCCTGGCGTACATCATCATGCTCTGCGTGCTTCTCACCCCTGGCCTGGCGTACATCATCATGCTCTGCCTGCTTCTCACCCCTGGCCTGGCGTACATCATCATGCTCTGCGTGCTTCTCACCCCTGGCCTGGCGTACATCATCATGCTCTGCGTGCTTCTCACCCCTGGCCTGGCGTACATCATCATGCTCTGCCTGCTTCTCACCCCTGGCCTGGCGTACATCATCATGCTCTGCCTGCTTCTCACCCCTGGCCTGGCGTACATCATCATGCTCTGCGTGCTTCTCACCCCTGGCCTGGCGTACATCATCATGCTCTGCCTGCTTCTCACCCCTGGCCTGGCGTACATCATCATGCTCTGCGTGCTTCTCACCCCTGGCCTGGCGTACATCATCATGCTCTGCGTGCTTCTCACCCCTGGCCTGGCGTACATCATCATGCTCTGCGTGCTTCTCACCCCTGGCCTGGCGTACATCATCATGCTCTGCGTGCTTCTCACCCCTGGCCTGGCGTACATCATCATGCTCTGCGTGCTTCTCACCCCTGGCCTGGCGTACATCATCATGCTCTGCCTGCTTCTCACCCCTGGCCTGGCGTACATCATCATGCTCTGCGTGCTTCTCACCCCTGGCCTGGCGTACATCATCATGCTCTGCCTGCTTCTCACCCCTGGCCTGGCGTACATCATCATGCTCTGCCTGCTTCTCACCCCTGGCCTGGCGTACATCATCATGCTCTGCCTGCTTCTCACCCCTGGCCTGGCGTACATCATCATGCTCTGCGTGCTTCTCACCCCTGGCCTGGCGTACATCATCATGCTCTGCGTGCTTCTCACCCCTGGCCTGGCGTACATCATCATGCTCTGCGTGCTTCTCACCCCTGGCCTGGCGTACATCATCATGCTCTGCGTGCTTCTCACCCCTGGCCTGGCGTACATCATCATGCTCTGCGTGCTTCTCACCCCTGGCCTGGCGTACATCATCATGCTCTGCGTGCTTCTCACCCCTGGCCTGGCGTACATCATCATGCTCTGCGTGCTTCTCACCCCTGGCCTGGCGTACATCATCATGCTCTGCGTGCTTCTCACCCCTGGCCTGGCGTACATCATCATGCTCTGCGTGCTTCTCACCCCTGGCCTGGCGTACATCATCATGCTCTGCGTGCTTCTCACCCCTGGCCTGGCGTACATCATCATGCTCTGCGTGCTTCTCACCCCTGGCCTGGCGTACATCATCATGCTCTGCGTGCTTCTCACCCCTGGCCTGGCGTACATCATCATGCTCTGCGTGCTTCTCACCCCTGGCCTGGCGTACATCATCATGCTCTGCGTGCTTCTCACCCCTGGCCTGGCGTACATCATCATGCTCTGCGTGCTTCTCACCCCTGGCCTGGCGTACATCATCATGCTCTGCGTGCTTCTCACCCCTGGCCTGGCGTACATCATCATGCTCTGCCTGCTTCTCACCCTGGCCTGGCGTACATCATCATGCTCTGCCTGCTTCTCACCCCTGGCCTGGCGTACATCATCATGCTCTGCCTGCTTCTCACCCTGGCCTGGCGTACATCATCATGCTCTGCCTGCTTCTCACCCCTGGCCTGGCGTACATCATCATGCTCTGCCTGCTTCTCACCCCTGGCCTGGCGTACATCATCATGCTCTGCCTGCTTCTCACCCCTGGCCTGGCGTACATCATCATGCTCTGCGTGCTTCTCACCCCTGGCCTGGCGTACATCATCATGCTCTGCCGTGCTTCTCACCCCTGGCCTGGCGTACATCATCATGCTCTGCCTGCTTCTCACCCTGGCCTGGCGTACATCATCATGCTCTGCGTGCTTCTCACCCCTGGCCTGGCGTACATCATCATGCTCTGCGTGCTTCTCACCCCTGGCCTGGCGTACATCATCATCCTGCTTCTCACCCCTGCCTGGCGTACATCATCATGCTCCCCCTGGCCTGGCGTACATCATCATGCTCTGCGTGCTTCTCACCCCTGGCCTGGCGTACATCATCATGCTCTGCCTGCTTCTCACCCCTGGCCTGGCGTACATCATCATGCTCTGCGTGCTTCTCACCCCTGGCCTGGCGTACATCATCATGCTCTGCCTGCTTCTCACCCCTGGCCTGGCGTACATCATCATGCTCTGCGTGCTTCTCACCCCTGGCCTGGCGTACATCATCATGCTCTGCCTGCTTCTCACCCCTGGCCTGGCGTACATCATCATGCTCTGCCTGCTTCTCACCCCTGGCCTGGCGTACATCATCATGCTCTGCCTGCTTCTCACCCCTGGCCTGGCGTACATCATCATGCTCTGCCTGCTTCTCACCCCTGGCCTGGCGTACATCATCATGCTCTGCCGTGCTTCTCACCCCTGGCCTGGCGTACATCATCATGCTCTGCGTGCTTCTCACCCCTGGCCTGGCGTACATCATCATGCTCTGCCTGCTTCTCACCCCTGGCCTGGCGTACATCATCATGCTCTGCCTGCTTCTCACCCCTGGCCTGGCGTACATCATCATGCTCTGCCTGCTTCTCACCCCTGGCCTGGCGTACATCATCATGCTCTGCGTGCTTCTCACCCCTGGCCTGGCGTACATCATCATGCTCTGCGTGCTTCTCACCCCTGGCCTGGCGTACATCATCATGCTCTGCCTGCTTCTCACCCCTGGCCTGGCGTACATCATCATGCTCTGCCTGCTTCTCACCCCTGGCCTGGCGTACATCATCATGCTCTGCGTGCTTCTCACCCCTGGCCTGGCGTACATCATCATGCTCTGCGTGCTTCTCACCCCTGGCCTGGCGTACATCATCATGCTCTGCGTGCTTCTCACCCCTGGCCTGGCGTACATCATCATGCTCTGCGTGCTTCTCACCCCTGGCCTGGCGTACATCATCATGCTCTGCGTGCTTCTCACCCCTGGCCTGGCGTACATCATCATGCTCTGCGTGCTTCTCACCCCTGGCCTGGCGTACATCATCATGCTCTGCGTGCTTCTCACCCCTGGCCTGGCGTACATCATCATGCTCTGCCTGCTTCTCACCCCTGGCCTGGCGTACATCATCATGCTCTGCCTGCTTCTCACCCCTGGCCTGGCGTACATCATCATGCTCTGCCTGCTTCTCACCCCTGGCCTGGCGTACATCATCATGCTCTGCCTGCTTCTCACCCCTGGCCTGGCGTACATCATCATGCTCTGCGTGCTTCTCACCCCTGGCCTGGCGTACATCATCATGCTCTGCGTGCTTCTCACCCCTGGCCTGGCGTACATCATCATGCTCTGCCTGCTTCTCACCCCTGGCCTGGCGTACATCATCATGCTCTGCGTGCTTCTCACCCCTGGCCTGGCGTACATCATCATGCTCTGCGTGCTTCTCACCCCTGGCCTGGCGTACATCATCATGCTCTGCGTGCTTCTCACCCCTGGCCTGGCGTACATCATCATGCTCTGCCTGCTTCTCACCCCTGGCCTGGCGTACATCATCATGCTCTGCCTGCTTCTCACCCCTGGCCTGGCGTACATCATCATGCTCTGCCTGCTTCTCACCCCTGGCCTGGCGTACATCATCATGCTCTGCGTGCTTCTCACCCCTGGCCTGGCGTACATCATCATGCTCTGCCTGCTTCTCACCCCTGGCCTGGCGTACATCATCATGCTCTGCCTGCTTCTCACCCCTGGCCTGGCGTACATCATCATGCTCTGCGTGCTTCTCACCCCTGGCCTGGCGTACATCATCATGCTCTGCCTGCTTCTCACCCCTGGCCTGGCGTACATCATCATGCTCTGCTGCTTCTCACCCCTGGCCTGGCGTACATCATCATGCTCTGCCTGCTTCTCACCCCTGGCCTGGCGTACATCATCATGCTCTGCCTGCTTCTCACCCCTGGCCTGGCGTACATCATCATGCTCTGCGTGCTTCTCACCCCTGGCCTGGCGTACATCATCATGCTCTGCGTGCTTCTCACCCCTGGCCTGGCGTACATCATCATGCTCTGCGTGCTTCTCACCCCTGGCCTGGCGTACATCATCATGCTCTGCCGTGCTTCTCACCCCTGGCCTGGCGTACATCATCATGCTCTGCGTGCTTCTCACCCCTGGCCTGGCGTACATCATCATGCTCTGCGTGCTTCTCACCCCTGGCCTGGCGTACATCATCATGCTCTGCGTGCTTCTCACCCCTGGCCTGGCGTACATCATCATGCTCTGCCTGCTTCTCACCCCTGGCCTGGCGTACATCATCATGCTCTGCGTGCTTCTCACCCCTGGCCTGGCGTACATCATCATGCTCTGCGTGCTTCTCACCCCTGGCCTGGCGTACATCATCATGCTCTGCCTGCTTCTCACCCCTGGCCTGGCGTACATCATCATGCTCTGCCTGCTTCTCACCCCTGGCCTGGCGTACATCATCATGCTCTGCGTGCTTCTCACCCCTGGCCTGGCGTACATCATCATGCTCTGCCTGCTTCTCACCCCTGGCCTGGCGTACATCATCATGCTCTGCCGTGCTTCTCACCCCTGGCCTGGCGTACATCATCATGCTCTGCCTGCTTCTCACCCCTGGCCTGGCGTACATCATCATGCTCTGCCTGCTTCTCACCCCTGGCCTGGCGTACATCATCATGCTCTGCGTGCTTCTCACCCCTGGCCTGGCGTACATCATCATGCTCTGCCTGCTTCTCACCCCTGGCCTGGCGTACATCATCATGCTCTGCCTGCTTCTCACCCCTGGCCTGGCGTACATCATCATGCTCTGCCTGCTTCTCACCCCTGGCCTGGCGTACATCATCATGCTCTGCCTGCTTCTCACCCCTGGCCTGGCGTACATCATCATGCTCTGCGTGCTTCTCACCCCTGGCCTGGCGTACATCATCATGCTCTGCGTGCTTCTCACCCCTGGCCTGGCGTACATCATCATGCTCTGCCTGCTTCTCACCCCTGGCCTGGCGTACATCATCATGCTCTGCGTGCTTCTCACCCCTGGCCTGGCGTACATCATCATGCTCTGCGTGCTTCTCACCCCTGGCCTGGCGTACATCATCATGCTCTGCGTGCTTCTCACCCCTGGCCTGGCGTACATCATCATGCTCTGCGTGCTTCTCACCCCTGGCCTGGCGTACATCATCATGCTCTGCGTGCTTCTCACCCCTGGCCTGGCGTACATCATCATGCTCTGCGTGCTTCTCACCCCTGGCCTGGCGTACATCATCATGCTCTGCTGCTTCTCACCCCTGGCCTGGCGTACATCATCATGCTCTGCCTGCTTCTCACCCCTGGCCTGGCGTACATCATCATGCTCTGCGTGCTTCTCACCCCTGGCCTGGCGTACATCATCATGCTCTGCTGCTACCTGGGCTCATCATGGTCTCACCCCTGGCCTGGCGTACATCATCATGCTCTGCGTGCTTCTCACCCCTGGCCTGGCGTACATCATCATGCTCTGCCTGCTTCTCACCCCTGGCCTGGCGTACATCATCATGCTCTGCGTGCTTCTCACCCCTGGCCTGGCGTACATCATCATGCTCTGCCTGCTTCTCACCCCTGGCCTGGCGTACATCATCATGCTCTGCCTGCTTCTCACCCCTGGCCTGGCGTACATCATCATGCTCTGCGTGCTTCTCACCCCTGGCCTGGCGTACATCATCATGCTCTGCGTGCTTCTCACCCCTGGCCTGGCGTACATCATCATGCTCTGCCTGCTTCTCACCCCTGGCCTGGCGTACATCATCATGCTCTGCGTGCTTCTCACCCCTGGCCTGGCGTACATCATCATGCTCTGCGTGCTTCTCACCCCTGGCCTGGCGTACATCATCATGCTCTGCGTGCTTCTCACCCCTGGCCTGGCGTACATCATCATGCTCTGCGTGCTTCTCACCCCTGGCCTGGCGTACATCATCATGCTCTGCGTGCTTCTCACCCCTGGCCTGGCGTACATCATCATGCTCTGCCTGCTTCTCACCCCTGGCCTGGCGTACATCATCATGCTCTGCCTGCTTCTCACCCCTGGCCTGGCGTACATCATCATGCTCTGCGTGCTTCTCACCCCTGGCCTGGCGTACATCATCATGCTCTGCCTGCTTCTCACCCCTGGCCTGGCGTACATCATCATGCTCTGCGTGCTTCTCACCCCTGGCCTGGCGTACATCATCATGCTCTGCGTGCTTCTCACCCCTGGCCTGGCGTACATCATCATGCTCTGCCTGCTTCTCACCCCTGGCCTGGCGTACATCATCATGCTCTGCGTGCTTCTCACCCCTGGCCTGGCGTACATCATCATGCTCTGCCTGCTTCTCACCCCTGGCCTGGCGTACATCATCATGCTCTGCGTGCTTCTCACCCCTGGCCTGGCGTACATCATCATGCTCTGCCTGCTTCTCACCCCTGGCCTGGCGTACATCATCATGCTCTGCCTGCTTCTCACCCCTGGCCTGGCGTACATCATCATGCTCTGCCTGCTTCTCACCCCTGGCCTGGCGTACATCATCATGCTCTGCGTGCTTCTCACCCCTGGCCTGGCGTACATCATCATGCTCTGCGTGCTTCTCACCCCTGGCCTGGCGTACATCATCATGCTCTGCGTGCTTCTCACCCCTGGCCTGGCGTACATCATCATGCTCTGCCTGCTTCTCACCCCTGGCCTGGCGTACATCATCATGCTCTGCCTGCTTCTCACCCCTGGCCTGGCGTACATCATCATGCTCTGCGTGCTTCTCACCCCTGGCCTGGCGTACATCATCATGCTCTGCGTGCTTCTCACCCCTGGCCTGGCGTACATCATCATGCTCTGCGTGCTTCTCACCCCTGGCCTGGCGTACATCATCATGCTCTGCGTGCTTCTCACCCCTGGCCTGGCGTACATCATCATGCTCTGCCTGCTTCTCACCCCTGGCCTGGCGTACATCATCATGCTCTGCGTGCTTCTCACCCCTGGCCTGGCGTACATCATCATGCTCTGCCTGCTTCTCACCCCTGGCCTGGCGTACATCATCATGCTCTGCCTGCTTCTCACCCCTGGCCTGGCGTACATCATCATGCTCTGCCTGCTTCTCACCCCTGGCCTGGCGTACATCATCATGCTCTGCCTGCTTCTCACCCCTGGCCTGGCGTACATCATCATGCTCTGCGTGCTTCTCACCCCTGGCCTGGCGTACATCATCATGCTCTGCCTGCTTCTCACCCCTGGCCTGGCGTACATCATCATGCTCTGCGTGCTTCTCACCCCTGGCCTGGCGTACATCATCATGCTCTGCGTGCTTCTCACCCCTGGCCTGGCGTACATCATCATGCTCTGCCTGCTTCTCACCCCTGGCCTGGCGTACATCATCATGCTCTGCCTGCTTCTCACCCCTGGCCTGGCGTACATCATCATGCTCTGCGTGCTTCTCACCCCTGGCCTGGCGTACATCATCATGCTCTGCCGTGCTTCTCACCCCTGGCCTGGCGTACATCATCATGCTCTGCCTGCTTCTCACCCCTGGCCTGGCGTACATCATCATGCTCTGCCTGCTTCTCACCCCTGGCCTGGCGTACATCATCATGCTCTGCGTGCTTCTCACCCCTGGCCTGGCGTACATCATCATGCTCTGCGTGCTTCTCACCCCTGGCCTGGCGTACATCATCATGCTCTGCCTGCTTCTCACCCCTGGCCTGGCGTACATCATCATGCTCTGCGTGCTTCTCACCCCTGGCCTGGCGTACATCATCATGCTCTGCCTGCTTCTCACCCCTGGCCTGGCGTACATCATCATGCTCTGCCTGCTTCTCACCCCTGGCCTGGCGTACATCATCATGCTCTGCCTGCTTCTCACCCCTGGCCTGGCGTACATCATCATGCTCTGCGTGCTTCTCACCCCTGGCCTGGCGTACATCATCATGCTCTGCGTGCTTCTCACCCCTGGCCTGGCGTACATCATCATGCTCTGCCTGCTTCTCACCCCTGGCCTGGCGTACATCATCATGCTCTGCCTGCTTCTCACCCCTGGCCTGGCGTACATCATCATGCTCTGCCTGCTTCTCACCCCTGGCCTGGCGTACATCATCATGCTCTGCGTGCTTCTCACCCCTGGCCTGGCGTACATCATCATGCTCTGCGTGCTTCTCACCCCTGGCCTGGCGTACATCATCATGCTCTGCCGTGCTTCTCACCCCTGGCCTGGCGTACATCATCATGCTCTGCGTGCTTCTCACCCCTGGCCTGGCGTACATCATCATGCTCTGCCTGCTTCTCACCCCTGGCCTGGCGTACATCATCATGCTCTGCCTGCTTCTCACCCCTGGCCTGGCGTACATCATCATGCTCTGCGTGCTTCTCACCCCTGGCCTGGCGTACATCATCATGCTCTGCGTGCTTCTCACCCCTGGCCTGGCGTACATCATCATGCTCTGCGTGCTTCTCACCCCTGGCCTGGCGTACATCATCATGCTCTGCCTGCTTCTCACCCCTGGCCTGGCGTACATCATCATGCTCTGCGTGCTTCTCACCCCTGGCCTGGCGTACATCATCATGCTCTGCGTGCTTCTCACCCCTGGCCTGGCGTACATCATCATGCTCTGCCTGCTTCTCACCCCTGGCCTGGCGTACATCATCATGCTCTGCCTGCTTCTCACCCCTGGCCTGGCGTACATCATCATGCTCTGCGTGCTTCTCACCCCTGGCCTGGCGTACATCATCATGCTCTGCCTGCTTCTCACCCCTGGCCTGGCGTACATCATCATGCTCTGCCTGCTTCTCACCCCTGGCCTGGCGTACATCATCATGCTCTGCGTGCTTCTCACCCCTGGCCTGGCGTACATCATCATGCTCTGCGTGCTTCTCACCCCTGGCCTGGCGTACATCATCATGCTCTGCCTGCTTCTCACCCCTGGCCTGGCGTACATCATCATGCTCTGCGTGCTTCTCACCCCTGGCCTGGCGTACATCATCATGCTCTGCGTGCTTCTCACCCCTGGCCTGGCGTACATCATCATGCTCTGCCTGCTTCTCACCCCTGGCCTGGCGTACATCATCATGCTCTGCCTGCTTCTCACCCCTGGCCTGGCGTACATCATCATGCTCTGCGTGCTTCTCACCCCTGGCCTGGCGTACATCATCATGCTCTGCCTGCTTCTCACCCCTGGCCTGGCGTACATCATCATGCTCTGCGTGCTTCTCACCCCTGGCCTGGCGTACATCATCATGCTCTGCGTGCTTCTCACCCCTGGCCTGGCGTACATCATCATGCTCTGCGTGCTTCTCACCCCTGGCCTGGCGTACATCATCATGCTCTGCCTGCTTCTCACCCCTGGCCTGGCGTACATCATCATGCTCTGCCTGCTTCTCACCCCTGGCCTGGCGTACATCATCATGCTCTGCCTGCTTCTCACCCCTGGCCTGGCGTACATCATCATGCTCTGCCTGCTTCTCACCCCTGGCCTGGCGTACATCATCATGCTCTGCCTGCTTCTCACCCCTGGCCTGGCGTACATCATCATGCTCTGCCTGCTTCTCACCCCTGGCCTGGCGTACATCATCATGCTCTGCCTGCTTCTCACCCCTGGCCTGGCGTACATCATCATGCTCTGCCTGCTTCTCACCCCTGGCCTGGCGTACATCATCATGCTCTGCCTGCTTCTCACCCCTGGCCTGGCGTACATCATCATGCTCTGCGTGCTTCTCACCCCTGGCCTGGCGTACATCATCATGCTCTGCGTGCTTCTCACCCCTGGCCTGGCGTACATCATCATGCTCTGCCTGCTTCTCACCCCTGGCCTGGCGTACATCATCATGCTCTGCGTGCTTCTCACCCCTGGCCTGGCGTACATCATCATGCTCTGCGTGCTTCTCACCCCTGGCCTGGCGTACATCATCATGCTCTGCGTGCTTCTCACCCCTGGCCTGGCGTACATCATCATGCTCTGCCTGCTTCTCACCCCTGGCCTGGCGTACATCATCATGCTCTGCCTGCTTCTCACCCCTGGCCTGGCGTACATCATCATGCTCTGCCTGCTTCTCACCCCTGGCCTGGCGTACATCATCATGCTCTGCGTGCTTCTCACCCCTGGCCTGGCGTACATCATCATGCTCTGCCTGCTTCTCACCCCTGGCCTGGCGTACATCATCATGCTCTGCCTGCTTCTCACCCCTGGCCTGGCGTACATCATCATGCTCTGCGTGCTTCTCACCCCTGGCCTGGCGTACATCATCATGCTCTGCGTGCTTCTCACCCCTGGCCTGGCGTACATCATCATGCTCTGCGTGCTTCTCACCCCTGGCCTGGCGTACATCATCATGCTCTGCGTGCTTCTCACCCCTGGCCTGGCGTACATCATCATGCTCTGCCTGCTTCTCACCCCTGGCCTGGCGTACATCATCATGCTCTGCGTGCTTCTCACCCCTGGCCTGGCGTACATCATCATGCTCTGCGTGCTTCTCACCCCTGGCCTGGCGTACATCATCATGCTCTGCCTGCTTCTCACCCCTGGCCTGGCGTACATCATCATGCTCTGCCTGCTTCTCACCCCTGGCCTGGCGTACATCATCATGCTCTGCGTGCTTCTCACCCCTGGCCTGGCGTACATCATCATGCTCTGCGTGCTTCTCACCCCTGGCCTGGCGTACATCATCATGCTCTGCCTGCTTCTCACCCCTGGCCTGGCGTACATCATCATGCTCTGCCTGCTTCTCACCCCTGGCCTGGCGTACATCATCATGCTCTGCCTGCTTCTCACCCCTGGCCTGGCGTACATCATCATGCTCTGCGTGCTTCTCACCCCTGGCCTGGCGTACATCATCATGCTCTGCGTGCTTCTCACCCCTGGCCTGGCGTACATCATCATGCTCTGCCTGCTTCTCACCCCTGGCCTGGCGTACATCATCATGCTCTGCGTGCTTCTCACCCCTGGCCTGGCGTACATCATCATGCTCTGCGTGCTTCTCACCCCTGGCCTGGCGTACATCATCATGCTCTGCGTGCTTCTCACCCCTGGCCTGGCGTACATCATCATGCTCTGCGTGCTTCTCACCCCTGGCCTGGCGTACATCATCATGCTCTGCGTGCTTCTCACCCCTGGCCTGGCGTACATCATCATGCTCTGCCTGCTTCTCACCCCTGGCCTGGCGTACATCATCATGCTCTGCCTGCTTCTCACCCCTGGCCTGGCGTACATCATCATGCTCTGCGTGCTTCTCACCCCTGGCCTGGCGTACATCATCATGCTCTGCGTGCTTCTCACCCCTGGCCTGGCGTACATCATCATGCTCTGCGTGCTTCTCACCCCTGGCCTGGCGTACATCATCATGCTCTGCCTGCTTCTCACCCCTGGCCTGGCGTACATCATCATGCTCTGCCTGCTTCTCACCCCTGGCCTGGCGTACATCATCATGCTCTGCCTGCTTCTCACCCCTGGCCTGGCGTACATCATCATGCTCTGCCTGCTTCTCACCCCTGGCCTGGCGTACATCATCATGCTCTGCCTGCTTCTCACCCCTGGCCTGGCGTACATCATCATGCTCTGCCTGCTTCTCACCCCTGGCCTGGCGTACATCATCATGCTCTGCCTGCTTCTCACCCCTGGCCTGGCGTACATCATCATGCTCTGCCTGCTTCTCACCCCTGGCCTGGCGTACATCATCATGCTCTGCGTGCTTCTCACCCCTGGCCTGGCGTACATCATCATGCTCTGCCTGCTTCTCACCCCTGGCCTGGCGTACATCATCATGCTCTGCCTGCTTCTCACCCCTGGCCTGGCGTACATCATCATGCTCTGCCTGCTTCTCACCCCTGGCCTGGCGTACATCATCATGCTCTGCCTGCTTCTCACCCCTGGCCTGGCGTACATCATCATGCTCTGCCTGCTTCTCACCCCTGGCCTGGCGTACATCATCATGCTCTGCCTGCTTCTCACCCCTGGCCTGGCGTACATCATCATGCTCTGCCTGCTTCTCACCCCTGGCCTGGCGTACATCATCATGCTCTGCCTGCTTCTCACCCCTGGCCTGGCGTACATCATCATGCTCTGCCTGCTTCTCACCCCTGGCCTGGCGTACATCATCATGCTCTGCGTGCTTCTCACCCCTGGCCTGGCGTACATCATCATGCTCTGCGTGCTTCTCACCCCTGGCCTGGCGTACATCATCATGCTCTGCGTGCTTCTCACCCCTGGCCTGGCGTACATCATCATGCTCTGCGTGCTTCTCACCCCTGGCCTGGCGTACATCATCATGCTCTGCGTGCTTCTCACCCCTGGCCTGGCGTACATCATCATGCTCTGCGTGCTTCTCACCCCTGGCCTGGCGTACATCATCATGCTCTGCGTGCTTCTCACCCCTGGCCTGGCGTACATCATCATGCTCTGCGTGCTTCTCACCCCTGGCCTGGCGTACATCATCATGCTCTGCGTGCTTCTCACCCCTGGCCTGGCGTACATCATCATGCTCTGCGTGCTTCTCACCCCTGGCCTGGCGTACATCATCATGCTCTGCCTGCTTCTCACCCCTGGCCTGGCGTACATCATCATGCTCTGCCTGCTTCTCACCCCTGGCCTGGCGTACATCATCATGCTCTGCCTGCTTCTCACCCCTGGCCTGGCGTACATCATCATGCTCTGCGTGCTTCTCACCCCTGGCCTGGCGTACATCATCATGCTCTGCGTGCTTCTCACCCCTGGCCTGGCGTACATCATCATGCTCTGCGTGCTTCTCACCCCTGGCCTGGCGTACATCATCATGCTCTGCGTGCTTCTCACCCCTGGCCTGGCGTACATCATCATGCTCTGCCTGCTTCTCACCCCTGGCCTGGCGTACATCATCATGCTCTGCCTGCTTCTCACCCCTGGCCTGGCGTACATCATCATGCTCTGCCTGCTTCTCACCCCTGGCCTGGCGTACATCATCATGCTCTGCGTGCTTCTCACCCCTGGCCTGGCGTACATCATCATGCTCTGCGTGCTTCTCACCCCTGGCCTGGCGTACATCATCATGCTCTGCCTGCTTCTCACCCCTGGCCTGGCGTACATCATCATGCTCTGCGTGCTTCTCACCCCTGGCCTGGCGTACATCATCATGCTCTGCGTGCTTCTCACCCCTGGCCTGGCGTACATCATCATGCTCTGCCTGCTTCTCACCCCTGGCCTGGCGTACATCATCATGCTCTGCCTGCTTCTCACCCCTGGCCTGGCGTACATCATCATGCTCTGCCTGCTTCTCACCCCTGGCCTGGCGTACATCATCATGCTCTGCCTGCTTCTCACCCCTGGCCTGGCGTACATCATCATGCTCTGCCTGCTTCTCACCCCTGGCCTGGCGTACATCATCATGCTCTGCCTGCTTCTCACCCCTGGCCTGGCGTACATCATCATGCTCTGCCTGCTTCTCACCCCTGGCCTGGCGTACATCATCATGCTCTGCCTGCTTCTCACCCCTGGCCTGGCGTACATCATCATGCTCTGCGTGCTTCTCACCCCTGGCCTGGCGTACATCATCATGCTCTGCCTGCTTCTCACCCCTGGCCTGGCGTACATCATCATGCTCTGCCTGCTTCTCACCCCTGGCCTGGCGTACATCATCATGCTCTGCTGCTTCTCACCCCTGGCCTGGCGTACATCATCATGCTCTGCGTGCTTCTCACCCCTGGCCTGGCGTACATCATCATGCTCTGCCTGCTTCTCACCCCTGGCCTGGCGTACATCATCATGCTCTGCCTGCTTCTCACCCCTGGCCTGGCGTACATCATCATGCTCTGCCTGCTTCTCACCCCTGGCCTGGCGTACATCATCATGCTCTGCCTGCTTCTCACCCCTGGCCTGGCGTACATCATCATGCTCTGCCTGCTTCTCACCCCTGGCCTGGCGTACATCATCATGCTCTGCCTGCTTCTCACCCCTGGCCTGGCGTACATCATCATGCTCTGCGTGCTTCTCACCCCTGGCCTGGCGTACATCATCATGCTCTGCGTGCTTCTCACCCCTGGCCTGGCGTACATCATCATGCTCTGCCTGCTTCTCACCCCTGGCCTGGCGTACATCATCATGCTCTGCGTGCTTCTCACCCCTGGCCTGGCGTACATCATCATGCTCTGCGTGCTTCTCACCCCTGGCCTGGCGTACATCATCATGCTCTGCCTGCTTCTCACCCCTGGCCTGGCGTACATCATCATGCTCTGCCTGCTTCTCACCCCTGGCCTGGCGTACATCATCATGCTCTGCCTGCTTCTCACCCCTGGCCTGGCGTACATCATCATGCTCTGCCTGCTTCTCACCCCTGGCCTGGCGTACATCATCATGCTCTGCCTGCTTCTCACCCCTGGCCTGGCGTACATCATCATGCTCTGCCTGCTTCTCACCCCTGGCCTGGCGTACATCATCATGCTCTGCCTGCTTCTCACCCCTGGCCTGGCGTACATCATCATGCTCTGCGTGCTTCTCACCCCTGGCCTGGCGTACATCATCATGCTCTGCCTGCTTCTCACCCCTGGCCTGGCGTACATCATCATGCTCTGCCTGCTTCTCACCCCTGGCCTGGCGTACATCATCATGCTCTGCGTGCTTCTCACCCCTGGCCTGGCGTACATCATCATGCTCTGCGTGCTTCTCACCCCTGGCCTGGCGTACATCATCATGCTCTGCGTGCTTCTCACCCCTGGCCTGGCGTACATCATCATGCTCTGCCTGCTTCTCACCCCTGGCCTGGCGTACATCATCATGCTCTGCGTGCTTCTCACCCCTGGCCTGGCGTACATCATCATGCTCTGCGTGCTTCTCACCCCTGGCCTGGCGTACATCATCATGCTCTGCGTGCTTCTCACCCCTGGCCTGGCGTACATCATCATGCTCTGCGTGCTTCTCACCCCTGGCCTGGCGTACATCATCATGCTCTGCGTGCTTCTCACCCCTGGCCTGGCGTACATCATCATGCTCTGCCTGCTTCTCACCCCTGGCCTGGCGTACATCATCATGCTCTGCGTGCTTCTCACCCCTGGCCTGGCGTACATCATCATGCTCTGCCTGCTTCTCACCCCTGGCCTGGCGTACATCATCATGCTCTGCCTGCTTCTCACCCCTGGCCTGGCGTACATCATCATGCTCTGCCTGCTTCTCACCCCTGGCCTGGCGTACATCATCATGCTCTGCCTGCTTCTCACCCCTGGCCTGGCGTACATCATCATGCTCTGCCTGCTTCTCACCCCTGGCCTGGCGTACATCATCATGCTCTGCGTGCTTCTCACCCCTGGCCTGGCGTACATCATCATGCTCTGCGTGCTTCTCACCCCTGGCCTGGCGTACATCATCATGCTCTGCGTGCTTCTCACCCCTGGCCTGGCGTACATCATCATGCTCTGCGTGCTTCTCACCCCTGGCCTGGCGTACATCATCATGCTCTGCGTGCTTCTCACCCCTGGCCTGGCGTACATCATCATGCTCTGCGTGCTTCTCACCCCTGGCCTGGCGTACATCATCATGCTCTGCGTGCTTCTCACCCCTGGCCTGGCGTACATCATCATGCTCTGCGTGCTTCTCACCCCTGGCCTGGCGTACATCATCATGCTCTGCCTGCTTCTCACCCCTGGCCTGGCGTACATCATCATGCTCTGCCTGCTTCTCACCCCTGGCCTGGCGTACATCATCATGCTCTGCCTGCTTCTCACCCCTGGCCTGGCGTACATCATCATGCTCTGCCTGCTTCTCACCCCTGGCCTGGCGTACATCATCATGCTCTGCCTGCTTCTCACCCCTGGCCTGGCGTACATCATCATGCTCTGCCTGCTTCTCACCCCTGGCCTGGCGTACATCATCATGCTCTGCCTGCTTCTCACCCCTGGCCTGGCGTACATCATCATGCTCTGCCTGCTTCTCACCCCTGGCCTGGCGTACATCATCATGCTCTGCCTGCTTCTCACCCCTGGCCTGGCGTACATCATCATGCTCTGCCTGCTTCTCACCCCTGGCCTGGCGTACATCATCATGCTCTGCCTGCTTCTCACCCCTGGCCTGGCGTACATCATCATGCTCTGCCTGCTTCTCACCCCTGGCCTGGCGTACATCATCATGCTCTGCGTGCTTCTCACCCCTGGCCTGGCGTACATCATCATGCTCTGCGTGCTTCTCACCCCTGGCCTGGCGTACATCATCATGCTCTGCGTGCTTCTCACCCCTGGCCTGGCGTACATCATCATGCTCTGCGTGCTTCTCACCCCTGGCCTGGCGTACATCATCATGCTCTGCGTGCTTCTCACCCCTGGCCTGGCGTACATCATCATGCTCTGCGTGCTTCTCACCCCTGGCCTGGCGTACATCATCATGCTCTGCGTGCTTCTCACCCCTGGCCTGGCGTACATCATCATGCTCTGCGTGCTTCTCACCCCTGGCCTGGCGTACATCATCATGCTCTGCGTGCTTCTCACCCCTGGCCTGGCGTACATCATCATGCTCTGCGTGCTTCTCACCCCTGGCCTGGCGTACATCATCATGCTCTGCCTGCTTCTCACCCCTGGCCTGGCGTACATCATCATGCTCTGCCTGCTTCTCACCCCTGGCCTGGCGTACATCATCATGCTCTGCCTGCTTCTCACCCCTGGCCTGGCGTACATCATCATGCTCTGCCTGCTTCTCACCCCTGGCCTGGCGTACATCATCATGCTCTGCCTGCTTCTCACCCCTGGCCTGGCGTACATCATCATGCTCTGCCTGCTTCTCACCCCTGGCCTGGCGTACATCATCATGCTCTGCGTGCTTCTCACCCCTGGCCTGGCGTACATCATCATGCTCTGCCTGCTTCTCACCCCTGGCCTGGCGTACATCATCATGCTCTGCCTGCTTCTCACCCCTGGCCTGGCGTACATCATCATGCTCTGCGTGCTTCTCACCCCTGGCCTGGCGTACATCATCATGCTCTGCGTGCTTCTCACCCCTGGCCTGGCGTACATCATCATGCTCTGCGTGCTTCTCACCCCTGGCCTGGCGTACATCATCATGCTCTGCGTGCTTCTCACCCCTGGCCTGGCGTACATCATCATGCTCTGCCTGCTTCTCACCCCTGGCCTGGCGTACATCATCATGCTCTGCCTGCTTCTCACCCCTGGCCTGGCGTACATCATCATGCTCTGCCTGCTTCTCACCCCTGGCCTGGCGTACATCATCATGCTCTGCCTGCTTCTCACCCCTGGCCTGGCGTACATCATCATGCTCTGCGTGCTTCTCACCCCTGGCCTGGCGTACATCATCATGCTCTGCGTGCTTCTCACCCCTGGCCTGGCGTACATCATCATGCTCTGCGTGCTTCTCACCCCTGGCCTGGCGTACATCATCATGCTCTGCGTGCTTCTCACCCCTGGCCTGGCGTACATCATCATGCTCTGCGTGCTTCTCACCCCTGGCCTGGCGTACATCATCATGCTCTGCCTGCTTCTCACCCCTGGCCTGGCGTACATCATCATGCTCTGCCTGCTTCTCACCCCTGGCCTGGCGTACATCATCATGCTCTGCCTGCTTCTCACCCCTGGCCTGGCGTACATCATCATGCTCTGCCTGCTTCTCACCCCTGGCCTGGCGTACATCATCATGCTCTGCCTGCTTCTCACCCCTGGCCTGGCGTACATCATCATGCTCTGCCTGCTTCTCACCCCTGGCCTGGCGTACATCATCATGCTCTGCCTGCTTCTCACCCCTGGCCTGGCGTACATCATCATGCTCTGCCTGCTTCTCACCCCTGGCCTGGCGTACATCATCATGCTCTGCGTGCTTCTCACCCCTGGCCTGGCGTACATCATCATGCTCTGCCTGCTTCTCACCCCTGGCCTGGCGTACATCATCATGCTCTGCCTGCTTCTCACCCCTGGCCTGGCGTACATCATCATGCTCTGCCTGCTTCTCACCCCTGGCCTGGCGTACATCATCATGCTCTGCGTGCTTCTCACCCCTGGCCTGGCGTACATCATCATGCTCTGCCTGCTTCTCACCCCTGGCCTGGCGTACATCATCATGCTCTGCCTGCTTCTCACCCCTGGCCTGGCGTACATCATCATGCTCTGCCGTGCTTCTCACCCCTGGCCTGGCGTACATCATCATGCTCTGCCTGCTTCTCACCCCTGGCCTGGCGTACATCATCATGCTCTGCGTGCTTCTCACCCCTGGCCTGGCGTACATCATCATGCTCTGCCTGCTTCTCACCCCTGGCCTGGCGTACATCATCATGCTCTGCCTGCTTCTCACCCCTGGCCTGGCGTACATCATCATGCTCTGCCTGCTTCTCACCCCTGGCCTGGCGTACATCATCATGCTCTGCCGTGCTTCTCACCCCTGGCCTGGCGTACATCATCATGCTCTGCCTGCTTCTCACCCCTGGCCTGGCGTACATCATCATGCTCTGCCTGCTTCTCACCCCTGGCCTGGCGTACATCATCATGCTCTGCCTGCTTCTCACCCCTGGCCTGGCGTACATCATCATGCTCTGCCTGCTTCTCACCCCTGGCCTGGCGTACATCATCATGCTCTGCGTGCTTCTCACCCCTGGCCTGGCGTACATCATCATGCTCTGCCTGCTTCTCACCCCTGGCCTGGCGTACATCATCATGCTCTGCGTGCTTCTCACCCCTGGCCTGGCGTACATCATCATGCTCTGCGTGCTTCTCACCCCTGGCCTGGCGTACATCATCATGCTCTGCCTGCTTCTCACCCCTGGCCTGGCGTACATCATCATGCTCTGCCTGCTTCTCACCCCTGGCCTGGCGTACATCATCATGCTCTGCCTGCTTCTCACCCCTGGCCTGGCGTACATCATCATGCTCTGCCTGCTTCTCACCCCTGGCCTGGCGTACATCATCATGCTCTGCCTGCTTCTCACCCCTGGCCTGGCGTACATCATCATGCTCTGCCTGCTTCTCACCCCTGGCCTGGCGTACATCATCATGCTCTGCGTGCTTCTCACCCCTGGCCTGGCGTACATCATCATGCTCTGCGTGCTTCTCACCCCTGGCCTGGCGTACATCATCATGCTCTGCCTGCTTCTCACCCCTGGCCTGGCGTACATCATCATGCTCTGCCGTGCTTCTCACCCCTGGCCTGGCGTACATCATCATGCTCTGCCTGCTTCTCACCCCTGGCCTGGCGTACATCATCATGCTCTGCCTGCTTCTCACCCCTGGCCTGGCGTACATCATCATGCTCTGCCTGCTTCTCACCCCTGGCCTGGCGTACATCATCATGCTCTGCGTGCTTCTCACCCCTGGCCTGGCGTACATCATCATGCTCTGCCTGCTTCTCACCCCTGGCCTGGCGTACATCATCATGCTCTGCCTGCTTCTCACCCCTGGCCTGGCGTACATCATCATGCTCTGCCTGCTTCTCACCCCTGGCCTGGCGTACATCATCATGCTCTGCCTGCTTCTCACCCCTGGCCTGGCGTACATCATCATGCTCTGCGTGCTTCTCACCCCTGGCCTGGCGTACATCATCATGCTCTGCCTGCTTCTCACCCCTGGCCTGGCGTACATCATCATGCTCTGCCTGCTTCTCACCCCTGGCCTGGCGTACATCATCATGCTCTGCCTGCTTCTCACCCCTGGCCTGGCGTACATCATCATGCTCTGCCTGCTTCTCACCCCTGGCCTGGCGTACATCATCATGCTCTGCCTGCTTCTCACCCCTGGCCTGGCGTACATCATCATGCTCTGCCTGCTTCTCACCCCTGGCCTGGCGTACATCATCATGCTCTGCCTGCTTCTCACCCCTGGCCTGGCGTACATCATCATGCTCTGCGTGCTTCTCACCCCTGGCCTGGCGTACATCATCATGCTCTGCCTGCTTCTCACCCCTGGCCTGGCGTACATCATCATGCTCTGCCTGCTTCTCACCCCTGGCCTGGCGTACATCATCATGCTCTGCCTGCTTCTCACCCCTGGCCTGGCGTACATCATCATGCTCTGCCTGCTTCTCACCCCTGGCCTGGCGTACATCATCATGCTCTGCCTGCTTCTCACCCCTGGCCTGGCGTACATCATCATGCTCTGCCTGCTTCTCACCCCTGGCCTGGCGTACATCATCATGCTCTGCGTGCTTCTCACCCCTGGCCTGGCGTACATCATCATGCTCTGCGTGCTTCTCACCCCTGGCCTGGCGTACATCATCATGCTCTGCGTGCTTCTCACCCCTGGCCTGGCGTACATCATCATGCTCTGCGTGCTTCTCACCCCTGGCCTGGCGTACATCATCATGCTCTGCCTGCTTCTCACCCCTGGCCTGGCGTACATCATCATGCTCTGCGTGCTTCTCACCCCTGGCCTGGCGTACATCATCATGCTCTGCCTGCTTCTCACCCCTGGCCTGGCGTACATCATCATGCTCTGCCTGCTTCTCACCCCTGGCCTGGCGTACATCATCATGCTCTGCCTGCTTCTCACCCCTGGCCTGGCGTACATCATCATGCTCTGCCTGCTTCTCACCCCTGGCCTGGCGTACATCATCATGCTCTGCCTGCTTCTCACCCCTGGCCTGGCGTACATCATCATGCTCTGCCTGCTTCTCACCCCTGGCCTGGCGTACATCATCATGCTCTGCCTGCTTCTCACCCCTGGCCTGGCGTACATCATCATGCTCTGCCTGCTTCTCACCCCTGGCCTGGCGTACATCATCATGCTCTGCCTGCTTCTCACCCCTGGCCTGGCGTACATCATCATGCTCTGCCTGCTTCTCACCCCTGGCCTGGCGTACATCATCATGCTCTGCCTGCTTCTCACCCCTGGCCTGGCGTACATCATCATGCTCTGCGTGCTTCTCACCCCTGGCCTGGCGTACATCATCATGCTCTGCGTGCTTCTCACCCCTGGCCTGGCGTACATCATCATGCTCTGCCTGCTTCTCACCCCTGGCCTGGCGTACATCATCATGCTCTGCGTGCTTCTCACCCCTGGCCTGGCGTACATCATCATGCTCTGCGTGCTTCTCACCCCTGGCCTGGCGTACATCATCATGCTCTGCCTGCTTCTCACCCCTGGCCTGGCGTACATCATCATGCTCTGCCTGCTTCTCACCCCTGGCCTGGCGTACATCATCATGCTCTGCCTGCTTCTCACCCCTGGCCTGGCGTACATCATCATGCTCTGCCTGCTTCTCACCCCTGGCCTGGCGTACATCATCATGCTCTGCGTGCTTCTCACCCCTGGCCTGGCGTACATCATCATGCTCTGCGTGCTTCTCACCCCTGGCCTGGCGTACATCATCATGCTCTGCCTGCTTCTCACCCCTGGCCTGGCGTACATCATCATGCTCTGCGTGCTTCTCACCCCTGGCCTGGCGTACATCATCATGCTCTGCGTGCTTCTCACCCCTGGCCTGGCGTACATCATCATGCTCTGCGTGCTTCTCACCCCTGGCCTGGCGTACATCATCATGCTCTGCGTGCTTCTCACCCCTGGCCTGGCGTACATCATCATGCTCTGCCTGCTTCTCACCCCTGGCCTGGCGTACATCATCATGCTCTGCCTGCTTCTCACCCCTGGCCTGGCGTACATCATCATGCTCTGCGTGCTTCTCACCCCTGGCCTGGCGTACATCATCATGCTCTGCGTGCTTCTCACCCCTGGCCTGGCGTACATCATCATGCTCTGCGTGCTTCTCACCCCTGGCCTGGCGTACATCATCATGCTCTGCGTGCTTCTCACCCCTGGCCTGGCGTACATCATCATGCTCTGCCTGCTTCTCACCCCTGGCCTGGCGTACATCATCATGCTCTGCCTGCTTCTCACCCCTGGCCTGGCGTACATCATCATGCTCTGCCTGCTTCTCACCCCTGGCCTGGCGTACATCATCATGCTCTGCGTGCTTCTCACCCCTGGCCTGGCGTACATCATCATGCTCTGCGTGCTTCTCACCCCTGGCCTGGCGTACATCATCATGCTCTGCCTGCTTCTCACCCCTGGCCTGGCGTACATCATCATGCTCTGCGTGCTTCTCACCCCTGGCCTGGCGTACATCATCATGCTCTGCCTGCTTCTCACCCCTGGCCTGGCGTACATCATCATGCTCTGCGTGCTTCTCACCCCTGGCCTGGCGTACATCATCATGCTCTGCCTGCTTCTCACCCCTGGCCTGGCGTACATCATCATGCTCTGCCTGCTTCTCACCCCTGGCCTGGCGTACATCATCATGCTCTGCCTGCTTCTCACCCCTGGCCTGGCGTACATCATCATGCTCTGCCTGCTTCTCACCCCTGGCCTGGCGTACATCATCATGCTCTGCGTGCTTCTCACCCCTGGCCTGGCGTACATCATCATGCTCTGCCTGCTTCTCACCCCTGGCCTGGCGTACATCATCATGCTCTGCCTGCTTCTCACCCCTGGCCTGGCGTACATCATCATGCTCTGCCTGCTTCTCACCCCTGGCCTGGCGTACATCATCATGCTCTGCCTGCTTCTCACCCCTGGCCTGGCGTACATCATCATGCTCTGCCTGCTTCTCACCCCTGGCCTGGCGTACATCATCATGCTCTGCCTGCTTCTCACCCCTGGCCTGGCGTACATCATCATGCTCTGCCTGCTTCTCACCCCTGGCCTGGCGTACATCATCATGCTCTGCCTGCTTCTCACCCCTGGCCTGGCGTACATCATCATGCTCTGCCTGCTTCTCACCCCTGGCCTGGCGTACATCATCATGCTCTGCCTGCTTCTCACCCCTGGCCTGGCGTACATCATCATGCTCTGCCTGCTTCTCACCCCTGGCCTGGCGTACATCATCATGCTCTGCGTGCTTCTCACCCCTGGCCTGGCGTACATCATCATGCTCTGCGTGCTTCTCACCCCTGGCCTGGCGTACATCATCATGCTCTGCCTGCTTCTCACCCCTGGCCTGGCGTACATCATCATGCTCTGCCTGCTTCTCACCCCTGGCCTGGCGTACATCATCATGCTCTGCCTGCTTCTCACCCCTGGCCTGGCGTACATCATCATGCTCTGCCTGCTTCTCACCCCTGGCCTGGCGTACATCATCATGCTCTGCGTGCTTCTCACCCCTGGCCTGGCGTACATCATCATGCTCTGCCTGCTTCTCACCCCTGGCCTGGCGTACATCATCATGCTCTGCCTGCTTCTCACCCCTGGCCTGGCGTACATCATCATGCTCTGCCGTGCTTCTCACCCCTGGCCTGGCGTACATCATCATGCTCTGCCTGCTTCTCACCCCTGGCCTGGCGTACATCATCATGCTCTGCCTGCTTCTCACCCCTGGCCTGGCGTACATCATCATGCTCTGCCTGCTTCTCACCCCTGGCCTGGCGTACATCATCATGCTCTGCCTGCTTCTCACCCCTGGCCTGGCGTACATCATCATGCTCTGCCTGCTTCTCACCCCTGGCCTGGCGTACATCATCATGCTCTGCCTGCTTCTCACCCCTGGCCTGGCGTACATCATCATGCTCTGCGTGCTTCTCACCCCTGGCCTGGCGTACATCATCATGCTCTGCGTGCTTCTCACCCCTGGCCTGGCGTACATCATCATGCTCTGCCTGCTTCTCACCCCTGGCCTGGCGTACATCATCATGCTCTGCCTGCTTCTCACCCCTGGCCTGGCGTACATCATCATGCTCTGCCTGCTTCTCACCCCTGGCCTGGCGTACATCATCATGCTCTGCGTGCTTCTCACCCCTGGCCTGGCGTACATCATCATGCTCTGCGTGCTTCTCACCCCTGGCCTGGCGTACATCATCATGCTCTGCCTGCTTCTCACCCCTGGCCTGGCGTACATCATCATGCTCTGCCTGCTTCTCACCCCTGGCCTGGCGTACATCATCATGCTCTGCCTGCTTCTCACCCCTGGCCTGGCGTACATCATCATGCTCTGCCTGCTTCTCACCCCTGGCCTGGCGTACATCATCATGCTCTGCCTGCTTCTCACCCCTGGCCTGGCGTACATCATCATGCTCTGCCTGCTTCTCACCCCTGGCCTGGCGTACATCATCATGCTCTGCCTGCTTCTCACCCCTGGCCTGGCGTACATCATCATGCTCTGCCTGCTTCTCACCCCTGGCCTGGCGTACATCATCATGCTCTGCGTGCTTCTCACCCCTGGCCTGGCGTACATCATCATGCTCTGCGTGCTTCTCACCCCTGGCCTGGCGTACATCATCATGCTCTGCCTGCTTCTCACCCCTGGCCTGGCGTACATCATCATGCTCTGCCTGCTTCTCACCCCTGGCCTGGCGTACATCATCATGCTCTGCCTGCTTCTCACCCCTGGCCTGGCGTACATCATCATGCTCTGCGTGCTTCTCACCCCTGGCCTGGCGTACATCATCATGCTCTGCGTGCTTCTCACCCCTGGCCTGGCGTACATCATCATGCTCTGCCTGCTTCTCACCCCTGGCCTGGCGTACATCATCATGCTCTGCCTGCTTCTCACCCCTGGCCTGGCGTACATCATCATGCTCTGCCTGCTTCTCACCCCTGGCCTGGCGTACATCATCATGCTCTGCCTGCTTCTCACCCCTGGCCTGGCGTACATCATCATGCTCTGCCTGCTTCTCACCCCTGGCCTGGCGTACATCATCATGCTCTGCCTGCTTCTCACCCCTGGCCTGGCGTACATCATCATGCTCTGCCTGCTTCTCACCCCTGGCCTGGCGTACATCATCATGCTCTGCGTGCTTCTCACCCCTGGCCTGGCGTACATCATCATGCTCTGCGTGCTTCTCACCCCTGGCCTGGCGTACATCATCATGCTCTGCCTGCTTCTCACCCCTGGCCTGGCGTACATCATCATGCTCTGCCTGCTTCTCACCCCTGGCCTGGCGTACATCATCATGCTCTGCCTGCTTCTCACCCCTGGCCTGGCGTACATCATCATGCTCTGCGTGCTTCTCACCCCTGGCCTGGCGTACATCATCATGCTCTGCGTGCTTCTCACCCCTGGCCTGGCGTACATCATCATGCTCTGCGTGCTTCTCACCCCTGGCCTGGCGTACATCATCATGCTCTGCGTGCTTCTCACCCCTGGCCTGGCGTACATCATCATGCTCTGCGTGCTTCTCACCCCTGGCCTGGCGTACATCATCATGCTCTGCGTGCTTCTCACCCCTGGCCTGGCGTACATCATCATGCTCTGCGTGCTTCTCACCCCTGGCCTGGCGTACATCATCATGCTCTGCGTGCTTCTCACCCCTGGCCTGGCGTACATCATCATGCTCTGCGTGCTTCTCACCCCTGGCCTGGCGTACATCATCATGCTCTGCCTGCTTCTCACCCCTGGCCTGGCGTACATCATCATGCTCTGCCTGCTTCTCACCCCTGGCCTGGCGTACATCATCATGCTCTGCGTGCTTCTCACCCCTGGCCTGGCGTACATCATCATGCTCTGCCTGCTTCTCACCCCTGGCCTGGCGTACATCATCATGCTCTGCGTGCTTCTCACCCCTGGCCTGGCGTACATCATCATGCTCTGCCTGCTTCTCACCCCTGGCCTGGCGTACATCATCATGCTCTGCCTGCTTCTCACCCCTGGCCTGGCGTACATCATCATGCTCTGCCTGCTTCTCACCCCTGGCCTGGCGTACATCATCATGCTCTGCGTGCTTCTCACCCCTGGCCTGGCGTACATCATCATGCTCTGCGTGCTTCTCACCCCTGGCCTGGCGTACATCATCATGCTCTGCGTGCTTCTCACCCCTGGCCTGGCGTACATCATCATGCTCTGCCTGCTTCTCACCCCTGGCCTGGCGTACATCATCATGCTCTGCGTGCTTCTCACCCCTGGCCTGGCGTACATCATCATGCTCTGCCTGCTTCTCACCCCTGGCCTGGCGTACATCATCATGCTCTGCCTGCTTCTCACCCCTGGCCTGGCGTACATCATCATGCTCTGCCTGCTTCTCACCCCTGGCCTGGCGTACATCATCATGCTCTGCGTGCTTCTCACCCCTGGCCTGGCGTACATCATCATGCTCTGCGTGCTTCTCACCCCTGGCCTGGCGTACATCATCATGCTCTGCGTGCTTCTCACCCCTGGCCTGGCGTACATCATCATGCTCTGCGTGCTTCTCACCCCTGGCCTGGCGTACATCATCATGCTCTGCGTGCTTCTCACCCCTGGCCTGGCGTACATCATCATGCTCTGCGTGCTTCTCACCCCTGGCCTGGCGTACATCATCATGCTCTGCCTGCTTCTCACCCCTGGCCTGGCGTACATCATCATGCTCTGCCTGCTTCTCACCCCTGGCCTGGCGTACATCATCATGCTCTGCCTGCTTCTCACCCCTGGCCTGGCGTACATCATCATGCTCTGCCTGCTTCTCACCCCTGGCCTGGCGTACATCATCATGCTCTGCCTGCTTCTCACCCCTGGCCTGGCGTACATCATCATGCTCTGCCTGCTTCTCACCCCTGGCCTGGCGTACATCATCATGCTCTGCGTGCTTCTCACCCCTGGCCTGGCGTACATCATCATGCTCTGCGTGCTTCTCACCCCTGGCCTGGCGTACATCATCATGCTCTGCGTGCTTCTCACCCCTGGCCTGGCGTACATCATCATGCTCTGCCTGCTTCTCACCCCTGGCCTGGCGTACATCATCATGCTCTGCCTGCTTCTCACCCCTGGCCTGGCGTACATCATCATGCTCTGCCTGCTTCTCACCCCTGGCCTGGCGTACATCATCATGCTCTGCCTGCTTCTCACCCCTGGCCTGGCGTACATCATCATGCTCTGCCTGCTTCTCACCCCTGGCCTGGCGTACATCATCATGCTCTGCCTGCTTCTCACCCCTGGCCTGGCGTACATCATCATGCTCTGCCTGCTTCTCACCCCTGGCCTGGCGTACATCATCATGCTCTGCCTGCTTCTCACCCCTGGCCTGGCGTACATCATCATGCTCTGCCTGCTTCTCACCCCTGGCCTGGCGTACATCATCATGCTCTGCCTGCTTCTCACCCCTGGCCTGGCGTACATCATCATGCTCTGCCTGCTTCTCACCCCTGGCCTGGCGTACATCATCATGCTCTGCGTGCTTCTCACCCCTGGCCTGGCGTACATCATCATGCTCTGCCTGCTTCTCACCCCTGGCCTGGCGTACATCATCATGCTCTGCCTGCTTCTCACCCCTGGCCTGGCGTACATCATCATGCTCTGCGTGCTTCTCACCCCTGGCCTGGCGTACATCATCATGCTCTGCCTGCTTCTCACCCCTGGCCTGGCGTACATCATCATGCTCTGCGTGCTTCTCACCCCTGGCCTGGCGTACATCATCATGCTCTGCGTGCTTCTCACCCCTGGCCTGGCGTACATCATCATGCTCTGCCTGCTTCTCACCCCTGGCCTGGCGTACATCATCATGCTCTGCCTGCTTCTCACCCCTGGCCTGGCGTACATCATCATGCTCTGCCTGCTTCTCACCCCTGGCCTGGCGTACATCATCATGCTCTGCCTGCTTCTCACCCCTGGCCTGGCGTACATCATCATGCTCTGCCTGCTTCTCACCCCTGGCCTGGCGTACATCATCATGCTCTGCCTGCTTCTCACCCCTGGCCTGGCGTACATCATCATGCTCTGCCTGCTTCTCACCCCTGGCCTGGCGTACATCATCATGCTCTGCGTGCTTCTCACCCCTGGCCTGGCGTACATCATCATGCTCTGCCTGCTTCTCACCCCTGGCCTGGCGTACATCATCATGCTCTGCCTGCTTCTCACCCCTGGCCTGGCGTACATCATCATGCTCTGCCTGCTTCTCACCCCTGGCCTGGCGTACATCATCATGCTCTGCCTGCTTCTCACCCCTGGCCTGGCGTACATCATCATGCTCTGCGTGCTTCTCACCCCTGGCCTGGCGTACATCATCATGCTCTGCCTGCTTCTCACCCCTGGCCTGGCGTACATCATCATGCTCTGCCTGCTTCTCACCCCTGGCCTGGCGTACATCATCATGCTCTGCCTGCTTCTCACCCCTGGCCTGGCGTACATCATCATGCTCTGCCTGCTTCTCACCCCTGGCCTGGCGTACATCATCATGCTCTGCCTGCTTCTCACCCCTGGCCTGGCGTACATCATCATGCTCTGCGTGCTTCTCACCCCTGGCCTGGCGTACATCATCATGCTCTGCCTGCTTCTCACCCCTGGCCTGGCGTACATCATCATGCTCTGCCTGCTTCTCACCCCTGGCCTGGCGTACATCATCATGCTCTGCCTGCTTCTCACCCCTGGCCTGGCGTACATCATCATGCTCTGCGTGCTTCTCACCCCTGGCCTGGCGTACATCATCATGCTCTGCCTGCTTCTCACCCCTGGCCTGGCGTACATCATCATGCTCTGCCTGCTTCTCACCCCTGGCCTGGCGTACATCATCATGCTCTGCGTGCTTCTCACCCCTGGCCTGGCGTACATCATCATGCTCTGCGTGCTTCTCACCCCTGGCCTGGCGTACATCATCATGCTCTGCCTGCTTCTCACCCCTGGCCTGGCGTACATCATCATGCTCTGCCTGCTTCTCACCCCTGGCCTGGCGTACATCATCATGCTCTGCGTGCTTCTCACCCCTGGCCTGGCGTACATCATCATGCTCTGCGTGCTTCTCACCCCTGGCCTGGCGTACATCATCATGCTCTGCCTGCTTCTCACCCCTGGCCTGGCGTACATCATCATGCTCTGCCTGCTTCTCACCCCTGGCCTGGCGTACATCATCATGCTCTGCCTGCTTCTCACCCCTGGCCTGGCGTACATCATCATGCTCTGCCTGCTTCTCACCCCTGGCCTGGCGTACATCATCATGCTCTGCCTGCTTCTCACCCCTGGCCTGGCGTACATCATCATGCTCTGCCTGCTTCTCACCCCTGGCCTGGCGTACATCATCATGCTCTGCCTGCTTCTCACCCCTGGCCTGGCGTACATCATCATGCTCTGCCTGCTTCTCACCCCTGGCCTGGCGTACATCATCATGCTCTGCCTGCTTCTCACCCCTGGCCTGGCGTACATCATCATGCTCTGCCTGCTTCTCACCCCTGGCCTGGCGTACATCATCATGCTCTGCCTGCTTCTCACCCCTGGCCTGGCGTACATCATCATGCTCTGCGTGCTTCTCACCCCTGGCCTGGCGTACATCATCATGCTCTGCCTGCTTCTCACCCCTGGCCTGGCGTACATCATCATGCTCTGCCTGCTTCTCACCCCTGGCCTGGCGTACATCATCATGCTCTGCGTGCTTCTCACCCCTGGCCTGGCGTACATCATCATGCTCTGCGTGCTTCTCACCCCTGGCCTGGCGTACATCATCATGCTCTGCCTGCTTCTCACCCCTGGCCTGGCGTACATCATCATGCTCTGCGTGCTTCTCACCCCTGGCCTGGCGTACATCATCATGCTCTGCCTGCTTCTCACCCCTGGCCTGGCGTACATCATCATGCTCTGCCTGCTTCTCACCCCTGGCCTGGCGTACATCATCATGCTCTGCCTGCTTCTCACCCCTGGCCTGGCGTACATCATCATGCTCTGCGTGCTTCTCACCCCTGGCCTGGCGTACATCATCATGCCCTGGCCTGGCGTACATCATCATGCTCTGCCTGCTTCTCACCCCTGGCCTGGCGTACATCATCATGCTCTGCCTGCTTCTCACCCCTGGCCTGGCGTACATCATCATGCTCTGCCTGCTTCTCACCCCTGGCCTGGCGTACATCATCATGCTCTGCGTGCTTCTCACCCCTGGCCTGGCGTACATCATCATGCTCTGCCTGCTTCTCACCCCTGGCCTGGCGTACATCATCATGCTCTGCCTGCTTCTCACCCCTGGCCTGGCGTACATCATCATGCTCTGCCTGCTTCTCACCCCTGGCCTGGCGTACATCATCATGCTCTGCCTGCTTCTCACCCCTGGCCTGGCGTACATCATCATGCTCTGCGTGCTTCTCACCCCTGGCCTGGCGTACATCATCATGCTCTGCGTGCTTCTCACCCCTGGCCTGGCGTACATCATCATGCTCTGCGTGCTTCTCACCCCTGGCCTGGCGTACATCATCATGCTCTGCCTGCTTCTCACCCCTGGCCTGGCGTACATCATCATGCTCTGCCTGCTTCTCACCCCTGGCCTGGCGTACATCATCATGCTCTGCCTGCTTCTCACCCCTGGCCTGGCGTACATCATCATGCTCTGCCTGCTTCTCACCCCTGGCCTGGCGTACATCATCATGCTCTGCCGTGCTTCTCACCCCTGGCCTGGCGTACATCATCATGCTCTGCGTGCTTCTCACCCCTGGCCTGGCGTACATCATCATGCTCTGCGTGCTTCTCACCCCTGGCCTGGCGTACATCATCATGCTCTGCCTGCTTCTCACCCCTGGCCTGGCGTACATCATCATGCTCTGCGTGCTTCTCACCCCTGGCCTGGCGTACATCATCATGCTCTGCGTGCTTCTCACCCCTGGCCTGGCGTACATCATCATGCTCTGCCTGCTTCTCACCCCTGGCCTGGCGTACATCATCATGCTCTGCCTGCTTCTCACCCCTGGCCTGGCGTACATCATCATGCTCTGCGTGCTTCTCACCCCTGGCCTGGCGTACATCATCATGCTCTGCCTGCTTCTCACCCCTGGCCTGGCGTACATCATCATGCTCTGCCTGCTTCTCACCCCTGGCCTGGCGTACATCATCATGCTCTGCCTGCTTCTCACCCCTGGCCTGGCGTACATCATCATGCTCTGCCTGCTTCTCACCCCTGGCCTGGCGTACATCATCATGCTCTGCCTGCTTCTCACCCCTGGCCTGGCGTACATCATCATGCTCTGCCTGCTTCTCACCCCTGGCCTGGCGTACATCATCATGCTCTGCCTGCTTCTCACCCCTGGCCTGGCGTACATCATCATGCTCTGCCTGCTTCTCACCCCTGGCCTGGCGTACATCATCATGCTCTGCCTGCTTCTCACCCCTGGCCTGGCGTACATCATCATGCTCTGCCTGCTTCTCACCCCTGGCCTGGCGTACATCATCATGCTCTGCGTGCTTCTCACCCCTGGCCTGGCGTACATCATCATGCTCTGCGTGCTTCTCACCCCTGGCCTGGCGTACATCATCATGCTCTGCCTGCTTCTCACCCCTGGCCTGGCGTACATCATCATGCTCTGCCTGCTTCTCACCCCTGGCCTGGCGTACATCATCATGCTCTGCCTGCTTCTCACCCCTGGCCTGGCGTACATCATCATGCTCTGCGTGCTTCTCACCCCTGGCCTGGCGTACATCATCATGCTCTGCCTGCTTCTCACCCCTGGCCTGGCGTACATCATCATGCTCTGCCTGCTTCTCACCCCTGGCCTGGCGTACATCATCATGCTCTGCGTGCTTCTCACCCCTGGCCTGGCGTACATCATCATGCTCTGCGTGCTTCTCACCCCTGGCCTGGCGTACATCATCATGCTCTGCGTGCTTCTCACCCCTGGCCTGGCGTACATCATCATGCTCTGCCTGCTTCTCACCCCTGGCCTGGCGTACATCATCATGCTCTGCCTGCTTCTCACCCCTGGCCTGGCGTACATCATCATGCTCTGCCGTGCTTCTCACCCCTGGCCTGGCGTACATCATCATGCTCTGCGTGCTTCTCACCCCTGGCCTGGCGTACATCATCATGCTCTGCCTGCTTCTCACCCCTGGCCTGGCGTACATCATCATGCTCTGCGTGCTTCTCACCCCTGGCCTGGCGTACATCATCATGCTCTGCCTGCTTCTCACCCCTGGCCTGGCGTACATCATCATGCTCTGCCTGCTTCTCACCCCTGGCCTGGCGTACATCATCATGCTCTGCCTGCTTCTCACCCCTGGCCTGGCGTACATCATCATGCTCTGCGTGCTTCTCACCCCTGGCCTGGCGTACATCATCATGCTCTGCCTGCTTCTCACCCCTGGCCTGGCGTACATCATCATGCTCTGCCTGCTTCTCACCCCTGGCCTGGCGTACATCATCATGCTCTGCCGTGCTTCTCACCCCTGGCCTGGCGTACATCATCATGCTCTGCCTGCTTCTCACCCCTGGCCTGGCGTACATCATCATGCTCTGCGTGCTTCTCACCCCTGGCCTGGCGTACATCATCATGCTCTGCGTGCTTCTCACCCCTGGCCTGGCGTACATCATCATGCTCTGCCTGCTTCTCACCCCTGGCCTGGCGTACATCATCATGCTCTGCCTGCTTCTCACCCCTGGCCTGGCGTACATCATCATGCTCTGCCTGCTTCTCACCCCTGGCCTGGCGTACATCATCATGCTCTGCCTGCTTCTCACCCCTGGCCTGGCGTACATCATCATGCTCTGCCTGCTTCTCACCCCTGGCCTGGCGTACATCATCATGCTCTGCCTGCTTCTCACCCCTGGCCTGGCGTACATCATCATGCTCTGCCTGCTTCTCACCCCTGGCCTGGCGTACATCATCATGCTCTGCGTGCTTCTCACCCCTGGCCTGGCGTACATCATCATGCTCTGCCTGCTTCTCACCCCTGGCCTGGCGTACATCATCATGCTCTGCGTGCTTCTCACCCCTGGCCTGGCGTACATCATCATGCTCTGCGTGCTTCTCACCCCTGGCCTGGCGTACATCATCATGCTCTGCCTGCTTCTCACCCCTGGCCTGGCGTACATCATCATGCTCTGCCTGCTTCTCACCCCTGGCCTGGCGTACATCATCATGCTCTGCCTGCTTCTCACCCCTGGCCTGGCGTACATCATCATGCTCTGCCTGCTTCTCACCCCTGGCCTGGCGTACATCATCATGCTCTGCCTGCTTCTCACCCCTGGCCTGGCGTACATCATCATGCTCTGCCTGCTTCTCACCCCTGGCCTGGCGTACATCATCATGCTCTGCCTGCTTCTCACCCCTGGCCTGGCGTACATCATCATGCTCTGCCTGCTTCTCACCCCTGGCCTGGCGTACATCATCATGCTCTGCGTGCTTCTCACCCCTGGCCTGGCGTACATCATCATGCTCTGCGTGCTTCTCACCCCTGGCCTGGCGTACATCATCATGCTCTGCCTGCTTCTCACCCCTGGCCTGGCGTACATCATCATGCTCTGCGTGCTTCTCACCCCTGGCCTGGCGTACATCATCATGCTCTGCCTGCTTCTCACCCCTGGCCTGGCGTACATCATCATGCTCTGCCTGCTTCTCACCCCTGGCCTGGCGTACATCATCATGCTCTGCGTGCTTCTCACCCCTGGCCTGGCGTACATCATCATGCTCTGCCTGCTTCTCACCCCTGGCCTGGCGTACATCATCATGCTCTGCCTGCTTCTCACCCCTGGCCTGGCGTACATCATCATGCTCTGCCGTGCTTCTCACCCCTGGCCTGGCGTACATCATCATGCTCTGCCTGCTTCTCACCCCTGGCCTGGCGTACATCATCATGCTCTGCGTGCTTCTCACCCCTGGCCTGGCGTACATCATCATGCTCTGCGTGCTTCTCACCCCTGGCCTGGCGTACATCATCATGCTCTGCGTGCTTCTCACCCCTGGCCTGGCGTACATCATCATGCTCTGCGTGCTTCTCACCCCTGGCCTGGCGTACATCATCATGCTCTGCGTGCTTCTCACCCCTGGCCTGGCGTACATCATCATGCTCTGCTGCTTCTCACCCCTGGCCTGGCGTACATCATCATGCTCTGCTGCTTCTCACCCCTGGCCTGGCGTACATCATCATGCTCTGCCTGCTTCTCACCCCTGGCCTGGCGTACATCATCATGCTCTGCCTGCTTCTCACCCCTGGCCTGGCGTACATCATCATGCTCTGCCTGCTTCTCACCCCTGGCCTGGCGTACATCATCATGCTCTGCCTGCTTCTCACCCCTGGCCTGGCGTACATCATCATGCTCTGCGTGCTTCTCACCCCTGGCCTGGCGTACATCATCATGCTCTGCCTGCTTCTCACCCCTGGCCTGGCGTACATCATCATGCTCTGCGTGCTTCTCACCCCTGGCCTGGCGTACATCATCATGCTCTGCCTGCTTCTCACCCCTGGCCTGGCGTACATCATCATGCTCTGCCTGCTTCTCACCCCTGGCCTGGCGTACATCATCATGCTCTGCCTGCTTCTCACCCCTGGCCTGGCGTACATCATCATGCTCTGCCTGCTTCTCACCCCTGGCCTGGCGTACATCATCATGCTCTGCCTGCTTCTCACCCCTGGCCTGGCGTACATCATCATGCTCTGCCTGCTTCTCACCCCTGGCCTGGCGTACATCATCATGCTCTGCGTGCTTCTCACCCCTGGCCTGGCGTACATCATCATGCTCTGCGTGCTTCTCACCCCTGGCCTGGCGTACATCATCATGCTCTGCCTGCTTCTCACCCCTGGCCTGGCGTACATCATCATGCTCTGCCTGCTTCTCACCCCTGGCCTGGCGTACATCATCATGCTCTGCCTGCTTCTCACCCCTGGCCTGGCGTACATCATCATGCTCTGCCTGCTTCTCACCCCTGGCCTGGCGTACATCATCATGCTCTGCCTGCTTCTCACCCCTGGCCTGGCGTACATCATCATGCTCTGCCTGCTTCTCACCCCTGGCCTGGCGTACATCATCATGCTCTGCCTGCTTCTCACCCCTGGCCTGGCGTACATCATCATGCTCTGCCTGCTTCTCACCCCTGGCCTGGCGTACATCATCATGCTCTGCCTGCTTCTCACCCCTGGCCTGGCGTACATCATCATGCTCTGCCTGCTTCTCACCCCTGGCCTGGCGTACATCATCATGCTCTGCCTGCTTCTCACCCCTGGCCTGGCGTACATCATCATGCTCTGCCTGCTTCTCACCCCTGGCCTGGCGTACATCATCATGCTCTGCCTGCTTCTCACCCCTGGCCTGGCGTACATCATCATGCTCTGCGTGCTTCTCACCCCTGGCCTGGCGTACATCATCATGCTCTGCGTGCTTCTCACCCCTGGCCTGGCGTACATCATCATGCTCTGCCTGCTTCTCACCCCTGGCCTGGCGTACATCATCATGCTCTGCCTGCTTCTCACCCCTGGCCTGGCGTACATCATCATGCTCTGCCTGCTTCTCACCCCTGGCCTGGCGTACATCATCATGCTCTGCCTGCTTCTCACCCCTGGCCTGGCGTACATCATCATGCTCTGCCTGCTTCTCACCCCTGGCCTGGCGTACATCATCATGCTCTGCGTGCTTCTCACCCCTGGCCTGGCGTACATCATCATGCTCTGCGTGCTTCTCACCCCTGGCCTGGCGTACATCATCATGCTCTGCGTGCTTCTCACCCCTGGCCTGGCGTACATCATCATGCTCTGCGTGCTTCTCACCCCTGGCCTGGCGTACATCATCATGCTCTGCGTGCTTCTCACCCCTGGCCTGGCGTACATCATCATGCTCTGCGTGCTTCTCACCCCTGGCCTGGCGTACATCATCATGCTCTGCGTGCTTCTCACCCCTGGCCTGGCGTACATCATCATGCTCTGCCTGCTTCTCACCCCTGGCCTGGCGTACATCATCATGCTCTGCCGTGCTTCTCACCCCTGGCCTGGCGTACATCATCATGCTCTGCCTGCTTCTCACCCCTGGCCTGGCGTACATCATCATGCTCTGCCTGCTTCTCACCCCTGGCCTGGCGTACATCATCATGCTCTGCCTGCTTCTCACCCCTGGCCTGGCGTACATCATCATGCTCTGCCTGCTTCTCACCCCTGGCCTGGCGTACATCATCATGCTCTGCCTGCTTCTCACCCCTGGCCTGGCGTACATCATCATGCTCTGCCTGCTTCTCACCCCTGGCCTGGCGTACATCATCATGCTCTGCCTGCTTCTCACCCCTGGCCTGGCGTACATCATCATGCTCTGCCTGCTTCTCACCCCTGGCCTGGCGTACATCATCATGCTCTGCCTGCTTCTCACCCCTGGCCTGGCGTACATCATCATGCTCTGCCTGCTTCTCACCCCTGGCCTGGCGTACATCATCATGCTCTGCCTGCTTCTCACCCCTGGCCTGGCGTACATCATCATGCTCTGCCTGCTTCTCACCCCTGGCCTGGCGTACATCATCATGCTCTGCGTGCTTCTCACCCCTGGCCTGGCGTACATCATCATGCTCTGCGTGCTTCTCACCCCTGGCCTGGCGTACATCATCATGCTCTGCCTGCTTCTCACCCCTGGCCTGGCGTACATCATCATGCTCTGCCTGCTTCTCACCCCTGGCCTGGCGTACATCATCATGCTCTGCCTGCTTCTCACCCCTGGCCTGGCGTACATCATCATGCTCTGCGTGCTTCTCACCCCTGGCCTGGCGTACATCATCATGCTCTGCGTGCTTCTCACCCCTGGCCTGGCGTACATCATCATGCTCTGCGTGCTTCTCACCCCTGGCCTGGCGTACATCATCATGCTCTGCGTGCTTCTCACCCCTGGCCTGGCGTACATCATCATGCTCTGCGTGCTTCTCACCCCTGGCCTGGCGTACATCATCATGCTCTGCCTGCTTCTCACCCCTGGCCTGGCGTACATCATCATGCTCTGCCTGCTTCTCACCCCTGGCCTGGCGTACATCATCATGCTCTGCGTGCTTCTCACCCCTGGCCTGGCGTACATCATCATGCTCTGCCTGCTTCTCACCCCTGGCCTGGCGTACATCATCATGCTCTGCCTGCTTCTCACCCCTGGCCTGGCGTACATCATCATGCTCTGCGTGCTTCTCACCCCTGGCCTGGCGTACATCATCATGCTCTGCGTGCTTCTCACCCCTGGCCTGGCGTACATCATCATGCTCTGCCTGCTTCTCACCCCTGGCCTGGCGTACATCATCATGCTCTGCGTGCTTCTCACCCCTGGCCTGGCGTACATCATCATGCTCTGCCTGCTTCTCACCCCTGGCCTGGCGTACATCATCATGCTCTGCCTGCTTCTCACCCCTGGCCTGGCGTACATCATCATGCTCTGCCTGCTTCTCACCCCTGGCCTGGCGTACATCATCATGCTCTGCCTGCTTCTCACCCCTGGCCTGGCGTACATCATCATGCTCTGCGTGCTTCTCACCCCTGGCCTGGCGTACATCATCATGCTCTGCCTGCTTCTCACCCCTGGCCTGGCGTACATCATCATGCTCTGCCTGCTTCTCACCCCTGGCCTGGCGTACATCATCATGCTCTGCGTGCTTCTCACCCCTGGCCTGGCGTACATCATCATGCTCTGCCTGCTTCTCACCCCTGGCCTGGCGTACATCATCATGCTCTGCCTGCTTCTCACCCCTGGCCTGGCGTACATCATCATGCTCTGCCTGCTTCTCACCCCTGGCCTGGCGTACATCATCATGCTCTGCCTGCTTCTCACCCCTGGCCTGGCGTACATCATCATGCTCTGCCTGCTTCTCACCCCTGGCCTGGCGTACATCATCATGCTCTGCCTGCTTCTCACCCCTGGCCTGGCGTACATCATCATGCTCTGCGTGCTTCTCACCCCTGGCCTGGCGTACATCATCATGCTCTGCCTGCTTCTCACCCCTGGCCTGGCGTACATCATCATGCTCTGCGTGCTTCTCACCCCTGGCCTGGCGTACATCATCATGCTCTGCCTGCTTCTCACCCCTGGCCTGGCGTACATCATCATGCTCTGCCTGCTTCTCACCCCTGGCCTGGCGTACATCATCATGCTCTGCCTGCTTCTCACCCCTGGCCTGGCGTACATCATCATGCTCTGCCTGCTTCTCACCCCTGGCCTGGCGTACATCATCATGCTCTGCCTGCTTCTCACCCCTGGCCTGGCGTACATCATCATGCTCTGCGTGCTTCTCACCCCTGGCCTGGCGTACATCATCATGCTCTGCGTGCTTCTCACCCCTGGCCTGGCGTACATCATCATGCTCTGCCTGCTTCTCACCCCTGGCCTGGCGTACATCATCATGCTCTGCCTGCTTCTCACCCCTGGCCTGGCGTACATCATCATGCTCTGCCTGCTTCTCACCCCTGGCCTGGCGTACATCATCATGCTCTGCCTGCTTCTCACCCCTGGCCTGGCGTACATCATCATGCTCTGCCTGCTTCTCACCCCTGGCCTGGCGTACATCATCATGCTCTGCCTGCTTCTCACCCCTGGCCTGGCGTACATCATCATGCTCTGCCTGCTTCTCACCCCTGGCCTGGCGTACATCATCATGCTCTGCCTGCTTCTCACCCCTGGCCTGGCGTACATCATCATGCTCTGCCTGCTTCTCACCCCTGGCCTGGCGTACATCATCATGCTCTGCCTGCTTCTCACCCCTGGCCTGGCGTACATCATCATGCTCTGCCTGCTTCTCACCCCTGGCCTGGCGTACATCATCATGCTCTGCCTGCTTCTCACCCCTGGCCTGGCGTACATCATCATGCTCTGCCTGCTTCTCACCCCTGGCCTGGCGTACATCATCATGCTCTGCCTGCTTCTCACCCCTGGCCTGGCGTACATCATCATGCTCTGCCTGCTTCTCACCCCTGGCCTGGCGTACATCATCATGCTCTGCCTGCTTCTCACCCCTGGCCTGGCGTACATCATCATGCTCTGCCTGCTTCTCACCCCTGGCCTGGCGTACATCATCATGCTCTGCGTGCTTCTCACCCCTGGCCTGGCGTACATCATCATGCTCTGCCTGCTTCTCACCCCTGGCCTGGCGTACATCATCATGCTCTGCCTGCTTCTCACCCCTGGCCTGGCGTACATCATCATGCTCTGCCTGCTTCTCACCCCTGGCCTGGCGTACATCATCATGCTCTGCCTGCTTCTCACCCCTGGCCTGGCGTACATCATCATGCTCTGCCTGCTTCTCACCCCTGGCCTGGCGTACATCATCATGCTCTGCCTGCTTCTCACCCCTGGCCTGGCGTACATCATCATGCTCTGCCTGCTTCTCACCCCTGGCCTGGCGTACATCATCATGCTCTGCCTGCTTCTCACCCCTGGCCTGGCGTACATCATCATGCTCTGCCTGCTTCTCACCCCTGGCCTGGCGTACATCATCATGCTCTGCCTGCTTCTCACCCCTGGCCTGGCGTACATCATCATGCTCTGCGTGCTTCTCACCCCTGGCCTGGCGTACATCATCATGCTCTGCCTGCTTCTCACCCCTGGCCTGGCGTACATCATCATGCTCTGCCTGCTTCTCACCCCTGGCCTGGCGTACATCATCATGCTCTGCGTGCTTCTCACCCCTGGCCTGGCGTACATCATCATGCTCTGCGTGCTTCTCACCCCTGGCCTGGCGTACATCATCATGCTCTGCGTGCTTCTCACCCCTGGCCTGGCGTACATCATCATGCTCTGCGTGCTTCTCACCCCTGGCCTGGCGTACATCATCATGCTCTGCCTGCTTCTCACCCCTGGCCTGGCGTACATCATCATGCTCTGCCTGCTTCTCACCCCTGGCCTGGCGTACATCATCATGCTCTGCCTGCTTCTCACCCCTGGCCTGGCGTACATCATCATGCTCTGCCTGCTTCTCACCCCTGGCCTGGCGTACATCATCATGCTCTGCCTGCTTCTCACCCCTGGCCTGGCGTACATCATCATGCTCTGCCTGCTTCTCACCCCTGGCCTGGCGTACATCATCATGCTCTGCCTGCTTCTCACCCCTGGCCTGGCGTACATCATCATGCTCTGCCTGCTTCTCACCCCTGGCCTGGCGTACATCATCATGCTCTGCCTGCTTCTCACCCCTGGCCTGGCGTACATCATCATGCTCTGCCTGCTTCTCACCCCTGGCCTGGCGTACATCATCATGCTCTGCCTGCTTCTCACCCCTGGCCTGGCGTACATCATCATGCTCTGCCTGCTTCTCACCCCTGGCCTGGCGTACATCATCATGCTCTGCCTGCTTCTCACCCCTGGCCTGGCGTACATCATCATGCTCTGCCTGCTTCTCACCCCTGGCCTGGCGTACATCATCATGCTCTGCCTGCTTCTCACCCCTGGCCTGGCGTACATCATCATGCTCTGCCTGCTTCTCACCCCTGGCCTGGCGTACATCATCATGCTCTGCCTGCTTCTCACCCCTGGCCTGGCGTACATCATCATGCTCTGCCTGCTTCTCACCCCTGGCCTGGCGTACATCATCATGCTCTGCCTGCTTCTCACCCCTGGCCTGGCGTACATCATCATGCTCTGCGTGCTTCTCACCCCTGGCCTGGCGTACATCATCATGCTCTGCCTGCTTCTCACCCCTGGCCTGGCGTACATCATCATGCTCTGCGTGCTTCTCACCCCTGGCCTGGCGTACATCATCATGCTCTGCCTGCTTCTCACCCCTGGCCTGGCGTACATCATCATGCTCTGCCTGCTTCTCACCCCTGGCCTGGCGTACATCATCATGCTCTGCCTGCTTCTCACCCCTGGCCTGGCGTACATCATCATGCTCTGCCTGCTTCTCACCCCTGGCCTGGCGTACATCATCATGCTCTGCGTGCTTCTCACCCCTGGCCTGGCGTACATCATCATGCTCTGCGTGCTTCTCACCCCTGGCCTGGCGTACATCATCATGCTCTGCCTGCTTCTCACCCCTGGCCTGGCGTACATCATCATGCTCTGCGTGCTTCTCACCCCTGGCCTGGCGTACATCATCATGCTCTGCCTGCTTCTCACCCCTGGCCTGGCGTACATCATCATGCTCTGCGTGCTTCTCACCCCTGGCCTGGCGTACATCATCATGCTCTGCCTGCTTCTCACCCCTGGCCTGGCGTACATCATCATGCTCTGCCTGCTTCTCACCCCTGGCCTGGCGTACATCATCATGCTCTGCCTGCTTCTCACCCCTGGCCTGGCGTACATCATCATGCTCTGCCTGCTTCTCACCCCTGGCCTGGCGTACATCATCATGCTCTGCCTGCTTCTCACCCCTGGCCTGGCGTACATCATCATGCTCTGCCTGCTTCTCACCCCTGGCCTGGCGTACATCATCATGCTCTGCCTGCTTCTCACCCCTGGCCTGGCGTACATCATCATGCTCTGCCTGCTTCTCACCCCTGGCCTGGCGTACATCATCATGCTCTGCGTGCTTCTCACCCCTGGCCTGGCGTACATCATCATGCTCTGCGTGCTTCTCACCCCTGGCCTGGCGTACATCATCATGCTCTGCGTGCTTCTCACCCCTGGCCTGGCGTACATCATCATGCTCTGCGTGCTTCTCACCCCTGGCCTGGCGTACATCATCATGCTCTGCGTGCTTCTCACCCCTGGCCTGGCGTACATCATCATGCTCTGCCTGCTTCTCACCCCTGGCCTGGCGTACATCATCATGCTCTGCGTGCTTCTCACCCCTGGCCTGGCGTACATCATCATGCTCTGCCTGCTTCTCACCCCTGGCCTGGCGTACATCATCATGCTCTGCGTGCTTCTCACCCCTGGCCTGGCGTACATCATCATGCTCTGCCTGCTTCTCACCCCTGGCCTGGCGTACATCATCATGCTCTGCCTGCTTCTCACCCCTGGCCTGGCGTACATCATCATGCTCTGCCTGCTTCTCACCCCTGGCCTGGCGTACATCATCATGCTCTGCCTGCTTCTCACCCCTGGCCTGGCGTACATCATCATGCTCTGCCTGCTTCTCACCCCTGGCCTGGCGTACATCATCATGCTCTGCGTGCTTCTCACCCCTGGCCTGGCGTACATCATCATGCTCTGCGTGCTTCTCACCCCTGGCCTGGCGTACATCATCATGCTCTGCCTGCTTCTCACCCCTGGCCTGGCGTACATCATCATGCTCTGCCTGCTTCTCACCCCTGGCCTGGCGTACATCATCATGCTCTGCCTGCTTCTCACCCCTGGCCTGGCGTACATCATCATGCTCTGCCTGCTTCTCACCCCTGGCCTGGCGTACATCATCATGCTCTGCCTGCTTCTCACCCCTGGCCTGGCGTACATCATCATGCTCTGCCTGCTTCTCACCCCTGGCCTGGCGTACATCATCATGCTCTGCCTGCTTCTCACCCCTGGCCTGGCGTACATCATCATGCTCTGCCTGCTTCTCACCCCTGGCCTGGCGTACATCATCATGCTCTGCCTGCTTCTCACCCCTGGCCTGGCGTACATCATCATGCTCTGCGTGCTTCTCACCCCTGGCCTGGCGTACATCATCATGCTCTGCGTGCTTCTCACCCCTGGCCTGGCGTACATCATCATGCTCTGCGTGCTTCTCACCCCTGGCCTGGCGTACATCATCATGCTCTGCCTGCTTCTCACCCCTGGCCTGGCGTACATCATCATGCTCTGCCTGCTTCTCACCCCTGGCCTGGCGTACATCATCATGCTCTGCCTGCTTCTCACCCCTGGCCTGGCGTACATCATCATGCTCTGCCTGCTTCTCACCCCTGGCCTGGCGTACATCATCATGCTCTGCGTGCTTCTCACCCCTGGCCTGGCGTACATCATCATGCTCTGCGTGCTTCTCACCCCTGGCCTGGCGTACATCATCATGCTCTGCCTGCTTCTCACCCCTGGCCTGGCGTACATCATCATGCTCTGCCTGCTTCTCACCCCTGGCCTGGCGTACATCATCATGCTCTGCCTGCTTCTCACCCCTGGCCTGGCGTACATCATCATGCTCTGCCTGCTTCTCACCCCTGGCCTGGCGTACATCATCATGCTCTGCGTGCTTCTCACCCCTGGCCTGGCGTACATCATCATGCTCTGCCTGCTTCTCACCCCTGGCCTGGCGTACATCATCATGCTCTGCGTGCTTCTCACCCCTGGCCTGGCGTACATCATCATGCTCTGCGTGCTTCTCACCCCTGGCCTGGCGTACATCATCATGCTCTGCGTGCTTCTCACCCCTGGCCTGGCGTACATCATCATGCTCTGCGTGCTTCTCACCCCTGGCCTGGCGTACATCATCATGCTCTGCGTGCTTCTCACCCCTGGCCTGGCGTACATCATCATGCTCTGCGTGCTTCTCACCCCTGGCCTGGCGTACATCATCATGCTCTGCGTGCTTCTCACCCCTGGCCTGGCGTACATCATCATGCTCTGCGTGCTTCTCACCCCTGGCCTGGCGTACATCATCATGCTCTGCCTGCTTCTCACCCCTGGCCTGGCGTACATCATCATGCTCTGCGTGCTTCTCACCCCTGGCCTGGCGTACATTATCATGCTCTGCCTGCTTCTCACCCCTGGCCTGGCGTACATCATCATGCTCTGCGTGCTTCTCACCCCTGGCCTGGCGTACATCATCATGCTCTGCCTGCTTCTCACCCCTGGCCTGGCGTACATCATCATGCTCTGCCTGCTTCTCACCCCTGGCCTGGCGTACATCATCATGCTCTGCCTGCTTCTCACCCCTGGCCTGGCGTACATCATCATGCTCTGCCTGCTTCTCACCCCTGGCCTGGCGTACATCATCATGCTCTGCGTGCTTCTCACCCCTGGCCTGGCGTACATCATCATGCTCTGCGTGCTTCTCACCCCTGGCCTGGCGTACATCATCATGCTCTGCCTGCTTCTCACCCCTGGCCTGGCGTACATCATCATGCTCTGCCTGCTTCTCACCCCTGGCCTGGCGTACATCATCATGCTCTGCCTGCTTCTCACCCCTGGCCTGGCGTACATCATCATGCTCTGCCTGCTTCTCACCCCTGGCCTGGCGTACATCATCATGCTCTGCCTGCTTCTCACCCCTGGCCAGGCGTACATCATCATGCTCTGCCTGCTTCTCACCCCTGGCCTGGCGTACATCATCATGCTCTGCCTGCTTCTCACCCCTGGCCTGGCGTACATCATCATGCTCTGCCTGCTTCTCACCCCTGGCCTGGCGTACATCATCATGCTCTGCCTGCTTCTCACCCCTGGCCTGGCGTACATCATCATGCTCTGCGTGCTTCTCACCCCTGGCCTGGCGTACATCATCATGCTCTGCGTGCTTCTCACCCCTGGCCTGGCGTACATCATCATGCTCTGCGTGCTTCTCACCCCTGGCCTGGCGTACATCATCATGCTCTGCCTGCTTCTCACCCCTGGCCTGGCGTACATCATCATGCTCTGCCTGCTTCTCACCCCTGGCCTGGCGTACATCATCATGCTCTGCCTGCTTCTCACCCCTGGCCTGGCGTACATCATCATGCTCTGCCTGCTTCTCACCCCTGGCCTGGCGTACATCATCATGCTCTGCGTGCTTCTCACCCCTGGCCTGGCGTACATCATCATGCTCTGCCTGCTTCTCACCCCTTGCCTGGCGTACATCATCATGCTCTGCGTGCTTCTCACCCCTGGCCTGGCGTACATCATCATGCTCTGCCTGCTTCTCACCCCTGGCCTGGCGTACATCATCATGCTCTGCGTGCTTCTCACCCCTGGCCTGGCGTACATCATCATGCTCTGCCTGCTTCTCACCCCTGGCCTGGCGTACATCATCATGCTCTGCCTGCTTCTCACCCCTGGCCTGGCGTACATCATCATGCTCTGCCTGCTTCTCACCCCTGGCCTGGCGTACATCATCATGCTCTGCCTGCTTCTCACCCCTGGCCTGGCGTACATCATCATGCTCTGCGTGCTTCTCACCCCTGGCCTGGCGTACATCATCATGCTCTGCGTGCTTCTCACCCCTGGCCTGGCGTACATCATCATGCTCTGCCTGCTTCTCACCCCTGGCCTGGCGTACATCATCATGCTCTGCCTGCTTCTCACCCCTGGCCTGGCGTACATCATCATGCTCTGCCTGCTTCTCACCCCTGGCCTGGCGTACATCATCATGCTCTGCCTGCTTCTCACCCCTGGCCTGGCGTACATCATCATGCTCTGCCTGCTTCTCACCCCTGGCCTGGCGTACATCATCATGCTCTGCCTGCTTCTCACCCCTGGCCTGGCGTACATCATCATGCTCTGCCTGCTTCTCACCCCTGGCCTGGCGTACATCATCATGCTCTGCCTGCTTCTCACCCCTGGCCTGGCGTACATCATCATGCTCTGCCTGCTTCTCACCCCTGGCCTGGCGTACATCATCATGCTCTGCCTGCTTCTCACCCCTGGCCTGGCGTACATCATCATGCTCTGCCTGCTTCTCACCCCTGGCCTGGCGTACATCATCATGCTCTGCGTGCTTCTCACCCCTGGCCTGGCGTACATCATCATGCTCTGCGTGCTTCTCACCCCTGGCCTGGCGTACATCATCATGCTCTGCCTGCTTCTCACCCCTGGCCTGGCGTACATCATCATGCTCTGCCTGCTTCTCACCCCTGGCCTGGCGTACATCATCATGCTCTGCCTGCTTCTCACCCCTGGCCTGGCGTACATCATCATGCTCTGCCTGCTTCTCACCCCTGGCCTGGCGTACATCATCATGCTCTGCCTGCTTCTCACCCCTGGCCTGGCGTACATCATCATGCTCTGCCTGCTTCTCACCCCTGGCCTGGCGTACATCATCATGCTCTGCCTGCTTCTCACCCCTGGCCTGGCGTACATCATCATGCTCTGCCTGCTTCTCACCCCTGGCCTGGCGTACATCATCATGCTCTGCCTGCTTCTCACCCCTGGCCTGGCGTACATCATCATGCTCTGCCTGCTTCTCACCCCTGGCCTGGCGTACATCATCATGCTCTGCCTGCTTCTCACCCCTGGCCTGGCGTACATCATCATGCTCTGCGTGCTTCTCACCCCTGGCCTGGCGTACATCATCATGCTCTGCGTGCTTCTCACCCCTGGCCTGGCGTACATCATCATGCTCTGCGTGCTTCTCACCCCTGGCCTGGCGTACATCATCATGCTCTGCCTGCTTCTCACCCCTGGCCTGGCGTACATCATCATGCTCTGCCTGCTTCTCACCCCTGGCCTGGCGTACATCATCATGCTCTGCCTGCTTCTCACCCCTGGCCTGGCGTACATCATCATGCTCTGCCTGCTTCTCACCCCTGGCCTGGCGTACATCATCATGCTCTGCCTGCTTCTCACCCCTGGCCTGGCGTACATCATCATGCTCTGCGTGCTTCTCACCCCTGGCCTGGCGTACATCATCATGCTCTGCCTGCTTCTCACCCCTGGCCTGGCGTACATCATCATGCTCTGCCTGCTTCTCATCCCTGGCCTGGCGTACATCATCATGCTCTGCCTGCTTCTCACCCCTTGCCTGGCGTACATCATCATGCTCTGCGTGCTTCTCACCCCTGGCCTGGCGTACATCATCATGCTCTGCGTGCTTCTCACCCCTGGCCTGGCGTACATCATCATGCTCTGCCTGCTTCTCACCCCTGGCCTGGCGTACATCATCATGCTCTGCGTGCTTCTCACCCCTGGCCTGGCGTACATCATCATGCTCTGCCTGCTTCTCACCCCTGGCCTGGCGTACATCAGCATGCTCTGCCTGCTTCTCACCCCTGGCCTGGCGTACATCATCATGCTCTGCCTACTTCTCACCCCTGGCCTGGCGTACATCATCATGCTCTGCCTGCTTCTCACCCCTTGCCTGGCGTACATCATCATGCTCTGCGTGCTTCTCACCCCTGGCCTGGCGTACATCATCATGCTCTGCCTGCTTCTCACCCCTGGCCTGGCGTACATCATCATGCTCTGCCTGCTTCTCACCCCTGGCCTGGCGTACATCATCATGCTCTGCGTGCTTCTCACCCCTGGCCTGGCGTACATCATCATGCTCTGCCTGCTTCTCACCCCTGGCCTGGCGTACATCATCATGCTCTGCCTGCTTCTCACCCCTGGCCTGGCGTACATCATCATGCTCTGCCTGCTTCTCACCCCTGGCCTGGCGTACATCATCATGCTCTGCCTGCTTCTCACCCCTGGCCTGGCGTACATCATCATGCTCTGCGTGCTTCTCACCCCTGGCCTGGCGTACATCATCATGCTCTGCCTGCTTCTCACCCCTGGCCTGGCGTACATCATCATGCTCTGCCTGCTTCTCACCCCTGGCCTGGCGTACATCATCATGCTCTGCGTGCTTCTCACCCCTGGCCTGGCGTACATCATCATGCTCTGCCTGCTTCTCACCCCTGGCCTGGCGTACATCATCATGCTCTGCCTGCTTCTCACCCCTGGCCTGGCGTACATCATCATGCTCTGCGTGCTTCTCACCCCTGGCCTGGCGTACATCATCATGCTCTGCGTGCTTCTCACCCCTGGCCTGGCGTACATCATCATGCTCTGCGTGCTTCTCACCCCTGGCCTGGCGTACATCATCATGCTCTGCGTGCTTCTCACCCCTGGCCTGGCGTACATCATCATGCTCTGCCTGCTTCTCACCCCTGGCCTGGCGTACATCATCATGCTCTGCGTGCTTCTCACCCCTGGCCTGGCGTACATCATCATGCTCTGCCTGCTTCTCACCCCTGGCCTGGCGTACATCAGCATGCTCTGCCTGCTTCTCACCCCTGGCCTGGCGTACGTCATCATGCTCTGCCTGCTTCTCACCCCTGGCCTGGCGTACATCATCATGCTCTGCCTGCTTCTCACCCCTCGCCTGGCGTACATCATCATGCTCTGCCTGCTTCTCACCCCTGGCCTGGCGTACATCATCATGCTCTGCCTGCTTCTCACCCCTGGCCTGGCGTACATCATCATGCTCTGCCTGCTTCTCACCCCTGGCCTGGCGTACATCATCATGCTCTGCCTGCTTCTCACCCCTGGCCTGGCGTACATCATCATGCTCTGCGTGCTTCTCACCCCTGGCCTGGCGTACATCATCATGCTCTGCGTGCTTCTCACCCCTGGCCTGGCGTACATCATCATGCTCTGCGTGCTTCTCACCCCTGGCCTGGCGTACATCATCATGCTCTGCGTGCTTCTCACCCCTGGCCTGGCGTACATCATCATGCTCTGCGTGCTTCTCACCCCTGGCCTGGCGTACATCATCATGCTCTGCCTGCTTCTCACCCCTGGCCTGGCGTACATCATCATGCTCTGCCTGCTTCTCACCCCTGGCCTGGCGTACATCATCATGCTCTGCCTGCTTCTCACCCCTGGCCTGGCGTACATCATCATGCTCTGCCTGCTTCTCACCCCTGGCCTGGCGTACATCATCATGCTCTGCGTGCTTCTCACCCCTGGCCTGGCGTACATCATCATGCTCTGCGTGCTTCTCACCCCTGGCCTGGCGTACATCATCATGCTCTGCCTGCTTCTCACCCCTGGCCTGGCGTACATCATCATGCTCTGCCTGCTTCTCACCCCTGGCCTGGCGTACATCATCATGCTCTGCCTGCTTCTCACCCCTGGCCTGGCGTACATCATCATGCTCTGCCTGCTTCTCACCCCTGGCCTGGCGTACATCATCATGCTCTGCGTGCTTCTCACCCCTGGCCTGGCGTACATCATCATGCTCTGCGTGCTTCTCACCCCTGGCCTGGCGTACATCATCATGCTCTGCCTGCTTCTCACCCCTGGCCTGGCGTACATCATCATGCTCTGCCTGCTTCTCACCCCTGGCCTGGCGTACATCATCATGCTCTGCGTGCTTCTCACCCCTGGCCTGGCGCACATCATCATGCTCTGCGTGCTTCTCACCCCTGGCCTGGCGCACATCATCATGCTCTGCCTGCTTCTCACCCCTGGCCTGGCGCACATCATCATGCTCTGCCTGCTTCTCACCCCTGGCCTGGCGTACATCATCATGCTCTGCGTGCTTCTCACCCCTGGCCTGGCGTACATCATCATGCTCTGCGTGCTTCTCACCCCTGGCCTGGCGTACATCATCATGCTCTGCGTGCTTCTCACCCCTGGCCTGGCGTACATCATCATGCTCTGCCTGCTTCTCACCCCTGGCCTGGTGTACATCATCATGCTCTGCGTGCTTCTCACCCCTGGCCTGGCGTACATCATCATGCTCTGCGTGCTTCTCACCCCTGGCCTGGCGTACATCATCATGCTCTGCGTGCTTCTCACCCCTGGCCTGGCGCACATCATCATGCTCTGCGTGCTTCTCACCCCTGGCCTGGCGCACATCATCATGCTCTGCCTGCTTCTCACCCCTGGCCTGGCGTACATCATCATGCTCTGCCTGCTTCTCACCCCTGGCCTGGCGTACATCATCATGCTCTGCGTGCTTCTCACCCCTGGCCTGGCGTACATCATCATGCTCTGCCTGCTTCTCACCCCTGGCCTGGCGTACATCATCATGCTCTGCGTGCTTCTCACCCCTGGCCTGGCGTACATCATCATGCTCTGCCTGCTTCTCACCCCTGGCCTGGCGTACATCATCATGCTCTGCCTGCTTCTCACCCCTGGCCTGGCGTACATCATCATGCTCTGCGTGCTTCTCACCCCTGGCCTGGCGTACATCATCATGCTCTGCGTGCTTCTCACCCCTGGCCTGGCGTACATCATCATGCTCTGCGTGCTTCTCACCCCTGGCCTGGCGTACATCATCATGCTCTGCGTGCTTCTCACCCCTGGCCTGGCGTACATCATCATGCTCTGCGTGCTTCTCACCCCTGGCCTGGCGTACATCATCATGCTCTGCGTGCTTCTCACCCCTGGCCTGGCGTACATCATCATGCTCTGCGTGCTTCTCACCCCTGGCCTGGCGTACATCATCATGCTCTGCCTGCTTCTCACCCCTGGCCTGGCGTACATCATCATGCTCTGCCTGCTTCTCACCCCTGGCCTGGCGTACATCATCATGCTCTGCCTGCTTCTCACCCCTGGCCTGGCGTACATCATCATGCTCTGCCTGCTTCTCACCCCTGGCCTGGCGTACATCATCATGCTCTGCGTGCTTCTCACCCCTGGCCTGGCGTACATCATCATGCTCTGCCTGCTTCTCACCCCTGGCCTGGCGTACATCATCATGCTCTGCCTGCTTCTCACCCCTGGCCTGGCGTACATCATCATGCTCTGCCTGCTTCTCACCCCTGGCCTGGCGTACATCATCATGCTCTGCGTGCTTCTCACCCCTGGCCTGGCGTACATCATCATGCTCTGCCTGCTTCTCACCCCTGGCCTGGCGTACATCATCATGCTCTGCGTGCCTCTGTGCTCTGCGTGCATCTCACCCTAGCTAGTGGTACTACCATCTCCCCACACCCCTTCACGTCCCCCCACACACCCGTTCACCTGCTGCTCCTCCCAGAGTTTATGGCAACGCACAAGGCCAGTGAGCGCTTTTGCACAACCTTGAATCCTAACGTTAAAACCCCACCCTAAAGCTGAACCCTAAGCTCGAAACCCTGGCTTTTTCAGCCCTCTCCATCATTCTCTCCCGCCTACCTTTGCTCTCCCAGCAATCTTTCTTGCAACAATCTCACCCTGATCTCTCTCCCTCCTCCCTCCGCACCTTTCGTCCCCCTCATCCCCCATCCTTCAATCCCTTTCACCCCCCCTGATCCGCCTCTCCATTCCCCATGCATCCCCCTTTCATCTCCTCCTTTCCTTCCCCAGCAGCGTTCTTCCCGGCAACAATCTCACCGGCTCGCTCGCTCCTCTCGTTGGCTTGAAGCGCCTGCAGCACCTGTGAGTGAGTCGAGTCAGGAGGCGTTTTGAGGGTAAGCTAAGAGGTCCTGGAAAACTAACTTCTGAGGTTCTAGAGTCAAGCCGAGAGGCCCTTGTGAGAATAAGGCGCTCTGAGGAAATGAGTAAATTCCTTCTTGAGGCATCTCAAAGCCCACTCGTTCCGCTGCTGGCTTGAATTAAAGCGCACCTGTGTGTCGAGTAAAGAAGCCGTTTGATGACCTGGGCTGGGGAAAGGGGCTCTTGTGAGATCAAGGCGCCGTGGTGGAGAAATGACCCTACAACAGCCTACATATACTGGTCTTTCAGTGTAACAGCCTTAGGCGCGGCATGTGTGTGTGGCACATGAGAGGTACAGGTTTTAAAAGTGAAAACTCCCACAACCAACTTTAAGAATTCAAAAAAATGATTCCCTTACTTCAGGATGTTCAGCAGCGAGTGGCACATGAGAGGTATATGCTTAGGAAAAGAATCCTCCAGCAACCACTCTGTAGCATCCTAAACAATGTTACCACACTGCTCATCATCATCCCCATAGAACTGGCCCTTGCCCTTTGCCTCTCCGCTTCTCCCCCTGTTTGCCTCTCTCTCTCCTCCTCAACCCCCCAATCTTCATGTAATCCCTCAATCCACCCACTTTGAGAACACCCCATTGCCCCCCGCCTGAACCCCCCTCCCTCCTGCAGCAACGGCATTCACAATCGCTTCTCGGGCAGCATCCCATCGACCATCAGCCGCCTCTCAGACCTCTCCTATGTGTGAGTGCCTGCTGCTGCTGCTGCTGCTGCCGCCGCCGCCGCCGCGCTGCTGCTGCTGTTGCTGCTCAGGCTGCTTCTGCTTTGGGGAATGTGATTGCCTGCTGCTGCTGCTGATTCACCTATGAGCTGCTGTTGCAATCAATATCTCCCGCCGTCCCTTCTCCCCTACGTCCCTCTTTCTCCTCACCCTCAAATCCCCACTGCCGACCCCAGCTAGATAGACAACAGTGGCATCACATGCTCCTAGCCATCCATCCTCCACACTAAGTATAGACATCCCCATCTTCTGCCTGCCTGTTCTTCTTTCTCCCCACCCTCAATACCCCCCGCTGCCACCCCCAGCTGGCTGGACAACAACACCATCACCGGTTCCTTCCCAGCCTCCATCTCCAGACTCCGAAACCTCGCATTTCTGTACGTATGTTTGTACCTCATGCATTGTGCCCTGCCGTCCTGCCTTGCCTCGACTGACTGACTAACTGGCAGCCTGCCTGCCTGCCTGCCCCCATCCTTCCCACCCTCCATCTTTATACTCCAATACCTCGCGCTCCTTTGAGTCTGTGTCTCATGCATGCATTGTGCTGCGCTTCACGCATTGTGCTGTGCCGTGCTGTCTTCCCTTCCCAGTGCGTGCTCCTGTGCGTCTTCCCTCTCGTGCGTTGTGCCGTGCCGTGCCGTGCTGTCTTCTTGCCGTGCCAGTGTGTGTTCCTTTAAGACTGTGCCTGATGGATTGTGCTGTGCTGTGTTCCCGGTTCACACAATGATGCCCCTGTCAGTCAGCAGCATATGCATGCATTATGCTGTCTACCCAGTCATGCATGCATATGCTGCTGACTCACAATGATGCACCTGCGAGTCCGCACCTCCATGTATTGTGCTGTCTACTTGTGCTGTCTACCCAATCAGTAAACACCACTTCTGTGACGTGACGTGACCTTACATTACGTGCCTGCCAGCGTGAACCCTACTTCACTCACACCAGTTCCTATGGCTTATGCTGCTACTGCAGTGTCGCCTGTGATCATGGGTCATAGCTCACCACTTTTGAGTCGACTCAAAATGTGTCGTGTGCCATGGTAACGAGGTGACTTTTGAGTCGACTCAAAATGTGTCGTGTGCCATGGTAACGAGGTGACTTTTGAGTCGACTCAAAAGTTACTGCAGTGTCGCCTGTGACCATGGGTCATAGCTCACCACCCACCGCTCACCACTCACCACTCACCACTCACCACTCACCACGCATCGCTCATGGCAGGAGCCCAACCGGTTAACAGGCAGCCTACCACAAGCCATGGGGGGGCTTTCTCGCTTGCACCGCTCACCACTCACCTCTCACCTCTCACCACCCATCACCATCCATTGCAGTAGCGTGGAGGCCAACCGGTTAACAGGCAGCCTACCACAAGCCATTGGTGGGCTCTCCAGCCTGCAAGGCCTGTGAGATCATCCTTCCTCCTCTCCGGTTGCTTCTGTCTGCCTGACCAAGGTGGAAAAAAAATAGTATTGTTTTCGATGGTATTCTTTGGTAGCCTTTGGGAGAACTAAGTGTTCTGAGACGTCTCGAAACACTTCTCGTTCACGTGGGAATTTTATGGTAGCCTTTGGGAAAACTAAGACCCTTTTCCGTTGGATGAAGGGGGGGGGTTGATTTGATTTCTTGTATGCTGCTGTGACTCGTTAGCAGCAAAATTGTTCCACGGCCGTGTCTACATCCCTTTTTTTTTGCAAAACAAAACCGTGATTTGCAACACCAAGTTGAAACACAAAATGTCGTGTTTTTGCACCTTGTGCGCGACCCTCCTCGCGACCAATGGGTTCATTGCAATTAGTTTCTACTGCATACATGAAAGCGGCGCGTCTCCCTTCATCTGTTCCCTTCAAGCCGCCTTCTCAAATGGTCCTTCCCTCCCTCTCCCCTGTGATTCCAACCATGCTCTCCCTATCGCCCCACCGCAGTGACCTCTCCCACAACAGCATCTCAGGCCCACTGCCGTCCACCATGGGCAATCTGAGGCTTCTTCGCTCCATGTACGCCCCCTTTTCTCCGCCTACCTACCTTAACTTGTGTTGTGTGATTCCTCCTACCTTCTCTGCTACTTCCATCCGTGTAGGTCGCAAGTGAAAAGAGTTCATTTAATTTCAAGTTCCTTCCGAACCCCCTTCTATGTCTACAACATATGGCATGGTAGGGCATGGCACGGTATTGCATGGCATGGGATGGCATGGCAGGCGAGTTGACAACAACAGCATCATTGGATCCATCCCTCTCTCCTTCTCCTCCCTCACCTCACTCTCCTTCCTGTCAGTCCCTCCACATTCCGCGGTTTCTCACTCCCTCCGCACTCTCCCTCTCACTCTCCACCTACGGTGCTTCACTAAGTTCTTTGCGCTCAAAAGCTGCTCGCACCATAGTGTTCCTCTGCTGCCCGTTCATGCACCACCCGCTTTGCATGCTTCTCATCCCATCCTTTTCCCGCTCTGCTCCTCACTCCACCCCTGTGTGCCCCCCCGCCGTGCCTCCTCACTCCCCTCCTCACTCCCCTCCTCTCTCCCCTCCTCACTCCCCTCATCCTCACTCCGCTCCTCACTCCCCTCCTCACTCCCCTCCCTCCTCACTCCCCTCCTCACCGTGTCGCATCAGCTCCATCCAGCGCAACGGGCTGCACGGCAGCATGCCCTCCTTCCTCGCCGCCTTGCCACGCCTGCAGCACGTGTGAGCAGTGCTGGTGTAAATTGCAAGAATTTCAGAACCCACCATCACAATGAGCCATACGTCTTTGTCGCCTTGCCACGACTGCGGCGCATCTGATGTGATGTGACCATCAAGTGCATGTGATGTGACCATCATCAAGTGTGTGTGAGGCCGCCCATCCATGAAGCCCTAGACGCTTTCACGGTCTACCAGCATACGGTATCCTTGCCACTCCGACTGCAACTGACTTATTCTAAAAAACCCAACTCTCTGCATATCCCCCTCTCTCCGTTTCCTCCTCCATGTCCCGTTCATCCATTCCCCGTTCTATCCATTTCCCCTCTCTCCACTCCCCTCTCTCTATTCCCCTCTCTCCACTCCCCTCTCTCTATTCCCCTCTCTCCACTCCCCTCTCTCTATTCCCCTCTCTCCACTCCCCTCTCTCTATTCCCCTCTCTCCACTCCCCTCTCTCCACTCCCCTCTCTCCATTTCCCCTATCTCCAACCTTTTTTACACCCCTCTTCCTTCTCTCCACCTGCCCTTTATCCGTCACCCTTTATCCATCCCCATACTCCCTCCCACCCACTACTCCCCCACTATCCGTCCACCCACCACCCCCTCACTCCACTCGATACACCTCTCCTCCCCACCATCAGCTACCTCAACAACAATAGACTCAACGGCTCTCTGCCAACCAACTTCGCAAGCTTCTCAGCCCTTCAAGTCCTGTAAGCCTTTGAAGTCCTGGAAGCCTTTGAGACATGAAAAGACTTTTGGAGGCGCCTCAAAAGGCTTCTCAGCCTTTGAAGTCCTGAAAGCCTTTCAATTACTGTAAGCCCTTCAAGTCCTGTAAGCCATTCAAGGTTTGTAAGCCATTCAAGTCCTCTAAGCCTTTCAAGTCCTGTAAGCCCTTCAAGTCCTGTAAGCCTTTCAAGTCCTGTAAGCCCTTCAAGTCCTGTAAGCCATTCAAGTCCTGTAAGCCTTGAGAAAGGAGTCGAATTTTGAGTCGCCTCAAAAGTCTTGTCAGCCCTTGAAGTTCTGTAAGCCTTTGAGCTCAACGGCTCTCTCCCAACCTTGTTTTGAGGCGCCACAAAAGTAGACTCGCTGCCAACCAACTTTGCAAGCTTCTCAGCCTTCAAAGTCCTGTAAGCCTTGAGACATGAGACGACTTTTGAGACGCCTCAAAAGCTTTCTCAGCCCTTTCAAGTCCTGTAAGCCTTTCAAGTCCCGTAAGCCATTCAAGTCCCGTAAGCCCTTCAAGTCCCGTAAGCCTTGAGACATGAAGACTTTTGAGGCGCCTCAAAAGGCTTCTCAGCCTTTAAAGTCCTGAAAGCCTTTAAATTCCTGTAAGCCATTCAAGTCCTGTAAGCCATTCAAGTCCTGTAAGCCATTCAAGTCCTGTAAGCCATTCAAGTCCTGTAAGCTTTGAGACACGAGGACGAGCTTTGAGGCGCCTCAAAAGGCTTCTCAGCCGTTGAAGTCCTGTAAGCCTTTAACGCAACAGCTCTCGGCCAGCCTTGTAATATGGTGGCTTTTCAGGCGACTCAAAAGTCCTTCCTGCCCCTTTCGATTCAATTGCAGTGTCCCTTCGAAAAATCAACACATATCCTGCAGAGTTGACTAAAAAGTCACTCACTCACTCCCTCTCAGTCTCTCCTCCCCTTCCCTATCCCCGCAACACCCTCTCCAGCAACCTGCTGCAGGGCCATGTGTCATTGTAACAACCAGCAACAACTTCTCCCGCTGCCCTTCCCATTCCCTCCCTCCCAACCTCTCCACAGGAACCTTTTCTATCCCCCACAGGAGCCTCTCCAACAACCTGCTCCACGGCCATGTGTCATTGAGTGCGACTTTTGAGAGTGCGACTTTTGAGAGTGCGACTTTTGAGAGTTCTCAAAAGTCGCATTCCTATCTCCCACAGGAGCCTCTCCAGCAACCTGCTCCACGGCCATGTGTCATTGTAACGAACGAGGTGACTTATAAGTCGACTCAAAAGACCCTTCCTCCTTCCTTTTCATATCTCCCCAGAACCCTCTTCAGTGCTCTCCAAAACCCTCCCCAGAACCCTCTTCAGGGCTTCAGGGCTCTCCAAAACACTCCCCAGAACCCTCCGCAGAACCTTCCCCAGAACCCTCTCCAAAATCCTCCCCAGAACCCTCCCCAGCATCCTCCCCAGCACCCTCCCCAGAAGCCTCTCCAACAACCTGCTTCAGGGCCTCCCAATGAACCCGCCGAGCAGCAATGTTGGAACAGCTGTCTTCCTCCGTATCACACTTCCCCTCACTCCCTCCCTCTCAGTCTCTCCCTCCCTTCCCTATCACCACAGAATGCTGTCCCACAACCTGCTGCGGGGCAGCATATACCACCCTCCATCGCACCCTCTAATCCCTCCCTCCTCTGATCCCTGTGGAGTCACTCGGGCCTCTCTTTGAGTCACTCATTCCTCCCCTGTCTCGGCAAAATCATCTCCAGCAACCTGCTGCACGGCTGCACACCACTCCTGTCCCTCTCCGTCCTACAGGACTCACTCCCTCTGCCCTTTCTTTCCCTCTCCTTCCGTCCCTCCCTCTCTCCTTCCGTCCCCCACCTATCTCCCAGAATCCTCTCCAACAACCAGCTGCAGGGCAGCATACCACCCTCCATTGCAAGTGCTCCCAAACTGAGAGAACTGTCTGTTAAAATATATATTGTGTAGCATGCCAACACATGTGACTGTACACCAATTGTGGTGTACAGTTGGGTTGGGACTACACCCAACTTTGGGTGTAGTCTTGCACTTTGGGGTGCCAATCCACCCAATTGTGGTGGAGCCCCCAAATGCAACCCTCTTGACTTGTGGGTACCTCACTTCCCACAATTGAGGTTACCCCAAGCCAAGTGGGCCTAGGGTTGCCTCACTTCTACAAAGTGTGGGCAACCCAACCCACTTGACCTATGGTTCCCTCACTTCCCCAAGTGAGGTCAACCCAACCTATGGTCACTTTCATCCTTCCCTTCCAACCTTCCCTTCGAACTATGTATGCTAGGTTGTTCCTCTAATCTAATCACTTGTTCAATTTGCTACTTTCACACTGTCAGTGCCATTGCAAGTGCTCCCAAACTGAGAGAACTGTCAGTGCCATTGCAAGTGCTCCCAAACTGAGAGAACTGTCAGTGCCATTGCAAGTGCTCCCAAACTGAGAGAACTGTCAGTGCCATTTCAAGTGCTATTTCGAGTTCCTTTGCAAGCCCACCTCTCAAGCTACAACAAGCCGCCCTCTCAGACTATAGCAAGTTTCCTCTTCGAACATAGTAATCTGCCTCTCAAACTATAGTGAGCCGCCTCTTGGGCCACAATGAGCCGCATCCCATGACCATGTTGCTTCTGAGAATGCAACATCAATCCCATGCACTCCCCCATGCACAACCCCATGCACTCCCCCATGCACTCCCCCATGCACTCCCCCATGCACTCCCCCATGCACTCCCCCATGCAGTCCCTGAAGCACCTCTGATTCGCCCCTCGGATTCCTTTGTTGTGATTGGTTCCCCTACCTCACATTCCTCCCCCTGTAATTCCACCTCTCTGATCCCACCCTCTCTTTGATTCCACCCTCTCTGATCCCACCCCCACCCTCTCTGATCCCACCCTCTTTCATCCCACCCGCTCTGATCCCCACCCTCTTTCATCCCACCCGCTCTGATCCCACCCCTCCGCTGACTGCTCTTGAATCGTTTCGACCCTTACGCTCCACCGCCCACGCAGCCTGCTCGCCAACAACCAGCTGTCAGGCCGCCTCCCTGAGTCTCCCCTCTGTCTAGTTTATGAGATCATCCTTCCTCCTCTCCGGTTGCTTCTGTCTGCCTGACCAAGGTGGAAAAAAAATAGTATTGTTTTCGATGGTATTCTTTGGTAGCCTTTGGGAGAACTAAGTGTTCTGAGACGTCTCGAAACACTTCTCGTTCACGTGGGAATTTTATGGTAGCCTTTGGGAAAACTAAGACCCTTTTCCGTTGGATGAAGGGGGGGGGTTGATTTGATTTCTTGTATGCTGCTGTGACTCGTTAGCAGCAAAATTGTTCCACGGCCGTGTCTACATCCCTTTTTTTTTGCAAAACAAAACCGTGATTTGCAACACCAAGTTGAAACACAAAATGTCGTGTTTTTGCACCTTGTGCGCGACCCTCCTCGCGACCAATGGGTTCATTGCAATTAGTTTCTACTGCATACATGAAAGCGGCGCGTCTCCCTTCATCTGTTCCCTTCAAGCCGCCTTCTCAAATGGTCCTTCCCTCCCTCTCCCCTGTGATTCCAACCATGCTCTCCCCTATCGCCCCACCGCAGTGACCTCTCCCACAACAGCATCTCAGGCCCACTGCCGTCCACCATGGGCAATCTGAGGCTTCTTCGCTCCATGTACGCCCCCTTTTCTCCGCCTACCTACCTTAACTTGTGTTGTGTGATTCCTCCTACCTTCTCTGCTACTTCCATCCGTGTAGGTCGCAAGTGAAAGAGTTCATTTAATTTCAAGTTCCTTCCGAACCCCCTTCTATGTCTACAACATATGGCATGGTAGGGCATGGCACGGTATTGCATGGCATGGGATGGCATGGCAGGCGAGTTGACAACAACAGCATCATTGGATCCATCCCTCTCTCCTTCTCCTCCCTCACCTCACTCTCCTTCCTGTCAGTCCCTCCACATTCCGCGGTTTCTCACTCCCTCCGCACTCTCCCTCTCACTCTCCACCTACGGTGCTTCACTAAGTTCTTTGCGCTCAAAAGCTGCTCGCACCATAGTGTTCCTCTGCTGCCCGTTCATGCACCACCCGCTTTGCATGCTTCTCATCCCATCCTTTTCCCGCTCTGCTCCTCACTCCACCCCTGTGTGCCCCCCCGCCGTGCCTCCTCACTCCCCTCCTCACTCCCCTCCTCTCTCCCCTCCTCACTCCCCTCATCCTCACTCCGCTCCTCACTCCCCTCCTCACTCCCCTCCCTCCTCACTCCCCTCCTCACCGTGTCGCATCAGCTCCATCCAGCGCAACGGGCTGCACGGCAGCATGCCCTCCTTCCTCGCCGCCTTGCCACGCCTGCAGCACGTGTGAGCAGTGCTGGTGTAAATTGCAAGAATTTCAGAACCCACCATCACAATGAGCCATACGTCTTTGTCGCCTTGCCACGACTGCGGCGCATCTGATGTGATGTGACCATCAAGTGCATGTGATGTGACCATCATCAAGTGTGTGTGAGGCCGCCCATCCATGAAGCCCTAGACGCTTTCACGGTCTACCAGCATACGGTATCCTTGCCACTCCGACTGCAACTGACTTATTCTAAAAAACCCAACTCTCTGCATATCCCCCTCTCTCCGTTTCCTCCTCCATGTCCCGTTCATCCATTCCCCGTTCTATCCATTTCCCCTCTCTCCACTCCCCTCTCTCTATTCCCCTCTCTCCACTCCCCTCTCTCTATTCCCCTCTCTCCACTCCCCTCTCTCTATTCCCCTCTCTCCACTCCCCTCTCTCTATTCCCCTCTCTCCACTCCCCTCTCTCCACTCCCCTCTCTCCATTTCCCCTATCTCCAACCTTTTTTACACCCCTCTTCCTTCTCTCCACCTGCCCTTTATCCGTCACCCTTTATCCATCCCCATACTCCCTCCCACCCACTACTCCCCCACTATCCGTCCACCCACCACCCCCTCACTCCACTCGATACACCTCTCCTCCCCACCATCAGCTACCTCAACAACAATAGACTCAACGGCTCTCTGCCAACCAACTTCGCAAGCTTCTCAGCCCTTCAAGTCCTGTAAGCCTTTGAAGTCCTGGAAGCCTTTGAGACATGAAAAGACTTTTGGAGGCGCCTCAAAAGGCTTCTCAGCCTTTGAAGTCCTGAAAGCCTTTCAATTACTGTAAGCCCTTCAAGTCCTGTAAGCCATTCAAGGTTTGTAAGCCATTCAAGTCCTCTAAGCCTTTCAAGTCCTGTAAGCCCTTCAAGTCCTGTAAGCCTTTCAAGTCCTGTAAGCCCTTCAAGTCCTGTAAGCCATTCAAGTCCTGTAAGCCTTGAGAAAGGAGTCGAATTTTGAGTCGCCTCAAAAGTCTTGTCAGCCCTTGAAGTTCTGTAAGCCTTTGAGCTCAACGGCTCTCTCCCAACCTTGTTTTGAGGCGCCACAAAAGTAGACTCGCTGCCAACCAACTTTGCAAGCTTCTCAGCCTTCAAAGTCCTGTAAGCCTTGAGACATGAGACGACTTTTGAGACGCCTCAAAAGCTTTCTCAGCCCTTTCAAGTCCTGTAAGCCTTTCAAGTCCCGTAAGCCATTCAAGTCCCGTAAGCCCTTCAAGTCCCGTAAGCCTTGAGACATGAAGACTTTTGAGGCGCCTCAAAAGGCTTCTCAGCCTTTAAAGTCCTGAAAGCCTTTAAATTCCTGTAAGCCATTCAAGTCCTGTAAGCCATTCAAGTCCTGTAAGCCATTCAAGTCCTGTAAGCCATTCAAGTCCTGTAAGCTTTGAGACACGAGGACGAGCTTTGAGGCGCCTCAAAAGGCTTCTCAGCCGTTGAAGTCCTGTAAGCCTTTAACGCAACAGCTCTCGGCCAGCCTTGTAATATGGTGGCTTTTCAGGCGACTCAAAAGTCCTTCCTGCCCCTTTCGATTCAATTGCAGTGTCCCTTCGAAAAATCAACACATATCCTGCAGAGTTGACTAAAAAGTCACTCACTCACTCCCTCTCAGTCTCTCCTCCCCTTCCCTATCCCCGCAACACCCTCTCCAGCAACCTGCTGCAGGGCCATGTGTCATTGTAACAACCAGCAACAACTTCTCCCGCTGCCCTTCCCATTCCCTCCCTCCCAACCTCTCCACAGGAACCTTTTCTATCCCCCACAGGAGCCTCTCCAACAACCTGCTCCACGGCCATGTGTCATTGAGTGCGACTTTTGAGAGTGCGACTTTTGAGAGTGCGACTTTTGAGAGTTCTCAAAAGTCGCATTCCTATCTCCCACAGGAGCCTCTCCAGCAACCTGCTCCACGGCCATGTGTCATTGTAACGAACGAGGTGACTTATAAGTCGACTCAAAAGACCCTTCCTCCTTCCTTTTCATATCTCCCCAGAACCCTCTTCAGTGCTCTCCAAAACCCTCCCCAGAACCCTCTTCAGGGCTTCAGGGCTCTCCAAAACACTCCCCAGAACCCTCCGCAGAACCTTCCCCAGAACCCTCTCCAAAATCCTCCCCAGAACCCTCCCCAGCATCCTCCCCAGCACCCTCCCCAGAAGCCTCTCCAACAACCTGCTTCAGGGCCTCCCAATGAACCCGCCGAGCAGCAATGTTGGAACAGCTGTCTTCCTCCGTATCACACTTCCCCTCACTCCCTCCCTCTCAGTCTCTCCCTCCCTTCCCTATCACCACAGAATGCTGTCCCACAACCTGCTGCGGGGCAGCATATACCACCCTCCATCGCACCCTCTAATCCCTCCCTCCTCTGATCCCTGTGGAGTCACTCGGGCCTCTCTTTGAGTCACTCATTCCTCCCCTGTCTCGGCAAAATCATCTCCAGCAACCTGCTGCACGGCTGCACACCACTCCTGTCCCTCTCCGTCCTACAGGACTCACTCCCTCTGCCCTTTCTTTCCCTCTCCTTCCGTCCCTCCCTCTCTCCTTCCGTCCCCCACCTATCTCCCAGAATCCTCTCCAACAACCAGCTGCAGGGCAGCATACCACCCTCCATTGCAAGTGCTCCCAAACTGAGAGAACTGTCTGTTAAAATATATATTGTGTAGCATGCCAACACATGTGACTGTACACCAATTGTGGTGTACAGTTGGGTTGGGACTACACCCAACTTTGGGTGTAGTCTTGCACTTTGGGGTGCCAATCCACCCAATTGTGGTGGAGCCCCCAAATGCAACCCTCTTGACTTGTGGGTACCTCACTTCCCACAATTGAGGTTACCCCAAGCCAAGTGGGCCTAGGGTTGCCTCACTTCTACAAAGTGTGGGCAACCCAACCCACTTGACCTATGGTTCCCTCACTTCCCCAAGTGAGGTCAACCCAACCTATGGTCACTTTCATCCTTCCCTTCCAACCTTCCCTTCGAACTATGTATGCTAGGTTGTTCCTCTAATCTAATCACTTGTTCAATTTGCTACTTTCACACTGTCAGTGCCATTGCAAGTGCTCCCAAACTGAGAGAACTGTCAGTGCCATTGCAAGTGCTCCCAAACTGAGAGAACTGTCAGTGCCATTGCAAGTGCTCCCAAACTGAGAGAACTGTCAGTGCCATTTCAAGTGCTATTTCGAGTTCCTTTGCAAGCCCACCTCTCAAGCTACAACAAGCCGCCCTCTCAGACTATAGCAAGTTTCCTCTTCGAACATAGTAATCTGCCTCTCAAACTATAGTGAGCCGCCTCTTGGGCCACAATGAGCCGCATCCCATGACCATGTTGCTTCTGAGAATGCAACATCAATCCCATGCACTCCCCCATGCACAACCCCATGCACTCCCCCATGCACTCCCCCATGCACTCCCCCATGCACTCCCCCATGCACTCCCCCATGCAGTCCCTGAAGCACCTCTGATTCGCCCCTCGGATTCCTTTGTTGTGATTGGTTCCCCTACCTCACATTCCTCCCCCTGTAATTCCACCTCTCTGATCCCACCCTCTCTTTGATTCCACCCTCTCTGATCCCACCCCCACCCTCTCTGATCCCACCCTCTTTCATCCCACCCGCTCTGATCCCCACCCTCTTTCATCCCACCCGCTCTGATCCCACCCCTCCGCTGACTGCTCTTGAATCGTTTCGACCCTTACGCTCCACCGCCCACGCAGCCTGCTCGCCAACAACCAGCTGTCAGGCCGCCTCCCTGAGTCTCCCCTCTGTCTAGTTTATGTTATAAGCCTTTCACCTCCCCCCCCGGCACTGCCCGTGCAGCCTGCTCGCCAACAACCAGCTGTCAGGCCGCCTCCCTGAGGCTCCCCTCTGTCTAGTTTATGTTATAAGCCTTTCACCTCCCCCCCCTGCACTGCCCATGCAGCCTGCTCGCCAACAACCAGCTGTCAGGCCGCCTCCCTGAGGCTCCCCTCTGTCTAGTTTATGTTATAAGCCTTTCACCTCCCCCCCCTGCACTGCCCATGCAGCCTGCTCGCCAACAACCAGCTGTCAGGCCGCCTCCCTGAGCCTTCGGTCACCAACCCAGCCTTCTTCACATTGTGAGTCAGCGGCGCACTGTCGCATGCCGCGTCTTTTTTTAGCAGTTGGTTGATGGGGTTGGTGATCTTGGAAAACCCCCGGATGAATCGTCGGCAGTATGAAGCGAGGCCGAGGAAGCCGCGGACCTGCTTCACCGTCTCTGGCTGCGGCCAGTCTTGCACAGCCCGAATCTTCTCTGGGTCGGGTGCCACCCCGTCTCGGCTGATGATATGTCCCAAATACGGCGTCTTGTCAAGCCCGAAATTGCATTTATTGATCTTGAGCAGGAGAGAGTGCTCCCTGATTAGGCGCATAGGGAGCTTGATATAGCCGAGGGGCTCCTCCCAGGTAGTCGACCAGATGACCGCGTCGTCCAAATAAGCGATAATGAACGGCAGGTTTCGGAAGACTCCCATGATGAAACGTTGCCAGGTAGCAGGCGCGTTCTTGAGTCTGAAAGGCATACGTGTGAACTCATAGAGCTTCATCGGGTCGGGCGACGCCTCACCGTCCCGAACGTCCGACCTTGCATCACCGCTGCCAGGAGGCAGTCGGATCTACTCGGGGGGACAGACATTGACAAGCAATATTCCAATTCAAGAAAAAATTTAACCCTTGGCGGGCGACGAAACCCGCTTCCCAAAATAAATGAGAATTCCGGGAACGGAACAAGGGGGGAGGAAGCCAAGAGTCAGCCAACCGCTTCTCCAAATTCAGCTGCCATTTGGAGACGCGACCGGCCGGATACTGACAACTTTGGGTGATCAAGAGCGAAACCGCCAACATACGTGACAAATAGCTTAGTCAGAGGACAACGATTCAACGCCCACATCCTCTATTCGACCCCGACGCGACCAACTGCCTGAGAAGTTCATGCACCAACACCCCACTGCAACTGCAACTGCTAGACTACGGATTTCACTCCTATTCCAGCAGCCGAGTTGAAAACGGCGAGCTGGGTAGCTATCAAAGGAATTGACGTTGATGAAGGAATTGACGATGCAATTGAAGAATGATTTTCTGAGTCGAGCCCTCCCTTCTTATAGGGTTCTATGAGGCCGCTGGGGCTCTGTTGGACGGGTCGGAGCGGCTCAGGAGTCATTTGGAAGTTGTGGCTTGGGAAGTTGGTGCATGGCAGCTCGGGCGGTTATGTCTTGGGCTGTGAAATGAAGCGTCGCTGTGCAAGGGGTGAAAGCCTTATCCTGGCAGTTGCGCTTCGGGGAGGTTATGTCGCGGCTGGCAGATGAAGCGTTCTTAGGGCGAGGGGTGAAAGCCGGACCCTGTAGATGCTTTGTCGGTTAGCGAGATGGTGGCTCGTGGCGGTTGCGCTGCGGGCTGAAGATGAATCATCTCGGGCTAGGAGTGAAATCTTGATCCTGATGGCGGTTTGTCGTTTATGACGGGCCATGGGGTGATTCCCATACCCTGTCTTCTCCTGAGGGTTGAGATGCTAGGCCAGGGGTGAAATCCGGCCTTGTTGAATTCCCTTTGGTGACAAGCTGCTGCGATAGTGGCGGTTTGTGGAGGTTGAATCATCTTGGCTGCCAGACCAGGAGTGAAGCCCAATGCTCTGGCGGTTGTAGATGGAAGTTGGATCGACTCGGTTGCTGGAATAGGAGTGAAATCCGTACTCTAGCAGTTGCAGTTGCAGTGGGGTGTTGGTGCATGAACTTCTCCGGCAGTTGGTCGCGTCGGGGTCGAATAGAGGATGTGGGCGTTGAATCGTTGTCCTCTGACTAAGCTATTTGTCACGTATGTTGGCGGTTTCGGTCTTGATCACCCGAAGTTGTCAGTATCCGGCCGGTCGCGTCTCCAAATGGCAGCTGAATTTGGAGAAGCGGTTGGCTGATTCTTGGCTTCCTCCCCCCTTATTCCGTTCCGGGAATTCTCATTTATTTTGGGAAGCGGGTTTCGTCGCCCGCCAAGGAAATTTTTTTTTCTTGAATTGGAATATTGCTTGTCAATGTCTGTCCCCCCGAGTAGATCCGACTGCCTCCTGGCAGCGGTGATGCAAGGTCGGACGTTGGGGACGGTGAGGCGTCGCCCGACCCGATGAAGCTCTTGCTGAAAGGTTCTTGAAACAGTGAGTGAGTTGGAAGTAATGGATACAAGCAAAACAAGGGCTAAAAGAGGCAGAGAGTGTGGAGAACTACTTTGGAGGCGATTTGAGCTGGGCTGGTCCAGGTGAAGGAAGTGGTACGCAAGGGACTTGGGGTGGTTTACTGAGACGTCTCAAAGCATCACTTTAATCACGAAGTGGTACCCAAGGGACTTGGGGTGGTTTACTGAGACGTCTCAAAGCATCACTTTAATCACGAAGTGGTACCCAAGGGACTTGGGGTGGTTTACTGAGACGTCTCAAAGCATCACTTTAATTACGAAGTGGTACCCAAGGGACTTGGGGTGGTTTACTGAGACGTCTCAAAGCATCACTTTAATCACAAAGTGGTATTCAAGGGACTTGGGGTGGTTTACTGAGACGTCTTAAAGCATCACTTTAATCACGAAGTGGTACCCAAGGGACTTGGGGTGGTTTAGTGAGACGTCTCAAAGCATCACTTTAATCACGAAGTGGTACCCAAGGGACTTGGGGTGGTTTACTGAGACGTCTCAAAGCATCACTTTAATCACGAAGTGGTACCCAAGGGACTTGGGGTGGCCAAATGACTTTTGAGTCGACTCAAAAGTCAACTCGCCTGGTCTGGTCCAGGTGAAGGAAGTGGTACCCAAGGGACTTGGGGTGGCCAAATGGGTGCTCAAGTTGCCCTTAGTCAAGTTGGAAACGTGATTGACCCAAAAGAAGTGGGCCTGGAAGCGCCCCGCCCCCTCTAGTGGCTCCGCGATTGGAAACGCGAGCTGGAGCTGTGGAGTGGCTCCTCTGTGTCCCCAAGGTTGGTTTTGTTTTGAGTCGACTCAAATTTCAAAAGCGTGGATCTAAGCTAGAGCCACGTTCCCAACGTTGGGACACGTGTTGAGGTGCTCCAAAGCTGAATTTGGGGTGCCTAGTACTTGATTAGATCGCTCAGGGGCATCCCAGAACTATTATCACCCAACCATTAATGTCTACACCATTATAATGTAAGCGATGACATATAACTCATAAATACCTACTGAACTAAACCTCCAGCAAACTTGGACAATAAGTACTCGACAACACGCACTATCTCACCTCACATTGAGAGGGGCACTCAAACGAACATTGTCAGTGAAGGGATGTGACAAGCGAAGGCACATTATCGCTCCATCCCTACGCTCCTCCACATCCACTCTCCCATCTTTCCCTTCTCCATCCCTCACTCCAAGCCCCTCCCCTCTCCGCTCTCCCTTCTCCACTCTCTTCCTTCCTCCCTCCCCTCTCCAACCTCCACTTTCCACCACTCACTTCTCCATCCCTCCCTCACAGCGACGTGCAAAACAACAGCCTCTCCGGCCCAATCACAGACTCCATGTTCCCTCCCTTATCGAAGCTGTACATCTTGTGAGATTCCCCCTAACTGCCTTCCACCCTCTGCCTTCCACCCTCTGCCTTCCACCCACACTCTGAGCCTTCGCATCATGCACATCCCTTTTCTCTCTGCGCATTTTCCCTCCACGCAACAGCCAGCTCTCTAGTTTGCATTTCACAACGTGTTTCCCTTCTGTTGCTTGCTACTCTCCATTCCGCAGCTCCGTGCACGTCACTTCCTTTCTCTCTTCCCATGCATCCTCTCTCACTCATACATCTCCCTTATCCCCCCATCCCCCTCCAGCCAACTCTCCGGGAACCGCTTCACAGGGGTAGTCCCGCTGGTGCTCGCTCATTGCCCAAGCCTCGTGGAAGTGTGAGTGTGCCTCATAGAAGTGTGAGTGTGCCTCGTGGAAGTGTGAGTGTGCCTCAACTTAGGGTGTCATCTCATTGTCTTGATGCCTGTACCCATTCTTTACATCTACATCCTCTCGTGCCTAATCTCTGCTCTAATCTGCATGTCCTGAAATCTGTACCCTCCTCCTCTCCTCCTCTCCTCCTTCCCCTACTATCGCTTTTGTGTTTCTTCTCTATTCACCTTTCCTTTCCCCAAGCCTCCCCCCACCACCGCCCACACCACACCACACCACCCCCCCTTCCTCCCACACACACAGCAACAGGAGCGTCAGCAGCAGCATGGCATGGCACAAAGTGCCTCTCGTCCCACCACCCCCCGACCCCTCACCCCTCCTAACCCACACCGTGCTTTGACTCTCTTCTCTGCAACAGCAGAAGCATCAGCACTGGCATGGAGTGTCCAACCTCTCACCTCACCTCACCCCTCCATGCCCCTCCCCACCCGTCTGGGATGGCACTGGCATCAGCACTGGCATGGAGTGTCTGTTGCTTCTCTATTCCGCCCGTCCCCCACAACAACACGAGTGAGGGCATGGAGGATTGCCCTTCCTTCCAGTCACCACCCCCCTCCCTTCCCTCCGTGTGATTCTGTTCTGCCTTTTCCCACAACAACAGGAGCATCAGCGAGGGCATGGAGTGGCCCTCGCCTGCCTCTGCATGCACCCCCTTTGGGTTCGACTCAAAAATTCTCTCCCTCTCCCCCCCTCCCCCACGACAACAGGAGCATCAGCGACGGCATGGAGTGCCCCTCGCCTGCCTCTGCATGCACTCCCTCTCTCACATCCCTCCTCGCGTCCTCTGCTGCTCCACTCGCCTTCTGCTCTCTCTGTCCTAACTTCTGCACGGATTGCAAGGCTGGTAATGAGAGCACCGCTCCCTTTGCCGCACTCTCTCTGACCAAAATGTGCATGCAGATTAAGATAGGTTTGCAGAAAACACCTCTCTGTTTGCTCCTCCCTCTCTGCCCCACGCACTGCTTCCCCTCTCTGTTCACACCACTCTCTGTGTTCTCTGCTTTGAATGGACAGTACGTGCTTTTGAGACGTCTCAAAAGTCGTCTCAAAAGTCGTCTCATCTCAAAAGTCATTTCAAAAGACGCCTCAAAAGTCCTCTGCTTTGCATAGAGAGTGCGTGCACGATGATGGCAAGTCGAGAATGTCGATCATAATTCACCTTGGTTATAATAAGCGAGCTGACTTTTGAGTCGACTCACAAGTCTAGAATGTAGATCATAGTTCTCCTTGGTTATAATAAGTGTCTCTTGTAAGTCACACGGAACTTCTGCATTCATTCTTCTTGAAGCCCAGCCCCCAAATTCATTCTTCTTGAAGCCCAGCCCCCGAATTCATTCTTCTTGAAGCCCAGCCCCCGAATCACAAAGAGGCCTTCACAAACTGGGGCCAGTTTGTGTCTCGCTCCTCATGTTTTCGGGAAAGAAAGGTTTAGGGGAGGTTTTCAAACCTCAATCTCAATTCTCTGCTTTCCCAAACCTATTCTCCAGCGTTGACTTCCGTTGAGTAATTCAGGTGTTACCCTTTAAGAGTCACACATACAGCCCAATCGTGCTTCGACTCACTCACTGCTCACTCGTTCTCCCTCTCTTCCTCACCCCTTCCCCTTCCATTCTTCCATTTTCAACCCCTTGTCTCCCTTGCAGCTTACCCTCCTCCGTCTCCTCCTCCTCCCTCTCCTCCTCCTCCCCCTCCTCCTCCTCCCTCTCCTCCTCCTCCCTCCCCTCCTCCACCTCCCCTCCTCCTCTCGCCGCCACCACCTTCACCCCCACCCCAATCCCCACCACCACCCGCACCGCCACCCCCACTGCCAATTTCCGCAGGTATGTATGAATGAGAGAAACGTACCTTTTGATAACAGGTACGGTGACGAGCCTGCTAATAACAGCTATGGTGACAGACCTGCACCTGACATTATATATGTATGTATGCATGAGTGCAATGGATCTGCAAGGGAAAGGTATGTACAGGAGGTGCACACAGCTTGGTTCGTGGCGGTTCTTAAGACTCAAAGGGTATCGTGCATGCATGAGAGAAATGCATGTGTTAGGGATAGGTATGGGTGGGTGCACACAACATGGTTCTTAAGAGCCTAACGGGTATATGTGTGTGCAAGAGGGCAGGAGGGCAGGAGGGCAAGACGACAATGGGTCTGTGCCCATATTGCCGCCCGCAGAATGCGGCCCACACAATGCCGCCTGCACAATGCCGCCTGCACAATGCCGCCTGCTCACTGCCGCCCGCACACTGCCACCACCATCCAGGGCACTTAAGAAATTCTTGGAAGAGCATGTGACATGCTAGGGCTTGTTACGTATGGGTCCAACCCTCCAATGGGTAAGAAATTGGCTGCACAATCAAAGCTGCGGATGTATACATATTGTATACATTGTTCTTCACCCAAGAACAAACAGAACAAAAGAAATGGATTGTAACCCTCCAATAGGGTTAGGTGTGGGGGCAGCCCTTTACTTCACCCAAAATATGTATCATGCATGCCTATCTTGTGCACTGACGCTCTCTCTTGCGTGCAATCTGGATCACCCAAGTTTGTGCAAGACGTTGTTGTTTGAGAGATCACCAACAATTCTTGCAAGCAGCCAACACCTTTTTCACCAGAGTTTCACTGTTCACCTCTGTTCGCGGCTTGTGTTTTGAGTCGACTCAAAACACGACTCATTGTTCGCGGCTCATCATGCACGTTACTGTTCACCGTGTTTCACTGTTCATCGTGTTTTACTGTTCACCGTGTTTCACTGTTCATCGTGTTTTGCTGTTCATCTTGTTTCACTGTTCACCGTGTCTTGCTGCTCATCTAGTTTCACGGTTCATTTTGTTTTGTTGCTCTCGTGACTTCCCTGCTTCGCTGATTGTTTCCATGTTAAGAGTTGATCCAAACTGGCTCTCTAAGAAACGATCTAAGCTAGCGCGACACCAGGTTCTTTTCCACCATCATTGCATGGGGTTTGTTTCTCTGTCCTAAACAGCAAGAGTTGATGGAAATAAGGCCTCCGCAGCCCACCTGTTCTACTTCGACAGTTCTTGCTCTCGTGACTTCCCTGCTTCGCTGATTGTTTCCATGTTTCACTGATTGCTTATTTTTTATCCCCCTCCCCGTACTCGTGCCTTGATGATTTCTCCTTCCTAATAATTTCTCCTTCCTCATGTATCCATGCATTATCCTCTGAATCATCTTTCCTCACACACCTACCATTTCCTCTTCACTTCATCCTACCCAATCCCTGTCTTCTGTCTCTCTTCCCTATCCCCCTAATCCCATCTGTTTCACCTCAACAGCACAAGAGCCCGCTCTAGCACCTCTTCCGCCTCCTCCTCCCTCTCCTCCTCCCTCTCCTCCTCCCTCTCCCCCTCACTCATCTCCTCCCTCTCCCCCTCCCTCACCTCCGTTACCCCCTCCCGCACCCCCTCCACCCAACCCTCCGCCCCCTCCCCGGCCCCCAAGCCTCATCTCCCGCCGCTCACCAGCTCCTCCTCCCAGACCTCGTAAGTTCCTAGACCGCAAGTACGTAAACCTCGTAAGTTGCTCATTCCAGGTTGTACCTCAGAGTCATAAAGATGGTTTGTCAAGGTAATATCATATATATTTTCTGTGCATCGTCAAGATCCAGTAAAAATCCTTTGAATCATATGACTTTGACGCGGGAATATATATATATATACACATATATATATACATATATATACATATATATATACATACATATATACATACATACATATACGTATATACATATATATTTGTATCCGTATATATATATTCTGGTGGCGCCAATGATGTAATCGTTGTGGTGTTAATTTTGTTTTCTTTTGTCTAAAGTTGCTGTTTCCTTTCCCTCTGTTCCATTTTCCCCTCCTCCACAGCACTCCCACCACCACCATCCCCACCATCACCGTCACCACCCCCACCATCCCCACCATCACCACCCCCACCGTCCCCACCACCACCATCACCACCCCCACCATCCCCACCATCACCATCACCACCACCACCATCCCCACCCCCACCATTCCCACCCCCACCATCCCCACCATCACCATCACCACCCCCACCGTCCCCACCACCACCATCACCACCCCCACCACCACCATCCCCACCACCACCATCCCCACCACCACCATCCCCACCACCACCATCCCCACCCCCACCATCCCCACCACCATCCCCACCACCACCATCCCCATCCCCACCATCACCACCACCACCATCCCCACCACCACCATCACCACCACCACCATCCCCACCACCACCAGACATCTCACCTCCTCCTATTACTTCAAGCCCCACTGCTTCACCACCAACAGCAGCAGCAACACCAACAGCACCAGCACCAGCACCAGCAACACCAACACCAACAGCACCAGCACCACCAGCAGCCAGTGCTTAAAGGCCACACCCAGAATTACCGAGTCGGGCATGAAACTGTCACCACTTTCACGCGATTGGTCCAAATTTTTGAGTGGTTTTTTTATGCGATTGGTTTTCGATTTTCCCACCGAACCTCCTCCTGGGGTTTCCCGAAGCTGCAAATTCCACGTTGAGTCCGTTGTGTAATTAGGGGTTTGGCCTTTAAGGCTGAGGCAACCCCAGCAGAGTCACCATCCTAAACCCTGAACCTCCAACTCCAACCCCCCTAGGCCCTAATCCGCAACTAAGGACGCGTAACCATTTTGGTTTTGACGGTTCGTTATTCGGACCGTCCGTTCGAAATGGTGGTTACAGCGATCGTTGATGTTCGCAAGCTTGATCGCAAGTAACCGTGCAACGTCGCTGTCGCAACATAACCGAGTGGCACTTTTTGCCCAAAATGGAGGGAACCATCCAACGGACGGTTACGGTTCGTCAGAAACGAACTGGTCGAGTTTGTCGACTTGTGGTTGGCGGGCGAAAACACCGTGAATTTGCGGGTACAACCGAAAGTGCAATGCCATCGTTGACATCGGTCCCCATACTGGCTGTACGAAAATCACAAGTGTCGCCTGAGTGCGTAACATAACATTGCACATTTTTCAAATCTTGAAAAAGGTTCAACCCGACGGTTCGACTTTTCGAGTTCTGTTTCGTTAAACGGACGGTTCCGTTCCGGATACGGAACCGTCCATTTATGGAACGTTCGCTTCTAAACGTAACTTCAAGAAAAACCAAAATGGTTACGCGCCCTAAACCTTAAATCTTATACCTGTAACCCCGATTCCGAAACCCTTAAATCCTTATTTCTAAACCCTCAAACCCTAATTCCCACACCCTCGAGCACTAACTTAGAAACCTTCGAACCTTAACTCCCTACCCCCTGAGGCCTAATTGCTAAACCTTGAGCTCTACTGGCAATCCTGGCACAACCACCATCATCATCAGCATTACCATCACCATCACACCATCGCCATCAACACTAGTAGCATCATATGCAACAGCACATGCAACAGCACCACCATGACCGCTGCCATCAGCTTTTAAGGCCAATACTTGCAGCCCTCGGGATACTACCGTTCTCCGATGTATTCCTGATGACGTCTAAATATATACACGACACAATTAATTTTTTTGATATTGTGTAATAATGTACGGTAGATGAGTTGCAGGGAGAGAGGCGACAGGATCCCTGGCGGAGGGCAAACAAGGCCTGTCTAGGAGGACACGTACCTCTAAAAAAATGAGGACTGATTCACATGCAAGATGTGCATTGTATGAGTAGTGTATTATTTTATGGCTACTGATAGTGAAATGCCGTTGTAATGATAACAACTCGGTACAGCCAAAACAAGTTACGGTATATGACATGCACATCACATGGGTGAGGGCACATGTGCCCTGAGGGAAGGTACGGGAGTGAAAGCACCACTGAAACTACTGCGCATTATCTCCCAAGCGAAACAAGACGAGTGCCACTGAAGCACCCACGAGATTTGGCAGCCATCCACCCAGCAGCGGACTGATCACGTGCAGCTGGACAGAGAGACAAGTGCGGCAAGAAGAGTGGGAAACACTTTTTTATTCGCCTAGAATTAGGCACCCAGCAGAGGACTGACTGATCACATGCAGCTGACAGGAGAGTCGAGTGCAGCACCCAAAGAGTGGAAAACAGATTCTGGGGCGCCTAAGGATTTAACACCCAGCAGCAGACTGATCACGTGCAGCTGATCACGGCCTCAAAAGTAGGTGCCTCAAAAGTAGGTGCCTAAAGTAGGTGGAACAAAAGTACGGTAGGTACTTCAAAAGTAAATCTACTGTACCTGGGCAAGAAGGACGCCGGTGACAGAGAGAGAGTAGTAGGTGAATATGACAAACACCGCAAGAGCGAAGCCAACCTGCATGGGAGGGGTGATTGGGGTTGAAAGGGGAAGCACAGGAGGATAGTGAATGGCGAGCATGCCGGTGAGGGAGAGAGAGAGCGGTAGGTGAAGATGAGAAGGACAGTGAGGGCGCAGCCAACCTGCATGGAAGGGGTGATTGGGGTTGAAAGGGGAAGCACGGGAGGATAGTGAACGGGGCGAGCATGGGAGGATAGTGAACGGGACGAGCATGCCCGTGAGGGAAAGAGAGAGAGCAGTAGGTGAAGATGAGAAGGACAGCGAGGGCGCACCAACCTGCATGGAAGGGGTGACTGGGGAAGGAGGGAACGAGGGGAAATTTTATGGCACACTGCATATTGCATCAGGAACGAAGGATGCTGGTGAAGGAGAGAGAGAGCAGTAAGCCAATCTGAACAGATGGGTGATTTGAAAAGGGAAGAAACTTATGAGGTGCCTTGAAAGCCAGAGCGAAGCCAACCTGCAGGCTGCATGGGTGTGATAAATGTGGGAAGGAAGGAGCAAGAGAGGCAGGCAGCGCACATCTCTACCTCACCACCATGGGGTTTGATCCGTCGTCCTAGAACCATTCAAGTTGATGGAAATGAGACCTCCGCAGCCCACCTGTCCGCTACTGACAGCAGCACGCATCTCTACCTCACCACCAAAATACTTCAAAAATTTGGGGCACCGCGCATAGCACCAGGCTAGTAAACCACGGTGCGGGAGAGAGGGTGGCAGGAGAAGAGGACGAAGAGAGGCAAGGCGAAGCCTATTTGCATGGGTGGGATGTGTGGGGGTAGAGGGCCACTCACGAGGGGAAGAAACTGCATGAGTACCCTCTTTTGAGTACCACTCATGAGGGTGTTATTGAGAATTCTCAAAAACAACCCTAAAAAAAGGGCCAGAAACTGCAAAGACAATGTATGTGGAACAAGGGGAAGTGACGTGCCTAATGAAACCCTTCAGTTTCTAATCCCCTCACATGTGGCTTGCTGATCTGCAGGTGTTGGGCAGGGAAGAGGGGGGTAAGAGAGGTTAGAAGTGCCGTGCCAATTGCATTGCAATCAAGTGGCTGCTTCATACCTTTTGCTTCCTCACCTGTCGTCACTTTCCCCTCATCTGCCGGTTCCACTCTCACCTGCCTTTTGAGGCGCCTCAAAAGTTCCTTCCTCACCTCACCTGTCACTTTCCCCTCATCTGCCGGTTCCACTCTCACCTACCTGCCGCTTTCTGATCTGCAGGCGGGCGGCAAAGAGAGCCAAGGAGGGCGAAGCGCAGTGCCTATTGCAACCAGGGTTTCAGGTTTGGGGCTCCCTACTTTACTTTCTCACCTGCCGCTTTCTGATCTGCAGCTGGGCGGCGAAGAGAGCTCCAAGGAGGGCGAAGAGGAAGGTGGCACATGGCAGGGCCACACGTTGATGGATCTTCACCTGCAGGTGGGTGGGCATGCGCAGGGTAAATTACTCTTGAAAAGTGCAGAGGGCCAAAGAGGGCAAAGAGGAAGGTGGCACATGGCAGGGCCACCTGCTGGTGTATCTTCACCTGGCATTGGGTGGGCATTCTGCAGGGTAAATTGCTCTTGGAAGATTGAAGTACTATGGGAAGGAGACTGGAAAACCACTTTGTACATTTACAGAGGGGGTTATTCCATATAAAGGAGTATCTCGGGAATTTAACATGCACGAGCATCTGAGAGGACTGCTGGAACAGAGACGGGTTACGTATCAAGACACCATCTCACTCCCATACCGTCCCCATACCGCTCTCTTGGACCTGCCTTGTGTCCACAGGGCCTACAACCAGAATACTCACTGTTGCACAGTCACCATCCACAACAACTCTCCATCCAGCCACAGTCGCCTATACTGGAGAGTATCAACCCACCAGAATGAGCATGACTGGTGCTTCTACCATACCCGCCAATTGGTTCGTTGTCTTTTGAGGCGCCTCAAAATACACCTCAATGACTGGTGCTTCTACCATACCCACCGATTGGTTCGTTGTCTTTTGAGGCGCCTCAAGATACACCTCAATGACTGGTGCTTCTACCATACCCACCAATTGGTTCCTTGTCTTTTGAGGCGCCTCAAAATACACCTCAATGACTGGTGCTTCTACCATACCCACCAATTGGTTCCTTGTCTTTTGAGGCGCCTCAAAATACACCTCAATGACTGGTGCTTCTACCATACCCACCGATTGGTTCGTTGTCTTTTGAGGCGCCTCAAAATACACCTTAATGACAGGTGCTTCTACCATACCCACCGATTGGTTCGTTGTCTTTTGAGGCGCCTCAAAATACACCTCAATGACTGGTGCTTCTACCATACCCACCGATTGGTTCGTTGTCTTTTGAGGCGCCTCAAAATACACCTCAATGACTGGTGCTTCTACCATACCCACCAATTGGTTCGTTGTCTCATTCTTGCAACCAATTGCGCACAGGCAGCATTAACTATAACATGCCATAACAGAATTCTTGTGGCCTCCCTCCCGGTCATTACAGCAGCGACAGCACAGCAGCTGCAGGCGCACCACCTGCAGCAGCGATAGGCGTGTGAAAGCACGAGTTTTGAGACGTCTCAAAACTTGAAAGCACTCACCTACAGCTGCTGCAGCTGCAACAGACCCACCACACCCCACCCCACCACACCCACCCACCAGTGTTTTTGTGGCCTCCCGGTCATTGCAACAACGGCAGTACAGGTGCCGCAGGCGCACCCACCTGCAGAAGTGACGGGTGTTTAAACAGCACTCTACTACAGACAGCCCCTACAACTGCTGCACCACTCACACACCACACCCACCAACCCCACTCAAGGTGGCCTCCCGGTCATTACAGCACCGGCAGTACAGCTGCTGCAGTCGCACCAACTACAGCAGCGATCGGTGCGTGCGGTGGTGCACCTGCAGCGATAGGCGCACCGACTGCAGCAGCGATCGGTGCGTGCGGTGGTGCACCTGCAGCGATAGGCGCACCGACTGCAGCAGCGATCGGTGCGTGCGGTGGTGCACCTGCAGCGATAGGCGCACCGACTGCAGCAGCGATCGGTGCGTGCGGTGGTGCACCTGCAGCGATAGGCGCACCGACTGCAGCAGCGATCGGTGCGTGCGGTGGTGCACCTGCAGCGATAGGCGCACCGACTGCAGCAGCGATCGGTGCGTGCGGTGGTGCACCTGCAGCGATAGGCGCACTGACTGCAGCAGCGATCGGTGCGTGCGGTGGTGCACCTGCAGCGATAGGCGCACCGACTGCAGCAGCGATCGGTGCGTGCGGTGGTGCACCTGCAGCGATAGGCGCACCGACTGCAGCAGCGATCGGTGCGTGCGGTGGTGCACCTGCAGCGATAGGCGCACCGACTGCAGCAGCGATCGGTGCGTGCGGTGGTGCACCTGCAGCGATAGGCGCACCGACTGCAGCAGCGATCGGTGCGTGCGGTGGTGCACCTGCAGCGATAGGCGCATCGACTGCAGCAGCGATCGGTGCGTGCGGTGGTGCACCTGCAGCGATAGGTGCACCGACTGCAGCAGCGATCGGTGCGTGCGGTGGTGCACCTGCAGCGATAGGCGCACCGACTGCAGCAGCGATCGGTGCGTGCGGTGGTGCACCTGCAGCGATAGGCGCACCGACTGCAGCAGCGATCGGTGCGTGCGGTGGTGCACCTGCAGCGATAGGCGCACCGACTGCAGCAGCGATCGGTGCGTGCGGTGGTGCACCTGCAGCGATAGGCGCACCGACTGCAGCAGCTCTCACCTGCAAACCCTGCCACCGCACCGCTCACATACACCTACCACGCTGACTTTTGAGTCGACTCAAAACTCACATACACCTACCACACCCGCTCAACAAACCCGTTCACACCCACCAGTATTCTGGTGGCCTCCCGGTCGTTGCAGCACCGGTGGCACAGCTGCTGCAGCCGCACCACCTGCAGCAGAGATCGGTGTGTGCCCTGAGCCGTACTCACCAACAGTTGCTGCAGCCACACCACACCCACCACACCCCACCCACCAGTATTCTTGTGGCGTCCCGCTCATAACAGCAGCAGCAGTACAGCTGCTGCAGCCGCATCACCTGCGGGCCACCATACCCACCCACCAGTATTCTTGTTGCCTCCCGGTCGTTACAGCAGCGCCGGTACAGCTGCTGCAGCCGCACCACCTGCAGCAGAGGCATGTCGTCCAAACTGCGACTGCCGTCCGCCTCTGCCAGATCCAGAGGTCCGCGATCCAGGGTAAACTCCCCTGCAAGAAGAAGAGCAAATAGAACATGGGCGAGAGCGAATGGGCGGAGAGAACCGTGAGTTGGTGCCATGAACTCATGCACCCATGCACCCATGCACCCATGCACTCATGCACCCATGCACCCATGCACCCATGCACTCATGCACCCATGCACCCATGCACCCATGCACCCATGAAATCATGCACCCGTGCACCCATGCACCCATGCACTCATGCACCCATGCACCCATGCACCCATGCACTCATGCACCCATGCACCCATGCACCCATGCACCCATGCACCCATGCACCCATGCAACCATGCACCCATGCACGCATCCAACCATGCACCCATGCAACCATGCACCCATGCACCCATGCACTCATGCACCCATGCAACCATGCACCCATGCACGCATCCAACCATGCAACCATGCACCCATGCACTCATGCACCCATGCACCCATGCACTCATGCACCCATGCACCCCTGCACCCATGCACTCATGCAACCATGCACCCATGAACACATGCACCCATGCACCCATGCACTCATGCACCCATGAACCCATGCACCCATGCACTCATGCACCCATGAACCCATGCACCCATGCACTCATGCACCCATGCACCCATGCACCCATACACTCATGCACCCATGCAAACGTGCACCCATGAACTCATGCACCCATGCACTCATGCACTCATGCACCCATGCACCCATGCACTCATGCACCCATGCACCCCTGCACCCATGCACTCATGCAACCATGCACCCATGAACACATGCACCCATGCACCCATGCACCCATGCACTCATGCACCCATGAACCCATGCACCCATGCACTCATGCAACCATGCACCCATGCACCCATGCACCCATGCACTCATGCACCCATGCACTCATGCACTCATGCACCCATGCACTCATACACCCATGCACTCAGGCACCCATGCACCCATGCACTCATGCAGGAGAATGGTTTGGGTGATGGCACCTGCAAGCAATGTTCGGTTGGGGACTGCACCCGCATGCACTGATGGGATTGTCGGACAGCACGGCAGGGTCCGGATCAATCAAATGAGAGACACGGATACCACTTGAGCCGAGCGGGTGAGGGAAACTCACGGTGCTCAGTGAACGGCCGTGCTTCTGCGAGCACCCACGACGATGGCCTGCTTGGCTCAACGCTACTGCTTCTGGAACCACCCAATTTATCGCAATCTTGCTGCTTCTGTGACAGCTGCTGCTGTTGCTGCTGCATCTGGTATTGGTCCTCAGCTAGTGGAGCTGCTTGCGAGCCTTGTGCCGCTTGTGACACGCTCGTTGCTGCTGCCGGCACTGCTGCTGCTGCGACGGGTCTTTCAGCTGCTTCAAGCTGCCCTCTCTTTCCCCCTCCTAGCTGCTGCTGCCGCCCTACCTCTTGCCTACTCTTGAATTTTCTCTCCCTCTGCTGCAATCTGCCCCTGCCCTTGTTCCCAAGCTTCCCACCATGCCCCCTTCCCACGCCACCCCTGCCTCGCTGCTGCCTCCTGCTCCCCTGCTGCCCTCTACCGTCCCCACCCCTCCCCACGTTCCCCTTCCCTGTATTCCCGGTCGCTGCTTCTTGTGTACTCTGTTGTTGCTCATGCGAATCCTCTTGCCTTTGAGCATTCGCATGCCTTTGAGCATTCGCATGCCCTTGAGCATTCGCATGCCCTTGAGCATTCGCATGCCCTTGCAACCGCACATGTGTGGGTATTAGTGATGCGAGTGGCACGTGAAACTGCTCTCCAGTCAGCGCATTGTGAATGGCAGAAGAGGGGAGGTGCAAGGCAGACGAGGCAACAAGCACATGCTCTATACCATTGACAAAAAACCAGAGACCTGGCCGGTTAGTCAATGCCTGGTCGTGCTTGTACAGAGGATGGATGGTCGTTAAGAAACCCAGATTGAGGGTCTTTTGGAAGCACTGTCAGCTGCAATGACCCGAACCACACTGCCTGCATCTGCATGCGTGCTTGATGCTGCTGCTGATGATGATGTTGATAATGCCAGCGATGGTGATGATGATGTCAATTTTGAGGGCACTGATGCTGACGGTACTGCAGGTAGTGATGCTGATGGCGGTGGTGGTGGTATCAGTGCCTGTTGCGAGACGAGTGGTAGTGAGGCGGGTGGTCGCGAGGCGATAGAGGATGCGGATAACGGTGACTGCAACGAATGTGATTGTAGCGAGGAGGAGGACGGCATGTGCTCAGTGTTGGTGTTGGAGTTGGTGCGGGCTCCGCTCTGATCCACGAGTGTGACTTGCTGCATCTCCCCACACTCACATCGCCTGGCGTAGAAGAGAGAGCGTAGATCCCCGCTCTTGCTGCCAGGGCAACCAGGGGAGCACAACGGAAAGAAAGAACTTGAGGAGACATGGAAGCTGGAAGAACTTAAAAGGGGGGTGGCCAAGCAGGGCAAGCGGGAAGGGGGTACAAGGGGTACGTAAAGCATGTGTGATACAGCAGCGATTCGTATTTGGAATGGCGCAGGTTTGGATCTTACTACTCGAATTTCCTTTTGAGTCGACTCAAAGCACGGCTTCTCTTGCCTCCCGAGTCAAGCCAGCTCTTTTCTCCCATCCTATCATCTCACCTGAAGCTGGGGAAGACGATGGGATGGCGCATGTTTGCCTTGTGCTGCTGTTGACGCCCTGAAACCTGCACACGCGCATTGGTGATGGTAGCATCACATGCCCATGGCATAGCTCGTATCAAATCAAATAATGACGTGTCTCAAAAAATCGCATTCGCTAACAACCCTAATACGGAGAGCTGGTTTTCCCTTTGCATGTACGCAATGAGTTTCTTCTATGTAAAGTGGATTTTGCAGGGTCTTTTCTAAGAATTCTAAAAAAATCTATGTAAGTAGATGTGCGCCTCAAAAGTCGCTGGACAACAGGGGCAACAGGGACTGGACAGGGGCAAAAAGGTACCACAGAGGCTGTAGGTGCTATAGGCATTGCACAACAGGCGGCAGGTTCTACAGGCACTGCACAATAGACGGCAGCTGCTACAGGTTTCTAGAAAGGGTCGACATACAGAGAGAAGCTGGTGTAGGTGGTGGGGTGAACGAGCAGAGCGCACTGCCCTGACCATGCGAGATGCACGGTAGTTGGTGAAGGGAGCGAGGAGCTGTAAGGGTGATGAGGGGTGATGAGGAGTGAGGAGTGGTGAGGAGGGGTAAAAAGGAGCAGAAGGGTTTGTCAGGTGCATTGTGAGCAGAGCGCACGGCCCTGACCATGAGAGAGGCACGGTGGTTGGTGAAGGGAGCAAGGAGCTGCAGAGGTGATGAGGGGCGATGGGGTGATGAGGAGTGAGGAGTTGTGAGGAGGGGTAAAAAGGAGCAGAAGAGTTTGTCAGGTACATTGTGAGCAGAGCGCACCGCCCTGACCATGAGAGAGGCACGGTGGTTGGTGAAGGGAGCAGGGAGCTACTGGAGTGATGAGGGGTGATGAGGGGCGATGAGCGGTGATGAGGGGTGAGGAGGGGTGACAAGGGGCGAAAGGGTTCATCAGATCATCAGATGCAAATTGCAGCAGTGCAGCACAGGCAGCATGGCCATGTGTAAGGAGGTGGAGGAAAGGGAGGAGAATGGTGGTGGGCAGGTGATGAGGGGTGGGAGGAAAATAGTGGAAAAGGGACATCCAACGCTCAAACGTATCAGTGAGGTGTGAGGAGGGGTAATGTCTTTACTTCTGAGACGCTACGATGTCTCCCGAATGGTGGTGGGTGAAGTGAAGTGAAGGTCAGTAGGTAAAGGACGGGACGGGTGCATGCATGGCGGGAGAAGCGTGCATGCAGTGCTACATACATACCTCAGCCCAGGCGTAGTGCAGCAGAGTGCAGGCGAGGAAGAGACGAGCCGCAACCGTGAGGAAGCGCGTCATGCGTATGCCCGATGCGCGGATGGCTGTGGGGGGGAAATGGAGTGGGGTGGGGGGAAGGAAAAGGGAGAGCGCAGATGGGAGGTGAGCCCTTGAGTGAGGAAGCGCGTCATGCGCATGCCCTCTCATTTGAGGGCGGGGCCGCCCGATGCGCGGATGGCTGTGGGAAGGCATGTGTGTGAGGTGAGGTGAGGTGAGTTGAGGTGAGGTGAGGTGAGGTGAGGTGAGTTGAGGTGAGTTGAGGTGAGGTGAGGTGAGGTGAGGTGAGGTGAGTTGAGGTGAGGTGAGGTGAGGTGAGTTGAGGTGAGGTGAGGTGAGGTGAGTTGAGGTGAGGTGAGGTGAGTTGAGGTGAGGTGAGGTGAGGTGAGGTGAGTTGAGGTGAGGTGAGTTGAGGTGAGGTGAGGTGAGGTGAGTTGAGGTGAGGTGAGGTGAGTTGAGGTGAGTTGAGGTGAGGTGAGGTGAGTTGAGGTGAGTTGAGGTGAGGTGAGGTGAGGTGAGGTGAGGTGAGTTGAGGTGAGGTGAGGTGAGGTGAGTTGAGGTGAGGTGAGGTGAGTTGAGGTGAGGTGAGGTGAGTTGAGGTGAGGTGAGGTGAGGTGAGGTGAGTTGAGGTGAGGTGAGTTGAGGTGAGGTGAGGTGAGGTGAGTTGAGGTGAGGTGAGGTGAGGTGAGTTGAGGTGAGGTGAGGTGAGTTGAGGTGAGGTGAGTTGAGGTGAGGTGAGGTGAGTTGAGGTGAGGTGAGGTGAGTTGAGGTGAGGTGAGGTGAGTTGAGGTGAGGTGAGTTGAGGTGAGGTGAGTTGAGGTGAGGTGAGGTGAGGTGAGGTGAGGTGAGTTGAGGTGAGGTGAGGTGAGGTGAGGTGAGGTGAGGTGAGGTGAGGTGAGTTGAGGTGAGGTGAGTTGAGGTGAGTTGAGGTGAGGTGAGGTGAGTTGAGGTGAGGTGAGGTGAGGTGAGTTGAGGTGAGGTGAGGTGAGTTGAGGTGAGGTGAGGTGAGTTGAGGTGAGGTGAGGTGAGGTGAGTTGAGGTGAGGTGAGGTGAGGTGAGGTGAGTTGAGGTGAGGTGAGGTGAGTTGAGGTGAGGTGAGGTGAGGTGAGGTGAGTTGAGGTGAGGTGA